CTGTTTGCACATGCACAGAGGTGTCTTTTTAGAGGTGTTTTTTTAGACGGTATGAAGTAATAATAGAAGTTATTTATCAGAGGATTAATCTCAAAAAAAAGTTTACAAACGCCTAATGAATGCAGGATAAGAATGATGAAAAATTGTAGAGGCATCAGCAAGTGTGGTAGTAAATCCTCGCCGTTTGTGAGATACTTGTTGTTTCAAATCAAGTTGTTAGTGGGAGGATGATACGTTACGTTTTTTATGCCATCTGTGTGCTAAAATTACTAACCAAAAAAAGTATCAACAATAGAATATGTATATTTGCCTTAGTGCTTCATTATCTGGCATCCCCTCTAAAAACAACATTATCAGAGGAATAAGCTGATATAGATTTTAAATTAAATAAAGTTTATGAAGAACATTCTTGAACCAAAACTTATTTTGTCAAGAATTATTTTTTGCATTAAAACTCAACATTAACTGCTCTGTCACATGCAAGTTTAAGAGATTCAGATGATTAAATATTCATAGAGTGCCATCGTCGACACTTCACAGATAAAAAGATTACAGCTGTTCATCAGTATTAGGATTATAATATTAATATTTACGCAATTTCGACCCCGTTTCAACGTAGTCCGAGAGAAATGTAACTTTATTGTAGGGGCGTCTTGTCGTTTTGTACTTCAGGCGTTTTTAATCATGCAAATACCTATTTGTAACTTGGTATATACGAGTCCCCAGTCCCCCAGTTACAACTAACTCTTAGGACACGAGAGATGAAAACGTCCAAACGAGTTACAAGTTGCCGTTCATAATGAATTGTGTAAAGAAGGCCTTCCGACATAAACCTAAGTATTCCTGCCTGCAACATCCTCTTTATATATTCTCATGCAGTAATATTCTCGAAATACAGAGTACATGCATGCATGGAGGCCCTAAGAATACTTCGTGCAGTCAATGTGAAAATGTCATGAATGTATACACTATTTTAAAAGTAATAATAGGTAATCTAAAGTCAGCAATCTGTAATCTATATAGTCCTTATGGATGTGCCATACTGACGTGCTAGAGTGCTGAGTCGTATTTATGATAATCATAGAAGAGAACAGTCATGGTCAATGACCGTTATTTTCTTTACGTATGAATTTTCCTATGGCATTTTGCCATGTCGATCGGCTTCATCGGAACTTTGATCTACCCTTCCATTGTTTTTGGTACTAGAGCTAAAAGAACTACCATTCTCCAAAGTTCACCCGGAAAATGTGAATATGCATGTTCCAAATCATATACTTTTCTCTTTACAAAATACTCGATCGATTCACCAGGTTTTCGAAGTAAACTTATGAAACCCGTACATGCTATGTTTAGCTGTAAAAATCAAAAGTTCTAGTCCTAAACAAAATCATCGTATATGCATGTAAACATGTAAACACGAGGAGAATGTGTATGGAATATGGATACCTGCAGATTAAATTATTCCCATTCGGTGTTGAAAACTAAGTGCTTGGTATTGTGGGAAAACAAAAAAAAGGAAATTGCTAAGAAATTAAGAAAATTGCAAAGTAACTTCAGTTTAAATATTTGTGTTGGAAAATATAACGATGATGGGTGTCTTGTAATATTGTTTCATGACCTTCATGAGGGGAATCAATCATAGACATTGCTTCTTATAACTAACTGTTCTTGTGAAAATCACTAAAGTTGACAAAATCACAATAAAATCACGCCTTTAAAACATTGAGTAACTGATGAAAAATCACATAGGAATTAAAAGAAAATATATAAATCCCGCCTCTTAGTTATTTGATGTATATGTTGGCTAGAACCTGCACTTCAAGTATTTTTCTTCAACTCCGATGACATCAGTAATGAGTTTCACCGCGCCACGGAAAAAGACAGCTTGTTCGCTAATAGTGGCCTACGGGCAATTACAGCACGCGATCTTGTATAAATGACTGAATAAGCTTAACAGAATGCTGATATAGCTAAGTTTGTTAATGCTGGCTGCCCATCATTAGTAGAATGTCAAGAATAATCCTAGCTTACCCCTTTCAGAAAGCCAACAACTTGCGCTTGCAAAGAATCCAATGATTATAACCAATGATCTCATTTTAATAAAATTCTTGAACAGTCATCTGCCACACAGATGAACGTCTTTTAGTAACACAAACGGTACATTCTTTGGTTGTAAGTAATCACTGAAGTATGCCAAGGATAGCAACGTAAAACCATGGATGACGTTTATTCTCCACTTAGTTGAAATAGATAACATATATCAATTCGGTAACTCATGGCATCAGGCACGCTCAACGCGGCAACAATGTTTTTAATTTATGATATGACTGAATATTCTGGAGAATCAGACCTATAGGTCCTGTTTACACCTTCAGATAGTTATCTGGACAGCTGTTCAGTCGGGTATTGCAGTCACGTTAGAATAGCTCCATGACAGACATGAATGATTGAGTCAAAGATGGAACGATGAACGACTTATAATAAGCATGCAATTATTAATATATTGTCGTAACTGTCAGGGGTTTCGGGTTATCTCTGCCCAGCGAGAGGTTGTATATATGCTAAGAGGATGGGCGCCCAACAATGCGAATAATAGAAAAGTTTAATTCATTTCCAATCCGCCCTCTGTTGATCAAAGGTTACTCCAGTCCAGCTGTAATCATCCCATATATGCTTCGTCTTTATGGTAATATATGTCAAATATACACAAGTTGAAATAATCGATCACAAGCAACTGTTTTTTATCTTTATCCACATAAAATATGAGTCAGTATTGTTCTTAAATCCACAAGAGTAGAATCTTTACAATGAAACAAAGTGACCCATGCACCAAGAAACAATTAAACCTGTCTTTGAAGAAGTCACACCGCGCGAAAGTACACGAATCGCCTGACGATGACCCAAGTCGTTCTACTGGAATACTTGGAATGGATACACGTCAAACAGCTCGAGCTATTTTATCAGTTTTCTTTAGTGACAGAAGGCACAGATTACTTAAACGCCTGACACTTCAAGATTTATCACTATAATTATAACAACAGCTGCAAAAGAGCAAGAAATTTAATCCTGCATGGCTACACATTAAGAATGCGAAGCTTTTAGTTTGTATATAACACGGAAAATGTAAACATGAACTCATGAAGCAGTAATGATGTCTGTATTAAAACATTATCTCATATAGTTCTCAGTCTTCAAAGTTTAAACCTTTCTTTAATCCTACAATACATTGTGATGATAACAGAAACATGTGCTGATGTTGACAGCTAAACAAACAGTATATAACCTCATAAGTATACTGCAAGAGTTTATTCAATGTATTTAGCGAGCGTATCGTTAGCCAACCTTAAATCATTTTATCATTTTATTTTTCAATCACTTTATTTGTCAAATCCATCATATGCACTATTGAGTGCATGCATAAGCTTCCGTCATAAAAATTTAAATCACGCATATATAGAAAGGCAAAGCAATTAACATGCATTTCCTTCAATTAAAAATCAAAATTTCAAACCTAATTCATATGAAATTCAAACATGTTTTATGTTTGAAAACCTTCCAAATAATAACCCAGGTCAGGGTCAGTATGGAGAAAATGGCAAGCTGTCTATCGATATTCAAAGATTAGTTGTTTATCAAAATATCCAATCTTGCATGTTTCATTAGTGATTTAAAGAAAAGCTAACGGACAGCAAATCCAACGATCAGCTGCCTTCATTTTCTTTCCTCGACGGGATCTACCTCCCAATATATTCTAACGCTCACATGCGTTGCTCCTCTTTACTTTACACAGCAAGTAACGTCAAAACTAATTTCACATGCTTTTGGAAAGTGATGAAGTTAAAGTGAAGTAATCTGCTATAACATAAACACAGCATGAGGAAATGTTCCAACTATTAACCCAATGAATAAAAACAGTGTTTTATATTTTAATTAATATTTAAAATTGCTCAACAATTAAGGCACACATAGTCTTGCCTTCATATAGCATGCAATCTATGCAGCAAGCATTTCTTTCAAAGCATTATACTCATCTAGTCAACTTTTATACTAATCCGAAAAGAACCTGGGCCTGGGGGTTAGCAAAGCTCTGGCCGAATTAACAGAATTAAAAACCGTATCACTTTTTTGAGAACACTGGATGTAATTTGTGTACTCATCCTTCAAATATAACCACGTACATGCAGACTACAGTTATTAGAATGCACATGGTTCAGTCGAAGGCTGGAAAAATGATATTGTCAATACATAGATATTGATATGTAATGTGGCCTGGTATTTTAGTTCGGTGCAACAAACAATACAAATACAAAAACATACACACAAAAAACAGGTGTGTAGAATTACACACCAAGGTGTGTTTGACTACACACCAAGGTGTGCTCAATTGCACGCCATGGTCTGTAATTTCTGCACACCTTTCTACGCGCTTTTAGAAAGCACACCTTGGTGTGTAAGGAAACACACCTTTGTGTGTACGCAAACACACATTCGTGTGTTCGAAAACACACCTTTGTGTGTTAGCGAAAACACCTCCTTTTGCACACCTTCTCTTTTACTCATTAAGGTGTGTAAAGTAACACACCTTTTCACTGAAAACACACCTTTGTGTGTTTGACAGCACACCTTGACCCATCCAAGAAACACATCTTTTGATGTGTTATAAAACACACCTTTAAATTATTAACAATATGCTTGATTGGCCTTATTTATTACCTATAGTATTTTAGTGCATCGATAAAAGCGTCAGCCTTACGAGGAATTACACAAGTCACAGGAAATTTCACGCTGTTCCATTGCATTTAAATTTAACTTTTTGCTTTAAATTCCTGTTATCTTTGGCCTGCGTTTCAGCTTTGATCAGTATTAAAAACTCTAAACATTATATAAGACATAGATTTAAGGTTTACTTTTGTAATAAGAATGATTAACGTGGGTTGTTTTTGAATATCTGCCATACAGACTTGTATATACAGGTCAGTGATCTGATACGTCTACGCTTTTAACCAATAAGAATGTCGCGAGGTGTGAAACCCACGCGCACGAAATACAAACCACTGTTTAGTGTTTACATTTCCTTCTCTACTGTGACAACTGTGCTTCGAGTCTGTTACAAGTTTAAATTATGTTTATTGTGAAGGCGATTTTAAGATTTTTTTGGAGATGAACACACGAGAGCTTATGATGTTGTATAAAGAAGAAATTATAAGAGGGTAAGTTGTATTGCAGTGCTTTTCGAATCGTTTGTGTCAAACATTTGTATCAATTTCAATATGGCCAACGAGTGTAATCAATATGGTTGTCTCTATCTATTTGTAGCGAATAAATTGATGGTTCCGTTACAAACGATGCAAAGAAATTCAAGACTTCGAAGGTCCCGAATAGCTTGAAAGTGAAAAGTCTGCTTCATTCTAATAATTCACAGACCACCGAAGCGCATGGCGACGCGAACAGATTCGACATTCAGACATCACAAGAGACTTGGTGAGTGTTACGTTTTATCTTTCAAAACTTAATTGTTCTAGGTGCTTTTAGAAGGAGATTTACACGTATATCGGTGTATACATAAGGCTGTTTATGCCATAGTTTATGCTTGGTATAAAGAAAGCATATAATTCGCTAGGTGTAATCTTGATGAATTGTTTTGTGTCTTAATTTATGTTTAATATTTTGTATTCCTTTTGGGGGTTAGTAACATTCCAAAGGACCAATTTTTGTCCTCACTATACTGCATTTGCTTTCTAAATGTTGTAAATATTAGATAGTTGATTTGACTTGAGTGTTCCAGAATGGTTTATGATTTTTAATACTATAGACTTGACTACTTATCCTGAAAGATAGCTATATATACATATTTAAATAAAACTTTCCCATTTTAAAGAAACTATAGAAAATGTGCCCAGACCCCAATTTTTCAAATTTCAATAGAAGGTTATAATTCATGTAATTATACCTGCCTATACCTGACAATACATCCTAAATTCTTTTACCAAAAATAAATCTTAACTCATAAATTGGTTATCATTTAGCATGTTCTATTATTAACAGATGCTTGTGCACATCTTAAATTGGAAAATTTAAATACCAGATCCTCTTATGCATTTATTTTATATTTTCAGGTGACCTTTGTTGATTATGAAGATCATGAATTAAGGCGATGATGTTATTGCAACAGTTGAGCAGGCACCATACACTCCAACAAACAAGAACAAGGGTGACCAACAAGACAAGAAAACACCACCAAGTGTCAAGTCGAGACGACATCAAGTCAATAAACTGTTTATAGAGTAAGACATTATTTTAAACTAAACTGCATGCTTCAAGATATTTATATAATTCATTACTGTGACTTCATGTTAATTCTTAATAGTATTGGAACTTAAAATATATTTATAAATTAATATTGTGTTTGTGTGTTTTCTAGCCATGTTTATATGTTACTTTTAGGAAAGGTGTGCAACTTTTTACTTAAACAATTTGTGTGTTCTCCAGCACAGCTTTAGCTGTGTAATGAAACACACCATGGTGTGTATGAAAACACACCTTCTTTGAAAACACACCTTAGAACGTGTTAAAATTTGGACAAGCCAAAAACACATCTTTTGGTGTGTTTTTTGACACACCTTTTAGTGTGTTCTACACACCTTTTGGTGTGCACAAAAACACACCTTGCTATGTGTTAACACACCTTTGAAGATGCTTTTTGCACACCTTATGGTGTGTTAAACACACCTTTAGGTGTGTTTCAAAACCCACCTTTAGGTGTGTTAAAATTTGGACAAAAAAGGTGTGTAAATTTAACACACCTTTTTTTAGTGTGTATAAAGTAGAATCCTGAGTATACTCACAACTGCCGGTGTATCACACTTGAAACAAATGAACTTGCCGCTAATTTTCTCGTGTTTTATAGTCGATGCTGTTAATCTCAATGTTCCGACAATCTCCGGACGAATTACGTTTTTGGACACTCGGCTCCATGCAGCGCTGTGGGTGGATGAAAAGTTCCACGGAAACAGGCTAGATCTGTTGCTAGATTTCTCGTATAAACGAACACTGGTGAACTATGGCATATGGCATATGGCTGTTATGTTCTCCTGGACACAACAAGCCTTGCACATACAATATCCCTTGAGTATATTTCCCAAAAGCAAAAGCATCATTTTAAGCCAAAATTTGTAAATGAGACAACAATTCCTACTTCCTAGTATTATTCGTCTTAAGAATCTGAAACAGACGTCGAACTTTCCACTTGCTGAACCTAATGTTAATGCATGCTATGCTAATGATAACATGTCTTTGTTTGTCGACATATGAAACGGGCCTTCGGGGCTGTTGACAAGAGACCAATCACCCGAGATTCAAGAAAGAGTAGGATAATTTTGAAGTTTGAACAATGGAACAATGCTAGTTTTTATTTGTCATAATTGGACATATTTTACGCCCATATAATTGTGTTATATTTCTTGTATCTCTACCGCGGCATTTGAAAACCTGGCTAAACACTGCAATTTAGCCGGAAACAAATTTAGGTATAGTCCAATTTCTGGTGCAGTTAAAAGGATATCTCGGTATATTTATTTGACAATGCACAGTTTTAAACTGACCCAATTTTTGCAATGTTAACAGACTTGCACTAGGAAATCTAGTTCATAGCGAGGTTTCCATGCAGTGTCTTCATTGCGAGTGCATGCAATCATGTTAAATACTTGCATATATATATATATTTTTTGTGTGGGTTCAAGTAGAAAATATTTAAATATATGTTGGCTTCCTTTAGTAATGATTTCTATCATTTGGACACTGTCCCGGACACAGCGTTTCTGCATGCTGATCATGCAATTATGGTTGAAGATAAAACATTCAAAATCAAACTGATTAAGATTCCAACCACTAAGTTATATAATAATTCCTGGAAGACATGCTCCCATTGCATGCTTCTCACATTTCAATAAATTGTCCGCCATAATTTTTGCTTCACTTTTTTAGGGGCAAGCAAGTCCTTCAAGAACTTAGTCTATTATAGGAATCAGTTCTGGACACAATGAGTTTAGGTGTGCATGAGTGAACTTTAGCATGCAGGTATATATATAAGTTTATCGCAAGTAATAAATACGTACGGACGTATAAAAACAAATACGCATATTTACCCAATTGTGCTGGTGTAGTGATCACAACGACATCATTACAAGTACTTCTCGTTGTTTTGTAATGCTTGTCCACAACGTTCACACATACTTCATATCTCATATTTCCTTCGAGACCGTCCACTATAGCATTTGATATTGATCCAGTGATATTCTTCTGTTGTTGTATCGTTGACGATCCCTTTTTTAAATGAATAGAATATCCTATCCCGCCCGGATGTTTTATTGGTCCCTTCCACGCGAGGTATATTGCTGTTGATGATATCGGTCTTGCTTCAGTAAGTGTTACTTGTTTAAGATACTCTCTTTCTGAATCAACACCTTTAACAATATAAACAGAGAATTGAACAAGGAAAAGATTGGAACTTAACATCGAGAATGAAAACAACTTCTGGCTTGCGAGGTTGAAGGATTGAAATCCGATTTACATAATCAAACAATTCCCATCAGTTCAGTCGTAACTGCTACTATCACGTCGTGGGATGTCTCGGCCAATACCGCCTTAACAATCTCTCAACTACATTTAAATTCCATTTCTTTAGCAAACTATGGTTGAATTAAAAACCTAATTGACACAACAGACCAGGAATGTTGGTGAATATATTTTTTGAGACTGTTTGCGAACAATGCACCAAAATAAAGAGATTGATCCAGACTTGAACCAGATCTATTAATGATACGTACGCCTACTCGTATATAGCATTAATAACATTGACTATCCCACAAGGTCGAGATCCACCAGTATTCATGTAATATTTCAAGGTCTGTCCGAAAAAGGGTTGATTTCTAAATTGCATCAGTCGATGAAAATGGCATAAAAATGCGTCTGTTTTTCTATATGTCAAGAATTCAAAAATATTGATCGATTTGAACATGGATTTGATTGGAATACTTGCATAGAAACGGCCAGTATCTTGTAAAGCGCATTGAAGGTGTAACTTAATCTTACTGGGTTATAAAGTATATAAACGTTGCCAGCCAGCTAGCCGCCTGGAATTCAGCCAAGAGCTGGGAAATCCCAATAACGGAATAAGCCCCTCTTCGCTGCATTCCAACCAAGACAGTGGTGTGGAATAAATAAAAACTTTATACTATGATATGATTATGAGAATCTTGCTTTACGCAGTCGTACGCTGTGTTTTTTGTCGCCGAGTGTGAGACGACTGTTTTAACTCTTGTCGTTGCTGTTGTCATAGTTACTGTCGATACTGCTACAATTGCCATTCTTGTTGCTGCGCGTAATTGCATTTTCAATTATCAAATAGGATTACACTGAAGGCTCTTTTAGGGAAGTGGCAATTAAGTGAATTTCAATCAAATAACAGTGAGTCTAATCATGCCAGGGATTTCGTAATAATAGAGTGAATCAAATATCTGACAAAAATCACAAAATACTTCAGAACTGTCCTGTTATACTCATGTAGGCTGTAGAGAGTGTAAGAGGACATAGTCGACTTAAGACATATAATTAGTTCAGATATTCCACTGTTTCCACAAATCATCTACAACTGGTCAAAATCTATTGGGGGTAAAAAATCGCAAAAAATGCAATCTCAAGTTATTAATCTCAAGTTTTGCAGAGCGGTCTCTTGACAGCAAACGGAAGAAGAATCTAACTAACCTTAGCCTTAGGACACAGACGTGATGAAAATCTGTACCTATTTCTATATCTTCTCCAGTTAGTCTTATACTTACGTCACTGACTTTGTTTACCAAGTAAAACTGGATTCAAAATATTAGTGAGTGTTTTTACTCACGTCCGCGTGCTTCCCGAGGCAGCTTAGCATGGGAATTTGCGTCAGAAGACGCTGACGTAAAAAGGCTAATGAGAATTAGGAAGTTTCGTAGATAAAAGAGCTTATAAATAGTTGAAAAATCTGCGTGTTGCTTCAGTATAACAAGGTGTTTACCCAAGGATAATCCTACACTAACGAGATAAAGGCTAGATTAATATTGTCATTGGAAACGCCAAGATGGAGATCGACGAACCTAGTTTCCAGGAGTAAGTGTGGTATTCCTATTCCAGGAGTAAGTCTTCGACCCAGCCGACCAGCGGTAAATGCCACCTAAAAGCTATTTGAAGGTCATATTATTTGGTCATATTATTTGGTGATACGGAAACTCGACCGGCGCCTTCTCGCGATTCGCTGAGGCTTTGACTGGCTTCAAAGGTTTATTCAAATTTAGATCTGTGATTTCTTTTGCCATGCTGCATTGGGGGTTTATCGAGAAGTTCGTTGCAGTTTTCTTGTAACATTTAAATATTAGCTGAATTAAACGTGTTCAGATTTCTCCTCTTATTCTCAAGACCACATCGAGGACCTTTAAAGGTATTAAAAGCCCGAGTCTAGACTAGTTGACGATGTCAACAAACAACAAACAAGTGCAGTTGTAGCCTGAAACCATCTATAGCAGAAGATTTATTTCCTGTTAGTGCAGTTGCTAACTGGCAACGAAATCACAACAGCATTCTTGTGAGGTTGTCTGCCGGCTAAGCCTCGTTCAAAATAAGATAACACCGGCCATAACTGTTGACCTCATGTGAAAACAATGTTCGGTATTGTCGGATCAAATTTTGTTGACAGTTGTCAGTGCACATTTTGGGCGCTGGGCTTTTTCTTCATCCCGAGCATTTCTAGAGCTTAGGTGTTGCAGAACATCAAATTCTATAAACAAGGTGCGTGGTTATTGTGAATCAATAGAGTACCTGTCACCTGAACTTTACTATCGCCTGCGTTCTCCCAAGCACGTGGTATATATAGTAAATATCCCGGCGCACATTCATGATTGATTCAGTATTTTTTTACAGCTTAAAACTTAGAACTGGCGCCGACACTTTTTTTATCTACGACTGCATTATGAATGCGGGTTCTTTCAGGGATATCACTTGATGACAGCCCTCAATCAAAACGTCTGAACGTTTGAAAAAAAAATAATTCAACTCATCAGGCTTTAATTGAGAAGTTCCTCAACTATGTGCCCGTGGCAAATTTTGATAGAATTGAACGACCTTTGGCTGCATGACACAGCGAAAATAAAATATTCACTGAATAAAAAAATTGAAAAGAAATAAAAACATAGTCATAGTCATAGTGTAAAACTGATCTTGCATTTGATTGCTAGATTGAAACTCAATTTGACTAGGATAATCATAGACCATCTGTTTATAATACTCGATACATAGAGAAATAATGGTTCAATCTAGTTCATCATCCTTTGCAAGCTAGGACTTGTATTTACGAAAGACCCTTGACAGACGACATCTTCACTGGTAATATTGGGGAATACTAAAATAACATATTATATTTCGTAATGTGATTATATTTTGTAATGTGAGAATTTTTGCTAATTCTTGTCTTTGTTTTTCTTCACATTCTATTCTATTGTAATTTTATTTCTGATGTATTACATAATTTCATTAAATAATTAGGTAGAACCAAATAGTTTAAGCAGATTTTCAGCAAGTAACCTATGGGCGTCAAACTACTTTTTAACTACCCATTTAAATTGTAGTTAAATACAAAACCCTTGTTTTTGATTGGTTAAGTATAGACCTATACATCCAGGTGTGAATGTAATCATTTGAATTTTAAAGTTACATCTTTGAAACAGTTTAAAGATGGCTATAAACCAATAGTTGGTCAGAACAATAATAAAATTGGTTTAATTTAACTATTTAAGCAATTTTAATCCGCAGAGTATGAGCTTTGCTAATATAGTAATAATCCTGACCATGATCATGTACAAGTGCAACCTAAGACAATATTGACTTTTTGAATTTATACAACACACATGTAACATATATTTGTCAGACTACGATAGGTCTGTGTGTTAAATGTTCTTATGGAATCTGCACATGTCGTATTGGAATAGCGTTTTGCTTATATCCAATTTCCGCTCTTAATTCCGCTTTTTAATTTGTCACTGTCTCTAAATATTCCGATGTTTTTAATTCTATCTTCGTGTGTAGTGTCTACAGCAGCATAGATCGTTCTGTGTTTTTAGAGAAAATACCAAAACAGCATCGCTAATATTAAATGTTTGTTTTGACTGTTTGTGATAACTATGTGTTGTTTCAACATGGCCATGTAACAGTTGTGGCTGAGAGCCTGAGAGGAGACCGGAGATCCCCTGCTGTTCATGAGAACACAGATTATGACGGTATAGACTCGTGAAAAATACTCCTGAATTCCAAAGACGATACTGATCGTGCATCATTGAAGAACATGAACAGAAAAAACAGCAATTAGACTTATAATGAATAGTAAAGCGATTAGAGAAAAAAATAGTCTAGTCATCATTGCCCAATTGTTTGTGATCTTGGTTAGCGAATTATAATATATGATTAAACACCTTTTCCAGCAAATTTACTGAGAACGCATTCAAATTTTTCAAATACTTCAACTTAAACGCCAGAATTTGGACACTTCTATTATGAGTGTTTAGTGTTTTGCATACATATTTGTTAACCCGAGCAAATTTGACCCCTTGGGTTATCCTTACTTTTCTGTATGCTCACCATTGTAGTTATCAATTACTTTTAATTAGAAAATTTAATAAAATAAACTGTTTTACAAGATCTTTGTGTTTTATTACATTTAATTTTGAACTTGTATAGATGCTATCTGCTATCTATAACTTTGTCTTGGGAATAAGGTATACTTGGCGGGGCATGATTGTGTATAATAGTACGGCAAAGTCAAAGAGATAGAGGGTATAATTAAGCTTTGAGTGAACTATATAAAGACAATTGACTCGTGGAATAATTATAAGTAATTTGCGAAGTTGTTATATCGCCTATAAAAGCAAGTCATCGTCTACACAAATGTGATAATATATTATCATGAATTCATCTCTCCAACTGAGTTCAGCCTCCATGCCATCTACTGCGGCAGCAAAGGAGGTCTTGATCCGACAGAAAGATAAAAAAATCTGTTTTCTATATTTCGTAATACGAGTATTTTCTGCAATTAATATATATTTGTAGATTGGTTAACTTATAAAATATTTAGCTTCCCACTAAGATACTCTCAGCTATACTGGGCGTAAATTAATGAGATGAGCAACAGTCATAAAACAAGCGCAATTAAAACGAGTGACCAGTTGTTGAGATGAAGCACTGTGGACTTATGATCAAAATATTTCAAATCGTCATAAATAAACATAAGATCAAAAAGCACATTGCGCAAAAGTCAAATGACGCAAGATACACATGTACCTTGACATTGTACAAAGTGTTCCCTAGTGGAAGTATGTAACGATCTAAAGGAGGTTTAGCTTGTCGTCTAAACTCTTACGTCTCATCTCCCCTACAGTGGAGATAAATTACACCAGACTGCAGATTGTGTTACAACTCACCAGTTTGCCTTGAACAGAAAATAAGGAGAATGGCGCAAAATATTCGCATCTTTGTAATTACACTTTGAGCAAATACCAACATTGACTTTCCGTTGATCTTCCTTGTGAGTAAATTACTACACGACCATTAAGAAGATTTGTCACTTGACACTAGCACCGCGAACACACGCGCCACAATCCCGCTAAATTAGGTTTAGTTTCCTTTCGACTTTCCTTTCGACATTCCAGTGTTTTATGATATAACGTAATGTGATACAAGTTATAAGAGAAAGAAACAGCCCTGTATTATAGAAGCCAACGTGCCTATTTTGACTCTTCCTCTTCGTTGAGCGCCGTGTCCAATTTTAGGAATGCCTAAATGATATTATAGGTATTTGTCACTAATTGTGTGATATTTCTCACTTCTTTGTTCCAGCACAATAGGAGGGGAGGGATCAATTCGACATGAATACAAGGGGCACTTTGATTTTTATTGGTTCAACAGTTAATCACCTACAAACCTCATATTGTTTACCGGGTCGGCTACCTTGGCTCTCTGTGGGCCTGTGGTTATTGGTTGACAACGCAAAGCAATGTCAACAATGATTGTGAACGTCAAGACGGCCACTTCATCTTTCTAGCTGAATAGATGCACAGTTGTTGCTTACTGCCATGAAAGGTCGCTTATAGCTTTATGTGGGAAAGCACCAAAATAATGTCTTAATGTAGCTAAATTACGCACAACACGAATCTATAAACACATGGCTGTAGGGCCTACGTAATCTATATAATTAAAAAAAAACTACAGGGCTACGGGGTCCGGGGATGAAGTTTAACTGATATTTCTTTGATAACCTCTTGATAATACATGCCTATTTTATTGTGGTTTTAATATTTAATGTCATGAAATTTTGCCTCGCCAACTACAAACACACAGCCTGGAAAAAACTTACTTTTGTGGTGTATGTCCGGTCTGACTCTCTGTTTATAAACAGCTTATAAGGTCAAGTTAACAGATGGTTAGAATTTGATAATGGTGATCATAAAAGCGATACAGTACACTGAGATTAAATACGTGGAACACTTTGCAGAAATAGTTTATTCCTGTGCCACATTCTAGACACAAACATGATAAAGTCATAAAACATCTGAATTTTATGTCATATATAGTTTGAGCCAGATGACGTAACAGCCCCATACTGAATGGAACCGTAAAAAACGTAACAACATATTTGCTTTGTTCAGTAAATTCATAAATTTCTCATTCACTCGAGAGCGAGCGTGGAATAATTCCACTGGCTCTGTTTGCTCATATATTTTCACAATTATCCATCCACCTGCTAACGTATCTTTCATTGCACGATCACGTGGAACCAAACACTATCAATATATAACAAACGTGATGTTGGTTTACTATTTACACTTTCCAAATATAAAATTCAAATTGGAAATCAAAAACGTATGACAAAAGGTTATTAATTTATTTTGAATCAAATAATTAAAATTCCATCCAAACATCATTTACGAATATATAACATTAGCCCCGTTTACACTACATTCAATTTATCGGCGTGCCCATTTCATCCGTACTCGGCCTTTTTTTGGTAGCCTGAGCACCAATAATATTGGGCACGGGTACCCATTTTAGCCGTGCCAATAAATTGCCTGTAGTCAAACAGGGCTATTATATAAGGTTATATACAATCTCTATACGTATACATTATATTTAATAAATAATTACCTCCTTTATAGTAAAGTGGTCTGTATTAACTGCTCTACTACCATAGTTAGTTTTTCAAATATATTCCCAGAGAAGTAAACTTTTATATTCTCCCAATTCTAGGTACCAGGGCCATGCCTTCACTTATCGCGTGTTGTCTAACGCCCTGAGCCGGTGTTTACAAATTATTCTTTATCGGCTGAGATACTATATATCATTAAATATTTAAAGCATTGACGCCTTTGATTAAATTAATATTCTTAATTTCTGTCTCTAGTCAATTTTAAGCTCAGTTAATTAAATACCGTGTAGCATCACCTGTTGTAAGGTAAAATCCAACTTTATCACGCCAACCACGCCTATAAAAGGCACCTTTTCTGTGATTTTTCAACACAAAAAAGTTTAATGCCTCAAACCTTCTACCCAATGAATTTTTTTTTACCGCAAGTCAACTTTTATTAAAAAAATTTTTGCAATTGTATGGAAAAACCACTTGAAAACTACAGTCTGCTAGTACGAATAACAAAGTTTCGGATCAGTATTAAATTCAGTAAGAATTTTTATAACTACACGGCGTTAAAATGAATAAAAGGTTATGGGTGTGATGGCATTTCAAAGTTGGATCGATTACCTTCACTTTACACACTACAGTTCACAGAGTATAGTATATATTTCACATTTTACACATTCTAGTTCAACTTAGTCTGGCATGCATACAACTATAAGCAAGTTGAGCAGATTTGATAAATGTCATTATTTAAACGGAGACAGCTAGGAGCAATCTCATTTCTAATAAGTCGCAACTTTCAGTCATCAGCCCGCTGAAGACAAAGAAATTTAGACTCATGAGTTGACATATATATCTGCGAAAAACTGCGCGTTTTTTGTTTCGAAAAACACACATCTTGCTCTTGAATTAAATGACATCGTATATACTTATATCTTCCCGCTTATTAAATCTAATTTAATTCTTTAACTTAATACAATACACATTTCAGACATGCACATTTCAACTTCATGAATTCTCATGTACAGAAACATTAAAATGTGGGAATTTGAATTTCAGCTCATTATCTATTGTTTTTAATGTTCCCGTTGTAAACTTGAAAAATATTTAGCACGTTTTCACGCCGGTCCAAGACCTGCTTTCAACAACCTGTTTCGAAACCTAACGCAGGAATCGCAACCAAAAAATACAACTCGAAGCCAAAGGCCCTTTATACACAGTAAGAATAGTAAAAGATAAATAACTGTCGAAACATTGTCAGAGAAATAACTAAACCGTTGTCTCTTTCTCACAAATCTCGATTGCACGAATCTCAGTCGGTGATTCGATTGGATCATTCGCCAGCATAACTTCCTCTTTCTGATGAGCAACTCTCATAAATGAAGGACAAAACGTAGCAAGAAGTACAGGCAAAAACAACAAACCATGAAGAAGGCCAAGAACCACAATACCAAACAGAATACGGAAGAATATATGGAAGAGCTCTGATTCTGAAAACGCTATCACCACTATTCCAAGAAATGTACTTACACCTAAAAAGAGATGAATAAAATGAGAAACTATAACAAAAGAACAGGGATTTTACATTATACATAACGTGGTATATTATATGTACTTCTATCTGTGCTTCCACTTACCTCCCATTAATACACTGATACCAACTGTACTCAGGGAACGAACGATACGTTGGTCGTTTCCAGGAACGTCAGATACAACAAAAGCGTGGGCCACGTGAGCGCTATAATCCACACTGTAACCAATAGCCATTACCAGACCAATCATTGATATACCATTCAGAGAAACATCCCATATATACATTAATCCAAATAATTCTATAACTAGACTGGCAAAACTTAAAAACACAAATAGGATAACAATTGGGTGAACCAGATACACACTGCTAACACCAAGTATTGCTATTGCAGCAATAAGAAGGTTGCGGACAGTTTCTTTAGCGGTCAGCGCGTACTGTTCATAACTTATAAATTGTTTCGCGATAGGAAAGCTCGGGAGAGGAGATTTTTCATCAATGTCCTCACGTAGAGTCAACATTGCATCTCGTAGTTTTAATGAATCTGTCGTACTGATAGTATAGACGATCATTCGACACGCAATAATTTTCGTGTTTTTTTCGTTAAACACGATATCCTGTTTATACATTTGTCCTGCTTTTGAATTAACAAACATTTTAACAGAATTGTAGAAATCAGGTCCAGTGAGATTTCTTTGATTTCCGGTTGCCCAGCGTTTAAAAACTGGCAACCAAAATATACTTGCATTGACCAAATAGAAGTCATTTGAAAAGGCAATTTTTTCAAGATTCATAAGTTTTTGCTGCGTCTTTGAATCGCTGTACTCAACGTGTTCACCAATGACGACAAGATTGACTTGAACGGACTGATCGTAGTATTTCTCAGTCGTTCTGATGAAATTTTTAAAATAAGAGCCTTCTTTGGCTACGACGTGTTGATCAAATCGCTGGTCAATATGAAACGTGCCGTACATTCCAAGAGCAAACAAGGTTAGAGCCATCATGATCACTATCTGTTTAATTGGCGTCTTCACGATGAAACTTGCCCATCTTTTCATTATGTTTGTGCTTGAAAAGTGAGGTAAACGATGGAACTTCAAATATTCCGATGCTTTGGATAGGCTACCGCTATATTGGCACAGCAGAACGTCAATCTTTCCAGCTTTAATTCTATCAGCATCAAACTTTGAGGCTGCGACGAAGAAAGTAATAATAAACAGGTAGGCGAACGCGATGCAGAGTGAGGCATAGATGCAGAAAATACGTATCGCTGGAAACGATGTTAATGTACTAACTGCGAACGCTACCACGTTTGTCACGGACGTCATAGTCACGGTTGGGCCAGTTTGAGATAGAGCATGCGCGATACGTTGAGTGACAGGCCAATCAAGAGGTACACGGTCAAGTTCATGAATAATTAAGAACATATTATCAAGACCAATCCCAAGCACCAGAAAAGGCAAGACACCAACCATACTGATAAATGGTAATTGCAACCACATACCAAAACCTAGACCAGCTGCTATGCCATAAACAACAGCAAGCACTCCAAATAGAGAAAGCAATGAATGACTTCGAGCACTTTCCCGGATATTACCAGAAACAATACAAGCAAAGGAAATCATGAGAATAAAAGTTACTGATACAAGACGAATATCTGATCCAGTACTTTCACCAATAGCATCATCAACACTTCGAGTACTGGCGTACGACATATCCACATGCTTCATTTTATTTTTCAACCCAGCAAGTTCATCAAGAATGCGTTTCTCCAAAGTCAAAACTTTATCAAGTGTAGTCTCGTCTTGCGGATTTCGCAAAAAGTAACGCATCATCAATGATCCAGAATATTTCAGTTCAGGTTGGAGCGTTTTTCCAAAGATTGCAGGTAGATTTAAATAAAATGCTCTTCCGTTACTGGCTAAACGATCCACATTATAGTAAGCTAACGAAAGATGTGCCGGAACATTATTTAAACTACCATTACCATACCAAGTCACAATATCCAACGGATTCACCATTACACAATCGGAAATACTCTCAGCTGTCTCCTTTGATAACGTCGTACAGTATTTTATGAAATCTTTCTGTCTTGTAATGGCTTTATGGATTTCCAAAGCTTCTTGAAAACACTCCTTGGTAAGAACACCAGACGACCTGTTGGAAATGTCCGGATATTTTGGAGTTAAGATAACAATCTCTTCTCTATAATCCAAATTGAAATATTTATCAGCAACTTTGAGATCGCTGATAGCGCGGCATCCTTCAGGAACGTACAATTCCTCCCATCTATTTGCAAACTTGAATTGTGTAAACCCACACGCGAGAACAGCAAGTAGGACATGTAGGGCTATGAATGTCGTCCATGTTCTCCGGCAAATAAATTCCCCTAACACACGGAATTTGGCACTGATCACTTTTAGGTAGTAGCTGCAGAAATACAACCAGACCTCATAAGGATTATAAGGTTCTCCACGAAAGGTAAGGCTGTAAATGAAAGAAAGAAAGTAAAAGGTTAGATAACAGAAAAACGTTGTTTTCTTCATTTATAAGCACAAACGTTCATTTTTTTTTGCCACCCACTCTAAACACCCACTGGTAAAAGGTGGGAAGTTTAACCAATTAGATGGCAAAAAAGCTCATAATAAGTCCGCATATATTATAAATGCATAAAGTGTGAAAAGCAAAATACTGTGAATATACAAGATATGACAGCACCGGGCCGAGTGACAGCTAAATACATTTTCCCCACTGTTTGGAATCTTAGGATAAAACCTGGGGGAAAATTTGACATGCATGACTTAGATTTGGATGTACACGGGAGAGCAGATTGTATGCGAGATTATATGCGAGATAGTTTTTATTTAAGACAAACATGTTCCCATGCAGTGTATTGACGATTTTTCACAACATCGTCTTATCAAACGGTTCACTAAGTGCCCATAGGAAACTTCTCGACGTTTTCACCGAAGGAGGGCCTTCGTCGTTTAGAAATCCTTTTCGTAAGTCTTGTATTATGTCGCCATTCAAGTGACTTATCTCTTACTTTTAATGCGTGTAAGCTGTCTGTCTTCCGGGAGACATGCTCAAAGAAGATTACGAGACGGCTTGATACATGTTACTGTATGTGAACTTGAAAATATAAAACTGAATCATTCGACAAACATAACAGCCAACAATAAGATCTGACAAAACACTCGATAAAAATAACTTGATAACTCCTAATTAATAAACATGCAGACAATTTTCTGTAGGATGTTTATATATGTAATATAGTGATATAAAATGTTTTGTTGTAGGCTTGTAGCGGAAGGAGCGCAAGAAATTGAACTAACGTGCAGCTGCTGATATCTTCTGTACAAGTGTGACACAATACATGCATGTGGTTCGCAACAAGAATAATTTTAAATGTTAAGTGGCAGAACAAACATTGGCTATTTATTGCTACATGGCTTATTCTCTTGCATTCCTATATTACAGCTGAGAGAAGCATATATAGGAAAAAATATACTATCATATTTTTATATGAAGTATTTGAGAGGAAGGCCACCACGCATCACACTTTATTCTTGTTTTAACTCCTATCGTCATGCAATACGTTGTCACTAAAAATAAAATTTCTCAGCGTCGTATATTCCGCGTCCGCGTATATGTTATTTTCCTATTGCTTTTGACAAAAAAAGCAAAATCATAAAAAACGTTTATATGAGATTATTAATTTTATGCGTATAGGCTATAGCTATACAAGTTTGGTACGAAATAGAGAAACGAAACAGCAATTTCAAAACAAAAGCCAATTATATATAGCATCACACAACGTAGACAACAAAAACTGAGACAGAAGAACAAGTCAATATGAGATGATGACAGCCGGTGCATGATTATAGGAATGATAATATACCTTGGTTTCCTTGGCATGATGAGGGAAATTTCTTAGCAGCCAAATATGTCAGAGATTGCCAGTAAATATAACACATATATGTTATTCAAACAAAACAAGCAATAGTTTTGATCTAAACAATCTTTCTTAACTGCGTTCTTTTTGGCAAGCCAATCACGTTGATTCGTTGTGCTTTGGTAAACCACAAGTTTTCTTGTACCCGCAGCTTCACCGTGTCAACATTGCTTCAATAACAAGTCTATACGATGCCAAAATACCTTCTCATGCTTTACACGCGGTCTCAATCTGAATAACAGACTTGTCACTTGCTTTGTCGATTTTCTATTTCATTTTTGTTCAGTTGTATTGACATACCGGTATATAAAATGTGCCTATCGTTTGCCGCTACATCAGTTTATATGAAGCAAACGGTCCAGAATTTAGCCATTCATATTAATTTGCACATATGATACAAGACTTGTCATTAAAGTTCCGTTAGCCGTTCATTGTTATTCTGACTGAATTCATGTTAAACGCTTAAACGTATTAAAGCTATATTTGTTTAATTATGAATATATGGAAACAGTCTTTTCCGGCTTTCAGGCCAACGCATATATGCAAATCTCAAACTTAGAGTTAATATATGTTTTGATGAATTCCCTCACAAACAACAGCCCAAAGAGAGCTATAGTAAAATACCCATCTTACGTAGAAATAATAAAAACTGCTTATTCTATATTGCTGGGATACGCGGAAGCAGCTGCTTCGACTCAGCTCATGCCCTCATGGAGAACAGAACAATAAGAGTTAATATAAGACTCTGTTGTTTCGGAACCTTTGATGTTCTCGCGCATGTCAGTTACATCAATGACATTTTGTGGTCAATATAAACACGCTGAGATGGCTGGCTGTTTCGTCTTTTCACTGTCATATATTGCATATTTTTGCATAAAAACGAGGACTTGCAGGTTACATGGTTGAGTGTCTCCCTCCTAGTCCACTCTTCAATGACTTTATTCTATTTTATGGAGCATTGTCTTAGTTTGTAGGCACGTGAAGAAAAATTTTCTAGATGTCGAACTCATTAAATAGCTGCATATTCTAACTCTTATAACTATGAAAAATTAACCGTTTTAAGCCTAGTCGCGGTTTTGAAGTTATTTTATTTATACACGACAAGATATATACCGTTTAATAATATATTTCATCATCACGTTTTATCCATACAAATTAAAGAGAAGTTATAACTAACATAGTAACTATAGTTTTTACACCATTGTTCAAGATAGCATTGTGTAAAAAACTAAAATTATGTGATTGTTTAAATTTTTCGTGCTAACAATTATCAATTAGCAGGATGTACATGAATATAAGTATAGGCTGTATAGCTACAGCCGGAATATACGATAACAAGTTATCTAAAATGTATTCATACCTAGCATCATTGAAGTAAAGATCCGTGTTTTCAAAACCATTTTCATCATATTTTAAACGTTGACAGCTTTCCTTGTCTGTGTGAACAGATGCCATGAGACGATGAAAATCTAGCGTAACACAAAATCTTGTTACAATATTACTACAAACACGTGGAGATATGAATATACAAACACGTTTAAACCAATCAGAACAATGCCGCCACCATGTGTGACGTGCATCAGTAAAATACATGTTTGTCTTTAGAATAAAGCAAGGAAATGCATGAAGCCGAGCAGGCCTGGTAACAAAAAGCTCGTTCCTGTAAGGTTCATAAAATAAAACGCTAAAAAGGTCGAAATAACCCCGTGCTCTTACTGGGTATTGCAACATAATTTACCACTCAAGTCGGAGTATTCTACCATGGTTTGTTGTTGAGTGTTTAATTTAAATAATTATATGTTCAACTCAGCTTATCATCGTTCACTTATTATCCAACAATCGGTCTAGGAACGCATTGAAAACCAAAAGTGCATTGAAACAAGTTGTGAATTTGCAGAAATTTACAGGAATGAAAAACCCCGAGTTTAAGAGCGTTAAAATGGCTGAAGAGGGCAAAATTATACTTGTTGTAAAACTCTCATCTGAATCATATGCACGAGTTTCCAGGACGCCTTCCATGAGAGGAGAAGGCAGTCTGGACTCTCGAGCCAGTTACTGGTCAGAAGCAGACGTATTAGGCTTTTTTGGGAATTAAATTCACACTGCGCGATATACCTATCGCAGTCTATATGCTGTTTAGGAAATCGGAGCTAACTGAAGATCAAAATCTTTTAAACCATTTGTGATCGAAATTTGGAAAATAGCCGCAACATATCTTATTGAATTAAAAGATTGTTCTGGGATTTGTTCAAATTTGCTTGCAGAATTTGTTGAAAATAAAAACGAGTTACGCAGTGCAATCCACTCAGAGAAGGTTGTCTACCCTGCAGCTGGTTCACTTTTCCATGTTTTTAAGTTTTTATGTTCGCAGGTCTGCATGTATGGGCGACTCTAAAATGAAGACTTGATGACTTGCACGTTCGTGACAATAAAGTGTTTGAATATTGAGTAATAACATGCTCTTATAGCTATTGCATTTGCAATATAACTTGTTCGTCTTAGTAACCAGCCCATTTTCACAATCAATACCCAACAGAGCGTTTGTATCAACAAAAACAGCAAGCAAGCTGACAGAATCTTTGTGAAGACGAGCACAGTTGAAAGAAAGTATTATAAACAAGACTATAGTAATGTGAACAATTGTCATTGTTGATAAATGAATTTATCTTAGAGCATTAAAAAGGGCTTCTGGAACTTATATTTGTTTTTCGTGTTTCCTATTTTTATAGCAATATTCCACTTAATTTACGCACTCAAAATTCGAGTTTGGATCACGCTAGAGGCAATTAAATTTATTGTTGTCGTATAGAGCAGTGCAAACCAGTTGATTTCACTAAATTCAGTACCGGTGAGATTATCACCTCAAAAACCTGCCGAATTTTTCCAGCCTCAATACAGGCCTTGTAACTGCATGATAATCCTCCAACTCCACCGCCCTTATGAATGACAAACGTCTCCGCTGAACCAGAAAATTACCACTAATCTAACTCAACTACGACAACGTGCATAAATATGCCCCGTGCATGCAGAGACAACTTAAAAACACAACGTGAAACATTAATGACAATGTCATATACTCAAGATATAAATTTATTGCCTAAATTGACCTTTCGTGTCAATAAAATGTATTTGAATGAAAATATAGTGCTTTCACTGTACTAGTTCTCTTTGTGGTAAAGCAGGTTCATGCTTTGTGATTCTAGATTGAGAGTTCTTTCTATATAAATGGTTTAACGTAACAAACATTACATACATGCAGGGTTACACAAGAGCATGATAACAGGTAATCCTCTACGACTGCGGAAGAAGGGCAATATTGTCCTTGGCCACCTGAATAATCTCGTTACATAAAAAACAGTTCTTAATTTTTAAATTTAACCTCTTGATATAAATCAGAAATCTTTACCGACTTAGTAAATCTTCTATGTTGCGTAAATCAATCTTTTCTGTCATATTTGAAAAATATAATACTTATTTAACTGCAGACTCTATATATTGCCCAAATGAAATATAGCTATCATTATGCAACATTAGAACACATACAAATGTAAGTATTTCACATGTTGATGATAAATAAAGTAAAATATAGTTAATTAAATCTATATCTGTTATCACCAGACAAAGTGTATATACTCACCTGACTAGATTCACCACAGATAACTCTCAGTTTTCTCACAGCTCTATAGGATATATCCGTTAAAAATTCTGCTGGAATGAAATATCCCTTTGTTTTGAGGGTCGAGACTGTCTGAAATCTTTGTTTCTACCGTGAAATATTGGCTTTGGCCTGTGTTGATTAAATGTGACGACAAACGTTTCATTAATATTCAACAAACAAACTTAGTCCCACCAACCCGCTGCAGACGTAAGGATCGTAAATATTTTTTTGTGTAGACTTTATAAACCAGATATCTCACTCCTGCCGCGTTAATAACTTCGGGAAATCTTCAAAAGACGGCATGTCGAAAAGATGAATGGCTACATGTCGATAAATTACTAGTTTTGCCTGGGGAATGAAATACTGATACAAATTTGACTATGGTTTGACCACGTAGTGTGATCGTACTGTGCTCTAACAGAATTTGATACGTCAGGGCAAGTCAAAGCCGCCTGTATTGAGAAATAGTACATACCCATGATTAGAATAATAGACTTTGAACTTCATTACGCAGATAAAATTATCAAATATATAATATACACTAATATTCATAAGATATATATAACAAGATTACAAGAAAACTTATTATGTAATATCTTAAAAAATATTATATCCCTTATTAACTGCATGGTTTGTTCGCTATTAGTCTGGTAAATCTATTGCATAAAATCTGGACGATGTAATAATGTTGAGAGTCTCTTCAGCATGTATATACTTCTTATATTGTACCGGAGTACTTGACGATGTACAAATTCGAAAGCCGGAATTTTTTCAAACCTAATTTATTTTCTATGTATTGAAGACTTTCCACATTATCGAGACTGCTTTTTCAGTCAGACTAAGATCACTTCTAAGAAAAACTAAAATTACTACAGAAGAAAAGCGATATATATTCTTTCCTTTTTGATAAAAAATTGAGAAATTTTTCACATCGAAGAGATGAAACATTAGGTTGCGTCTGGTAAAACTAAGCATATCTAAGTTCCTGGATCAGCGTAAAGTTTGTACGGCAAAGATACAAGACAAATATTATTCTTCAGCAAAGAATTGTACAACAAAGATACAGGACAAATATTATTCTTCATTCATGGGAGAATCTCCGTGATTTATGGTTTATATAATTGCAACCTCGCAAGCCAGGATTTCTACCTACACGCTCTACTACGACCCACGCTGCGAAAGTCTCATTCAGGAAATGTCCACTAATATTTACGAAATGATGCACGTAAACAGCAAATTCATCGTAGAACGACGTCTGAATCGTACCTTCTCTTGCCACAGCTCATTCTCCACACCACGCAACTTTTAAGCAAAATGAATGCCATTTGAATTAAACAATTGTAATAACCTAAACATAGAATTAAATATTACCACAAGACTCTCCATCCCTCAAGAGCTCTCCAATTTTACATGTTGCAGAGGCTGAGCACGTCATAGTATATCTAATACATACCCCAAGAAATCATCTAAATCCATCGTTCTTGCTCTTCGTTTATCGTAATCGTTGTCTGTTAAAATTTTCTGAATTTTTGGTTTAATATCAAAATTATCCTCCAGGAACTATAACATAACAAGATTACAGATTATTTTTTCAAAAATAAAAAATCGGACTTTATACTATAACAAAATTTAGCTCCAAGACACTTACTATTTCGTTCAGTGAACAATGAATTCTGTAGTTTTTCTCTATCAACTCTAATACAGCTTTTGAACTATATAAAAGACACTCAATTTAATATAATGGTGCATGAAAGAGTCGTTCTGAATCAGTCATTCGGTCATTCCAGCTTTAGATACATACTGTACAAGCAATATAAAAATGCTTTGGGGTAAAACATGATTGATGCACCAACCTGAAACAAGAAGCTAAAGTTTTGTTTTTTCTGACAAAAGCTATTCTGACAAGACCATCCCATTCCTATAGAAGTTTATAAAAGTAGACTATAAAATAAGGAGAAATCCAGCACAGTATAGTGTAGTGTATGCATGGAATCCTGTAATCAGGATGTGGTAAGCTGGTAATTAAGTTAATTAAGAAATACAACTGGCTGCATGGTGAAGCATGTGAATCACAGCTTGTACTAACCTGAAAATTGATTGGTGGAGGTGGATTCTTCGGTTCAATTCTGACAACACTTGATTCAACTTTTGGTGGTGGTCGAAAATTATTTTTACCCACCTGAAAATAACATAGAGAAAGATCACGAGAATGAAATTATTTTAATCATGGGAGTAAGAAATGGTCCAATAGCCAGCCCTAACTTCTAAATGCTTTTTCTCTTAAGCCTTGAATGACTCCATAATGTTGAGCTACTTAAATTTTATGTTAAACCCAGACTTCCTGTTTAATGTCATTGGGAAGATCTAACACATAACCACCATATTCTATAGTCGGCATGCAAGTTTGTATGGAATGGTGTTGAGGTGCACAAGGGTCTATGGTACTGCATGAACATTGTAAATTGTAATTTACTGAACTGCACCTTCATTAAATGATCAACTCTTGCTAGTAATTGAGTATTTATGGACAGTCTGCAATATAATTTATCTCCAGGTTTGGCAACTAATCTCTGAGCAAATTCTCTTTGAAACATCAGAACAGCACACCTGAAATTAAATAATATATTCATATGACATGCAATATCACTTGCAACACTTATAAATCCTGTCATCAATGTCTCAGTTGTACCTGAAAAATGGTCTGTGAAGTAGAAGCTTAAAGACAAATGGGGATGAAATCTAAAAAATATAATAAATATTTTCATATATGAAACAAACTACAGTATTTTCTACTACATACATAGTACATATATCAACTATTAAGGATTATATAAATGGGATAAAACTGGAGGTATAATTAGAAACACCATACGTACTTGATAAGGAAGATTAGCAACACAGACATCAAAATATGGCAGTTCTGCTTTCAACACATCTCCAACTATCACCTGCAGTTTTGAAGCATATGGCCTGAAAGAATAAGGGAAAGTTTAGAACAGATATTTTTCATGGAAATCCTATGGAAACTACTTACATTCCCTGCACTCTTTTCTTTAACTCAGCAACCAATCTCGGATCAACCTCGCAAGCAATTACCTATAGTAGAAACATCAGGCATATACTTATTGAAAAGATACGAAAAACATAAGGAACACTCTACACTGTAGTGATGATAGCGGTCTTTGAGTAAAGAAGGACTTCTAATCATACAAGATTATAGTATAGCATTATTTTATCAGCAGATACACAAAATTGGGACGATTTCCAACCTTTTTAACCTTTTCCAACAGTTTCACTGTCATATTTCCTGTACCAGGACCTATTTCAAGAACTGTATCTGTTGATCTCAACCCTGCCTAAGAAAGAAATCATGTGTACAATAGTTAGTGTGGTGTTTATATGAATTCTTAATACCTAATAATTTAATCATGATCCACTAGAGGTCAATTATCATCCACAAGACTTGAATCATGATCTCCATTACACGAAGGGTTAAATCATGCACACCACAAACTATGCTTGGACCATAAAATTACTATGTATTAACTTCAGAATTTACCTTTTCCACCAAACTGTTCACAACAAGGGGATTTTTCAAAATATGCTGACCGAGATCAGTCTTGAATTGAATTCCTAAAAATATTTAATATCATTTAGAATACCATATATTTAGAATACCATATATTTAGAATACAATATATTTAGAATACCATCCTGTAAGGAATATACCACTGAATACCACTGAATATGGACTAATGGACAAAAATTCTGTTTTATATTGTGGCTAACCGCTAATGGGTTAAGTACAGATACAAACCTTGGCTTGTAACTTGTCCATGTTGCCTGGATTTCTTTTTTATTCTCTCTTTAGGCATTATTAGCACTTTTCTATTAATTCTAGCCAAGTATTAAAGCTTCGTTCCTTGCCAACAGCCCAACACTTGGATAGTCTTGAAAAGTCCACTATAGTGTAAATAGCACGACGTAGCAGGACATAAGAGATGCGAAACCGAAGATGAAACTTGATGAACTTGTGTGCCCCACACACCACAGTTGCTTAGTTTTATCTTCCCTTGTTGTCTTTTTTTCGTTTCACATGGTCATCTAGTTTCTTTTCAGTATAAATAGTACACAAATTTATTCTACGTTGTGGCCATATACAGTTTTAGTTAATTAGTTCACACTGCATTATAGCACATTATAGCGAGTGAATTGCGGGCTCATGTCGGTCGTATAGTGACTACAGTCATTGAAGAACAAGGTGTACCGTGTATGTAATTAGGAATGCACTGGGTGAAGGTAGACTGTAGTGGCAGTAGTGTAACTGGTAGACACCAGTGGTAGACATATGTTAGGATGGTGGAAGAGATTGGTAGAGAGCTGGAATAATTACCGTTATCGTTTTGTTCCATGGATCATGGTTAATATGAAGAACAGGTTTGTATGATCACGTCTGTTACAACTAATCTAACTTCCTCCACAACTGATCATTCACTGTTAACAAAATTGTTTGTTAGTAAGTTTGCAAAGAGATGATATATGTTTCTACGACTATGAGTATGACTCTTTTGCCCTATTGATCTAGAACGTTTAACTCCGGCCGGCTGTCTTGCAGTTAGAGTCTTGTTCTTAGGTGCATGCTATATAGTACTTGATCGTCAATGTCTTGATATTGAACTCTTCTGGTGGCCTCTTCCTAAAATTGTTTCGATGGATCGCAAATGCGGAGCCAAAACTTTCGAACTATTGCCTGGCAGTATTGCAGTATTGGCATTGCACAGTTGGTTTACAGATCATGCAAGATTTATAGAGTTCGTGGAGGTGATGTATTCTTTTAGCAGGCGAACATTTTATGGTATCTAGGACATTTTATTAACTGCTCAAAACATGCAAGCATATATCAGCCATATCTCGCAAGCCAGAACTTGATAATCAGTGGTAAAAAGTTTTTGCCCGACCACTAGATGAAATACATCGCTACAAGGAGTTTTCAGTTCGAGGCGGTCATTTTAAATATAAGCATTTGTTTATTTTGATAATTTAAGGCACGTTAGAAAAGTTCTCGGATCATCCAATGATAATGTCATTCCTGAAACAGTAGTTCTCAGAACCTTTGAAAAGTATTTTAACGAACTTGAAAAACATGTCACGAACAAGACGATCTCGTGTGAGAAAATAATGACGAATGCGCTCGGCTTTTCAATAACTCGTTCATCAAGCAAAGTTTCAGGAACCGGAGTTGTTGTGTCAAATGGCAGAGTTAAAAAAGGAAGTCTTGTTTCTATTTATCCAGGTATTAATTTTGATAACACTTTTTCAATCCGGTAACAATTGGAACAACATTTTCCAACCATATAAAATCAAGTATACAGCACAATATTTCGAGATACTCACTGAGCTTAGGCTTATCATTTATAAAACCACGGCAGGCAATTGTTCACAAAAGTGTTGATTCAATATTCACCTCATACTTAGTGGTATTTCTTCAATTTTTGTTATATTCTAGGGACCGTTTATCAATCCTATGAACCAATATTCTTCCAGTCCCTAGCGAATTCATTTATATTCAGATGCATCGATGGCATACTCATTGATGGTAAAGATACGGGTTTATCCAGGATAATTTACAGGTGAGAGGGAAAGCCAACCTCGTTCCCAGGGCCTTTTACCCCAACTCAGAATCAAGGTTAAAGGCCCTGGGAACGAGGCGGAAAGCTACCCAAGATATCACTGAATATAGGATCCTTTTAAAAATACATATGGTATTTGAATGTCATCCTGCATGCCTGGATCTCGTTGTTTCTGATGATCATAATTATGAAATGCTAAACTTTCATTTGTTTTATTAGATCATGTTGTCAAAGGGATTTGGTTGGCGAGAAGTTTACATGTGATATGTCTTGGCTTACACCTAATCCTCACAACCTTTTAGCGATTGGACAATATGTGAATAATGCCACACGTGAATTCGCTGCGAACGTATCCTACCAAGAATTGAATATACCAAGCAGTTTTCCCCTGCAGTATTTGAAATATATTCCGAACGTAAACTACAATTTCAGAACATACAAATCTGAAGTAATTCATGTAAGAATCGTTGTTTTAGTTGCTTTGAGAGATATAGAACAAGGTGAAGAGTTGTTTTCTTCATACTTTACTGTTGTTTGCTAAGGAAATATGCATTTATACATTACCAATTGACGATCAGTGATACCCAAGAACAAAACAAGGTTACATTGGAACCACATTAGTTCCTGTATGACCTTATTCTCAGGATCTTGCTCGGCTGAGATTTATTACATGCGAATGGTTATCCTCTCATATTCTTTAATTAATTTCGTTCGGGAGATTGAAAATTGACATTATTAATTTGCATTTGTGGTTAGGCGAATTTCACTAACAATAACACAAAGCTGCATGGGTTTTCATCAAGTATCGCAGATATATTTAGCTATAGACATGTACTAAAGTAACTAAATTAAAAGATTTCAGTATTTTTATGATATAAAATGTACTAAAACTATATCAAACTAGATCAAACAATTACAATAAAAGATAGGAAAGGAATTTTAGGTACTATTAGTGCCTTATTAGAGCAAAAAACAATAAATATCCATCCACTATAAAATTTGTTCGTATTCTATACTGATAAACTAGTTTGGAAAAGTGAATGCATTTAGCTGCTAAATTTTAGCACTCAGATGCGGAGACTGCCATAAAAATCGCGTACGATGAAATAAGATAATGAACTGCGTGCATGGTTTGGTTAAAACGACAACGGGTTACAGTTTCACAGAAAAACCGTTTCAAAGTTAAAGAAAACCGTTTAAACAGCAAACCCCGATGTACGCAAGGTGTTAGACAACGAACGCAACGGAATTTCTGTCTACTTTGTCGCTGTCTCTATTGCAGAGTGACAGACCAGTGACCACAAGGACGAATATCTCCTTACGAAACACCGTACATATTTGTTTGTTGGAAAAACAAACTGTATTACGACAAAGTCTAAAGGATAAAAAGCTTGTCTTATATGAGGACCCGAAGCAGATATTTATGCACAAAATCGTATATATTCACTTAAGAATACCAAGCAACGAAATAAACTCGTTATTCTGTTCTAAGGTGGGCATTGAAGTTTTCTCCGGGCTTTGATTACCACTCGACTGTTTTTTCTCCTGAGGACGTTGTTTATCGTGAAATGTCAGTTTAAAAGGTTGAGGTTGAAAGTGACCAACTTCATACGCAACAACAGTAGCATGGTCAAGTTTACCAGGAATAGATCTTTTCTTTTTATCAAATTCTTCTCTCTTGCAATTTCGATTTTGTTCCAAGAAAGTTCTTCTTTTTAGCGTGTTTTGTACAACGAAGTTCATGAGTTTACCACAAAGTTCTTTCGCAGAACTCTCCTCCCCACAAGGACTTTCTGATTGGATCACCTAAATATAAAATATATTATTACATGCAATATGAAGGTTGTTATGCCCTGTAATGCGCAATTAAAGATCGCGCACGCGTAAAGCCCGTTTTCCACTAGGCGAATTTATTCGCGCGACGCGAAGCGATATTTGAAATCCGGTGATGTGATTGGCTTGCGAAAAAATTCGCCGCGAAAAGTTAAACCGCTGCCTACCTTTTATATTTTCACGAATAAATTCACCTAATGGAAAACGGGCTTAATGCTGTTTCACTTCACTTAAATTTATTTTCTTCATAGTTTCATATTGCAAATTCGTTTTCCTTACAGGTTTAGGGCCAATCATGTTAACATCGGCACATTCTTCGAAAGAATAATAATACTGTCTAGGGTGCATTTGTCTTATCACTGTGAAAACCTCTCACAAACCTTTTTCATAAATGTGCAAGATGAACTCATATCATCGTCCGTAGTTTCCTTGTCGACTTCTGCTGTAACCATATCTGCGTCAGTTGCCTTCTCTTGTTTATCACCTTGATCCAATAACGACTCTTGTGATTTTGACGGCTTCACAGGAGTTAGTAGATGATCTAAATCACCTGGAGAAGTAATCTTTAACACTTGCGGATCAAAATTGTCAGAAATCCCATCACTAGTCAAGAACACGATATCACCTTCGTCCACAAATGTAAATGAACAAGTTAAATTACTGAGGTCTGGATCATCACCAACCAGTGGTCCTATACAACCACCCGCTTGTTTCATATCTCTTTCCCCAGGGCTGTGAGAACCTACAGTCACCTTGTACATAACCATCCTTTCTGTACACAAATGCAAGACTATCACCAACATTCACCACACACAATCCATAGCAGTTAATGCCTTGTATTTTACATATGACAGCCGCACAGAGTGTTGTTACAGTTCCTTTGGAATCCACTATACACTCGTGTGCATATTTGAACGAATTTAACATAATATCCATAATTTCTTGTGTTGTGCTTGCCTTATGAAGTTGTTTACTCAGATATTCTATACAACCCTTCACGGCCGTTCTTGCAGCTAGAAATGAGTTCACACCCCAGCCACAACCATCAGCAACAGCAAGAAATGCATTATTTTCTCTTGCTACAACTGCAAAGGCATCAGCATTTGGTTCTCCAACAGGTTTATTTGTCTCAGGATCTGTATCGTACAAGCTTTCCGATAGGCCAAACGCTTTATGATGGTGTTTCCTCCAATCTTGGACACCAGCTATAGGATTAGAACTCACTGGTTGTGAACCGTGGAAATAGTTATAATAAGGTGTTTGTTCCACATCTAGACATCGTACTCCACCATCAGGTCCAGTATCTGCAGCCAGAACTTCGGTTGTCATGGGAACAATGGCACGACATGGCAGGTTGACGCTGGATCGTTCGGAAATGATATGTCTTTTCCATTGAAGCTGTTCTCTATATAAAAAAATGTAATCGTTTGAGGAAAAGTTTTCATGTATAAACATAACAATGAGTTCAGAGAAACTGTTGGTTGCATGATGAAAAAAAAACGTAAACGTCGACGTTTCGGGGAAAAGAGTATTTGTCTGGACGTTAGCAGAATGTGGGTCGTGAAAAATACATAACATTACCTCTTATAATTATAGTAAAATAAAACTAATCACTTGATATTACAAAGACATTTAGAAGCAGGCCATGATTTCTACGTATCACTTCGGAAACTGACTTTCTCATGCACCAGCACCACTGGGCACTTTCACTATCTTGCAATTTTTGCTACAATTTACCAGATACGAAGGAGTGAATTAGTTATGTCTTATGAATCAAGAAACGATCGTATATACGCCATTTAAGAAAGTCCACTCGTTTACGTCAAAAGTAGTGAAGTGTTTGTACGCACGATATCTGGAAATTCTCATGCAGTTTTCCTATGGCTGCATGTGGTGTAAAACAAATTTTGTCGATCGCCTTTCTTCAACCGTGTTACTTTAAAGAATTGTTGTTATTCATTCATAATCAGGCACGACGATGCACATACATGCAGCTAGGGTTGTCTCGTAGAGAGAAGCGTCCATGCATCTTCGCTTGAATGCATCTTTGCCGAGGCGGTTCAGCCGAAGCAAGCAACTCTTATATCAACATCATCTTCATGCAAATGTTTTCTCGATTTAATGATAAATAACATAATGTATTTCACACAGAGTGTTGCTGACTCATGTCATGAGGCTCATAGTAAAACTAAAGATAATGATTTACAAGAAAAATATCGGCATTTCCACACGTTTAGTCTGTCCTCATCATGATTATGAATTACGAGTGAATGCCAAACATAAAGCTAAATATAGTGAAATACTATCAATTGTGAAATTACAAATACAACGTCGAGTTGACATCTTATCGCAACTGACATCAAACACTTTGACTCGTAGTTTAATAAATGGCTATGGATTCATTGAATACATGGTTTTTAAAAGCGCAGACTGTGTGATTGAACTCTACACACGGATAGTAATATTCGCACTTTATAAACTCACACTAGTTCACTACAAAATATGACCGGCCATGACAGTCTTGACCAAAATCCTACCTTTCATCTTGCTGTACACCAAATAATGCGTCCACCTCTGAGTTTACTATAGGTATCTCATTATCACACATCGCAATACCTCTCGTAAACTACACAACTTATAGCTTAGAACAGTACAAATATCTAGCAAAGATTATGAAACCTGTCGTGGGCTTGTAATCTTATACATGCAGCTTATAGCTCAGGTCAGGCGGAAGTGTTTTAAGCCAATACGTTTGAGCTCAAGCATGTCGCGTTTTGACATCTCAATTATTTCAATTTTTAAAACGCTGCAGTCAGTGGATTTACCAGGGTTTTCACAATTCATAGCTGTCTCCCTGATAAAGAGATCGTGTGTATAGTTTAGACATCTCTCTCTCTCTTCATAGTCGGGTTCTTCATAAGGATAAGGGTTACTGTATGGTAACACGCAGCTGCAAGCCGAAGGGGTTTTTATGCAAGACGCACTCCTAAATCACATGAAGTGACATCCAAGGCGAAAGCAAGTCGTATACATGTATGAATATGAAGTTAAAGGGGTGGATGTTTTGTGTTTTACCCGAGACGTGCCCCAGTGCTCCATGTGATCTCACCTTTATTAAACACACAAACCCTACTTCTACAATAGAAGACGTGCATATTATATTTATGGAATTTAATTTCACATAAAATTTAATAAATAGATGTAGAATATGTAATTTGTTTATTGATTTTATTTTTCCTGTATTATATTTTAAATGTCATGACATTCCATGGCGTTTGAAAAAATAATCTGAATTTGGACCATAGCAGGTCGACGTGCTTAAATAAAATTCGGCACAAAAAATACCAAAATCCCTTTGTCGTCTACCTTATCTAGCACAAAAACTGGATGAGAAAATATGGCTAGTATTGTAGCGACTCTGTCAGCAGCCCTCTAAGGCTGCGGCCTTTTTCAAACTGAGAACAGATACTCTGTTTTAACTGCAGAAAGTTCGGCACATAACCAAGTTTATATCATATCATTATATTTGATTAAAAACTCTCAATCTTGCGTGGTGCACACCGTGCACTCATTAATTAAGAACGAACTGCAAATCTCAAGTAATTAAATTCGCTATTATATTAATTTACCATTGCAGTCATATAAAATACAACTTATCTTTCAGACACGTTAAAAAATACAATAAAATTGAGAAAACTGTACTGAAAAGTGTAGGCTATAGATATAAATGTCTTATATTATTCCTGCTTAACAAATAAATTCCAAAATATTTGCAGAAACGAAATGTGGTGGTGTAAGACCGCCGTGGCGTAAGATTTGTATTTCAGTTCAAAATACCTCGTAGGTTCAAGTACTGTGCATGATGCGGTGCAAACATAGATTGTTTGCATTCAACGTTCAAAATAAATGTTGATGAAAACCAGTATTGACAAGAGGCGAGGAATTCACAGGAAATTAATCACGAGGTAGGGTAAATTGCAGCTTAACAACACAGCCGTGAAAAAATGAAGCCGTACTGATAACTAGAAGATACCCAGGGGCCAGGCATACATACGTGCACTTCAAACAATGAAAGACATAATTAAATAATATAATAATATATATCAGTTATGGTAAAATCGAAATTCCCCGCTGTTAGCAGCTTCGTGTTTTCTATATTCTTGTAATTATATACCATGGCATGACTATACATGTCGGCCTGTCTTTCGACATAGTCGATTGGGAAGGTATAAAAGCCAGTTTTAAGCCAATGTTTGATACAGTATCTGATACTCACTAGCTAGTGTCAGTCTGAAGCATACCTGCTGAAAACCTTACAGAATAACATTGTTCCATTACAGTGACTTTTGTTCCGTTCATTTCTTCATCTATCATCTATATAGTTTACGCTAGACGTTTACAGCTAGTGTTTGCTGCTTTGAATCATGTGTTAAGCGGTGAAGATCCATAACGGCATAAAAGAACGTTTATACAAAATGAAATGTCCTTCATTTCATATCGAACTGCTTATAACAAACGACATATATTTGCATATTATATTGTACATATGCAATCTACGAGGAATATAAGTTATACATAACTATCGTTGTCGTTGTAAAAAACTATAGTTTATATCTAATGCCCTAATATAAAGGCAAAATTATGACGTTAAATTTTGTGGTCAAATAGGGTATCACTAAGTAGCCACGCACTGACTACTCTCATACGTGACTGTAAACGTTTCAAGTTTGGTTGCCATTTCAGTAGTTGTCGTGAATATGTCAACCTGGTTGATGTCTTTAGACATGATTGCCATGTGTTTTTTTGTGTATTTAGGATTCTCTGAACATAGACTTATCACTTATTAGTTATTCCCGACAAATTCACTATGTATAAATACTAGTTATACTACGCACATTTAGAAGAGACGAAGTGCCATAGAGTGAGAAACAAGGAAAGGTGTGATGCATGCATGACCCTTGGATAATCAGGATGGAATAACTATGATAGTTCTAATTATCGTTTTTTGTTAAACATAAAGCAGTAATTACAATAATTCTACTTTTCTCGGAATAAATTTCGGAGAATTTCTCCGGCACATCCATGTTAAAATTCTGCGGCGAACGTGCAAGAAATTGCGAAATCGTCCAAGGTTGATGTCATAGTGAAGCAGCAAAGGTCATATGAGAACTGATATCTAGGTCTTGTTTGAAAATATATTCTTATCAATATAACAACGTACTGCTGCACGGTAATATGATTGTGTGCCATTTATTCATGATGGAAAAACGATGAAACTATAAGATTAGCTGAATATTTCGGACAAGGGTAGATGCAGTAGAAATAAATACCTCAAAACAGAGATGAAATTATCGATATTTTTTTTCTCTTGAATATCACTTGGATCATTTTCATAAAACCCTGAGTCATAAGAAGAATCATCATCTTGGGTACTTTTGCTTTTCTTATCTTTGTCTTTGCATCCACCAGCTCTTCTTAAACCATGGAATAAACATGATATATTGCCCACTAGACTTTCCTTGCTTTTGTTGTTAGCATTCAAAGCTTTAACATTTGACTTTGATCGTGTCACCCTTAAAGTGATAGTATTCAAATACAACATTTTAATATGGAGATTCTATTTTCTACCTCAGTTAGAGACTTGGAGTGTGCAATGAAGCTCGAATAAGCTTACCAATAGATCTTGTAGTGCCTCATGTTGCGTAAACAAGCTAAGACGTGCAGCGGAAATTCCGCATTCACGAGTTTTACCGCAAAATATATACGACGCAAAGCGACTGACGTACTACGGAACCCTGGTGAGTAATGCATGTGATTCATGATGTTGTTGACAGTCTTTTTCCCAATTTTTCCTACTCTGGATTTCAAGTTTTGCAGATTGTCGCCTGCAGGATAATGTTAGGAAGTAGAATGGGGGGGGGTTATCATTTTATGAGAGAATTCTACTAAGCCTAGATCTTCTATGTTAAACACATGTTTAACTTTTGTTTTGAGACACGCACGACTGACATGAGGAAAAGCACGTAGTTGCTTGAAGCAATGTCAAGGTAGTGGCGGTATAGCGCTCAATAATACGTCTTTAAGATGTGGTGCTCATTTCGTCATCGTAGTCATCATTTCTAAATCGGGATCCAGTGTTGCACAATTTATTTCCACCGATCCCCAGGTAATAAGAGTGATATTAATCATATTATCGTGTGTTTTTTTCTCGTTTTCCCCTTCTCCTGAACGAGTTAGTATTTTACATATATATTATAGATTTGTATATTCTAAATTTCCAACGAACTTCGGCAAAACAGTGAACATCCACAAGTGTATCTACCAATGTTAAGCTAAAAATATTGCATAATAGCAAATACGCGTGATGGTTAGTTTGCCTACTCAAATTACTAAATACAACAACTTTGATTAAGAATAAATATTAAATTTACATTCCCTACATTTCTCTGTTTCATATATAGCACTATATACAGTAAAATCCAGTGGACAACGCGTGCAGGTATTTGGCACATGAAATGTTTTCACTGAAACACTGAAATGTTTTCTTGAGCCATACGTAAATCAAATTTAGTAGAATACATTCTCAGGGTCTCCATGGAGCAACGCCTTTTAAGGCAGAAAACATATTACCAGAGTAATCAAAATTATGTTCTGAAGTGCTCTTTGTAGTTTTTCTCGCATTTTGATCAACATTTAACGAGTGTTTTTTCTTCTCCTGAGGACGTTGTTTATCGTGAAATGTCAGTTTAAAAGGTTGAGGTTGAAAGTGACCAACTTCAAACGCAACAACAGTAGCATGGTCAAGTTTACCAGGAATAGATTTTTTCTTTTTATCAAATTCTTCTCTCTTGCAATTTCGATTTTGTTCCAAGAAAGTTCTTCTTTTTAGCGTGTTTTGTACAACAAAGTTCATGAGTTTAGCACAAAGTTCTTTCGCAGAACTCTCCTCGCCACAAGGACTTTCTGATTGGATCACCTAAATATAAAATATATGTATGGTATAATAACTATAATAGAAAGAAATTTTAGCAGTGAATTTTCATTGAGACTCGCATGGAGAACATTTTAAAAATAACGGGGTTTTTTCATAACGGTTTCGCACACGCTCAGGAAAATAAAAACCCCTTAAAATATACCTCCTTCATAATTGTACAAGACATATTTTTCGCCAAAGCAGTAGTTGCAATTTCCCTGCCAACTGGCGCTGAATAACTTCTTCTTCGTTGCGTAACCACACGAGCGTCAGTTGCCTTCTCTTGTTTATCACCTTGATCCAATAACGACTCTTGTGATTTTGACGGCTTCACAGGAGTTAGTAGATGATCTAAATCACCTGGAGAAGTAATCTTTAACACTTGCGGATCAAAATTGTCAGAAATCCCATCACTAGTCAAGAACACGATATCACCTTCGTCCACAAATGTAAATGAACAAGTTAAATTACCAAGGTCTGGATCATCACCAACAAGTGGTCCTATACAACCACCCGCTTGTTTCATATCTCTTTCCCCAGGGCTGTGAGAACCTACAGTCACCTCTTGTACATAACCATCCTTTCTGTACACAAATGCAAGACTATCACCAACATTTACCACACACAATCCATAGCAGTTAATGCCTTGTATTTTACATATGACAGCCGCACAGAGTGTTGTTACAGTTCCTTTGGAATCCACTATACACTCGTGTGCATATTTGAACGAATTTAACATAATATCCATAATTTCTTGTGTTGTGCTTGCCTTATGAAGTTGTTTACTCAGATATTCTATACAACCCTTCACGGCCGTTCTTGCAGCTAGAAATGATTTCACACCCCAGCCACAACCATCAGCAACAGCAAGAAATGCATTATTTTCTCTTGCTACAACTGCAAAGGCATCAGCATTTGGTTCTCCAACAGGTTTATTTGTCTCAGGATCTGTATCGTACAAGCTTTGCGATAGGCCAAACGCTTTATGATGACGTTTTCTCCAATCTTGGACACCAGCTATAGGATTAGAACTCACTGGTTGTGAACCGTGGAAATAGTTATAATAATGTGTTTGTTCCACATCTAGACATCGTACTCCACCATCAGGTCCAGTATCTGCAGCCAGAACTTCGGTTGTCATGGGAACAATGACGTGACATGGCAGGTTGACGCTGGATCGTTCGGAAATGATATGTCTTTTCCATTGAAGCTGATCTCTATAAAAAAAGGTTGTGGTTCGTTAAACAAAAAGCCGGCGGGCCACCTCAGATCTTTTAATAGTTTTTTACTTGAATAGCAAACATGTTCAGCGTTGTAATTTAGGCGTCGGGCAAAGATTCGGATACAACTGTCAACTGATATTTATAGTTCATGGAAATTAGTGACTATCTCAATGCTTTTTCCACGGTTAATCGTTTAATTTGTCACCTTTCCCACTTTGAGGAGGACCCTGTTGCCCTGTGTGTCCAATGTACCCTCTTACAATGTTTGTTTTTCATTAACATTAACAATGTACCCTCTTACAATGTTCGTTTTTCATTTGGGCGATGTACCAATCTGGGACCAGTTGTGTAAAAGAATAGTTAACTTTTAACTGTAGTTAAGGACAGAATTGGCCAATTAGGTTCGTGTATTTCTGAGTGAACTGGGATTTAACTATGCAAAATTTAGTTAAAGCGTTTTATACAACCGGCCCCAGAGCCCTTATATAGGGCACTCATCAATCTATATAAGCGCCCTGGTACCAATTATACCCGCAGACGCCTGCACGCCTGCACGCGCCCACGCAAATCGTGCCATATTGCCTGCCATATGCCTGCCATATTGCTTCCTTTATACCGAAACGTCAATTGGAATAACGGAATTTATGATACGCCTTCAAGTTTCCAGTAAATACTGTTTAAAATCAGTATATTTCAGGAGTTTAAATTAGTGTATTCTATCCTGTGTCACTATCCTATGCTTTCTCATTCGCCGTGAAATGGTTTCGGTTTACACCTGCGTTATGTTCATCAAAGGGATCAGCCGGTTTTTCACCGCATATGATAGCATATTTACCCTATAAAGCCTATAGCCTTTAATAATGCCTGTGCGGAGTCTGCGGACTGTAGAAGCAATGCTGTCTTCTTGACGAACGTTGAGGATGTTTGTACGTGTATTTAGTGACAATGTTCCCTCTACAAACCCCTTAAAGACCCTTCACCAAAAAAATATTACTTCTTTAGAGCAAAATGTCCCATCAAATCAGCCGATAAACGGCACTTTAGGGGATATAATGAGCGGTGAAGATGATGATTACATCATATTCGAGTTTTATTATACTAAAGCATACCTGTTAAAAAGCCTAAACAATAACATTGTCTCGTTAGAGCGACTTGATTCCTTGTATGCTGGCAATAATGAAATTTTCGAGCTGTATCGTCACCAACAATTTCTCAGAGTCATAAATTAATTCGAAGACTTGACGTTTAAGAGCTGTAACTTGGTCTTTGTATCTGAAGCACGCTGTCCCTCATTTGCATAAGAAGTATCAATATATGCAAATCATATTTAGACAAAGTCAATGTTTTAGTTACAATCACGAAAGTTTTTTTTTATCCTGATGATAAAGCACGAGAGTTGAATCTATGAGAGAGCTAGGACTAGGAGAGAGACTACAAAATACAAATAACCCCAACCTTCTTGTCTGAAATAAACATTTACCCCTAGTCTTAGACTACTGCAGGCCATGATGTCATTTAAATTTTCGGATATTAGTCATCGTGAATAATTTGCATTTTCATATATGCATGCACTAAAGCTCAGTGACTAAAGCGGTGGCGATTAGAATTAATTTCTTTCACGCGATGTACACGCACCGCCATAACACGCGAGGAGTTTTATTAATCAATCAGCCAAGGTCTTTGCTATCCTAAGTGTAAGAGTTGGTCTGTTGGTGTTTGATCTCATTAGTTTGAAGATGAATACGTAGATAACGTACTACATTAACTAGGCTTGCTTAAGCTAGAATCTTGAACATGAATCTTGAAGATGGCCCTCTTTGAACTTCTTGGTAGTGAGATGTATAGTTGGATTTAAACCAGTTCTTCGTATTTGTACGAGAACTGAACAACTGTATTATTCATTACCATGTTTACCATAAAAACGCACTCACGTTAGGATGCGAATACGATCCATCGAAAATAATGACTCGTCATAGTCAGTGTTTTCCTACAAACGTCAAGCACGTCATTGGGTTGACTGTCCGACCACCATTTGTTGTGGCTGACGTCATTCCCTGATCTCTCTTGACCGTGTCTTGACTGACATCGTGGCTGACGTCACTCCCTGACTCCTATCTATTTGCAGTTAAATCACGCAGTATTGCTTTAGTCCTTTGAAAACGATTTAACTACCAATTCCGAGGTGATTTTCCATGGAAAAGTCAGATGTGTCTAAGATTGAAATTTTTCTCAGTCGACCAGACTCTATTGCCCGTTCAGACTAAAACAAGATTCTACGCCCACGATTTTTAGAATGCTATTTGTAACATAATCCTGCAATAGACTATTCTACTGAAACGTGGTTTATTAACGCACTATATCTCAGTAGGTATATGGATATGATCAATTTATTGCGTTGCGAACAGTATAAAATAGCTGACTTAACAGAATGCGCGGAGATTCACAGGATAATGATATAGTTGGTTAGTTTTAGGACTAATTATAAAATGATGCAGTCATACGTACAGTTATAAAATGTTCCGAATTTCTGTATTATAGGAGTTGATTTTCTCAAAAATGATTCAAGCCCCCTCAGGTCCATCATATTTCTTCATATATCAAAACTAGCAAGAGTTCTATTTAATTTCGAAATAAATATACCTTAAAGCAGAGATGAAATTATTGATGAGACCATTTTTCTCCTGAAATCACTTGGATCTTGTTCAAAAAAACCTGATTCAGAAGATTTATCAGCAGTGGAACTTCTGCTCTTTCGATCTTCGTTTTTGTATCCGGCAGCTCTTCTTAAACCAAGGAATAAACACGAAATATTGCCCATTTGACTTCTTTCGCTTCTACCAACCCTTATAACATGTGATGACTTTGATGAACTTGTAACCCTTGATGCCAAAAAGAACAATGTTCATTCGAGTGTGCAATGGAGACAATAACTAATGAACAGTGAACAGTGAACGTGCATACTGAATCACCGACTGTGCTTACCAATGTATTCTGTGATTCATGTTCCGTAAACAAGCTTAACGAGCGGAAATTCCTGATATTGTTTTCTTCCAAAACTTGGCAACCCTGTGGTTTGCGTTGTATATGATATCTTGTGTGGGTAGTTAACCTTGGAGCTTTGTCAAAATTCCTCAAGCCACAGTGATTTTAATACAATTCAGTACTGACTGAAAATCCTTCTTTTAATGATACAATCAGGTACACAATTACGGTAAACTAAGATTAAAACGATGTAAACAATGACCAGTTACAGCTCATTGCATAAACGACGAACATCTTCAGTCGACGAGCGGTCTCCGGTCAAGCACGATTTTTGTTCCGCAACCGGATGATCACTGACCCCTTTGCCCTGAACTCACGTAGAATCTTTCATTGGTTAATTTGCAAATTACACGAAATTTGATTTCTCTGCTTGACTGCGATAGTTTCAGCATGATGTTTGAATGGTGGTCAGAATACTTTCACTTCCAGTTGTTTGGAAAAATAATACTGTGTAATTTGTGTTCTTTTCATTGGATAAATGTAAATTCCTAATATGTGACTGTGTCACTGTGTTGATATATTGTGTCTTCAATAAACACAGCATGATTCCATAAAATGTAAAGTATCATCTTCCTTACACGTGATGACGCTGCGTGATACTGACTCACGTCTCAGGAATGTTCAACAATAGACCTATTCGAAAAAGAGCAAGAGACCTGGAGCGAGTTACACAAAAACGAGGCTAGTCAGGTTTTCTTCTGCCAAAATAAGTCAAAAATTGTTTGTTCATTTCTGGATTTTGATTGAAGGAAACATCGTTTTTGTAGCAGTGAAAGTAAACAGGATTTTGAAATTCCGAAAATGAAAATCTGACTAGCCTCGCTTTCGTGTACCTCGCAACAGGCCTCTCGCTCTTTTTCGAATAGGTCTGATGTCCTAAAGGCGATTTTCCATAACCGTCCGCTTCACCCGCGCGGGCGAAGCGTCTTTTGAAAATCTGCCCATGGGACCATGACGGGTCTGGAAAACAAAGCGCGCTTCGCCCGCGCGGGAGAATCAATGGAGAATCGCCTTAACTCCTAAATAAGCACTGCGGAGCTTTTCTGTATATTAAATAGCTGCATGTATTACTGTGAGGGAGACTGAGAGATATCTGAACAGTCAATTTACGATTATTTTCTCTCATTGCAAAAGAGCTTGAAATTACCAAATCTACTATAGGCAGTGTCATGAAGTCCAAGATGTCGCGTTAAAACATTTATTTATCTTGGTTAAATATTGAAATAATATCTTGCTTTTCCACAGCTAGTACCAGCATCTATTATCGCATATGGCAGGCATATTGTCATATGCAAAATATTTCATAATTTGCATATTTTATTTTTATATTCTGTATCTTAATTCACACTTGTCATGTGAGGCAAACAATAAGAAACTAAATTGACTGTTTTATAAAATGTGTATTTTATTATACAACCATATGCAGAATACAATAAAATAGTGCAAAATACATTATACACTAAATGTAAGTTCTGTTCTTTAAATTTATTGTTTTAAATATATTCCATTCAACTTTTTCACTGGCTTGTACATAACACAAACATTGTTTTCATTCACTGATCAGGTCAGAGATGGATCATCTTCCTGGAAGGAATGTTATAAATATGAATTAGTCACAAAAATTATGAGACCATATGAGAGCCAACATAAAACTTTTCATTTTCATGTTTGTTGTAACATATTCCATCCTAATACCACAGAGCCTTTAAATCAAAGAAAGCAAGAAAATGATTCAAAAGTACCTTTAGGTAGGCCTGAAATATTTTTATAGCAGTCAAATTTTACTTTCCATTTCAAATTTTTCAATTTTGTCCCATCTGATGCACTTGTAGTCATACTAGAACTTGTACCCTGAATCTAACGCTCTTAAATAATACAGTATCTTTGCATGTATCTTTACCTTTGCATGTTTAGCAAATCTTTGTGAAAATATGTGTCTATATGGGGCAACAGGTCTTCTCTAAAAGAAAAGTAAAATAACAGTATTTTATGATAGTTGTTAAAAAACAAACACACAACACAGCAGTGAAGGAAAATTTAACTTATGGTCATGGAAAATAATAACAAGGTGCCGTGTGGTAATACTGTAGCTTCATGACTAGATCACCAGATAATGTTGCTGGGAAATATGCTGAGAATTATGTGATAACAAAGAAGAATCAAATTAGTGCATTACTTCAAGCTGCCATGATAACCAACATATTGGTACACAAGCTGCAAATATCATCCCAAAGCCAATAACTGTATTTCTTCTCCAGTTCCTTGGCTCACACCACCATCCACCAGAAGGAGACCAAACATATTTGGGGTAATCAAAGCGTTTTCCTCCACCCTTAATAAAAAACCCCACGAATATCACTTATAGCACAATATATATCAAGAAGAGGTTAAAAATCTTACCATTTACATACAATATTGTAAAGTTCTTTCTCAAAAAAGCTCGTACAAAACAGCAGTACTGAACCGTCTGTACGTACAAGTTTGTGATCACGCTTTTGTAAAAATACAGCACGATTTACATTCGTAATGCATCGGAAATGTTCGTTTAGTATCGTTTTTGTTTCGTTCTCGAAATTGACAGCATCATTGTTGATCAGCGTTTCAAAATGGCGGAAACAGCGGAGGTAAATTTTTTGAATGGTAGAATTCAATTTTCTCATAATCGAAGACAATTATTTTGTACATTTTTTTACAAAATCTTATAGACATAATTCGGTGATTTATTAAAATAATATATGTTAAAATTGCGCCTATTTTTAAGGCTTTATGTATCTTAACTCGGTTGGTTTGCTAGTTTGTATTCCTTGTATATTGGTATTTTTGTTTTGACCGCTTGCCAGAGGGGAAAATTTTTTCGATCACCTAAATTTATGTTCATATATTTTTTGTTTAGTCATCTAAGGAAGGCAGCGTCGATGGTGAAGGTGAGTAGAATTCTATTTCACAAATACACGGTAATGGCACAATTTTTCGGAGAATGTATAAAATTTCGTGTGTTCTCAATCAAATGGTGTAGTTGCCATGACCCAGCGTGACTTTGAACCGGCAGCGGGACAAGACGTTGACGACGAAGCCACAATCGAAGAAGAAAACACTTGAAGCAGGAGAAGGATTCAATCAAGACGAGCTTGATGATCTACAGAAGGTACGTTTAGAATTTTACTATTCACCTTCCGTGATTGCGTGTAAATATTTTGGAAGAATTAATGGTTCGAAACTATTATGGCGGTCACCACTACACGCACGGAATGTGTGATATCAACGATCTACCATCGGTTTTAAAATGCAAGACATAATTAGCGATGAGATTTCGTGTTTTCTGCAGTAAATCTGCCTTAAGTTTTGCCTGTATGTAACGAAATTTAGATTCATCAGATCAATCTCTTTAAATGGATAACAGTATATAATTTGACAGCTAGTTGATGGACATGCAGGGTAAAGTCACCTACAAAACATGAAATGCTCTCAGTCAATTTCACTCAGAATTTTCTAAAATAAGTTTTTATTTAGAATTTTTAATGGTATAGTCTTACTAGTCTATAAACACCTAAAACTCCAATCTAATTTGAAACTATTTTTTTTTGTGGTCATTTTGTCATTTATTAATATAGAAAGTAAAAAATAACTATTGTTTTTTAATTGTACTCAGAGATGGAATGGGTGGGTACAAGAGTGAGTTGTAACTTGTAAGGGAAATAGTTTTGTTAATTAAAACATGGGGTACAAGGTCTCTTGTGTTTTAACTTAGCAGATTTAAATTGAGGAGAAGAACATCAAAGACATCTTAAAAGCTGTAAAGAGATGGTGTAGCATGTCCATTTACATATGGTACATTGCGCCATTTACTAGCCAATTTCACATCTTCTTTGACATTCCAATCCTTAATCTGAGCCTGTTTATAAACTATTAGGGAAAAGGGAAACTGCATTGATGCATCCCCTAAAATAACTATTATTCCTTTACAATTAACAAGCCTTACCTGTATATTTTCTCTGATAGTGGAATAGTCTAACTAGGGTCATAGTATTCGTGAAGATTATGGTAATATTCTTCATGTTTGTGAGTGTGACATTATTTGCACTTAGTGTTTAGGCGAAAAAAAAAGGTCTAAAACGTTATGGAGAAATGTAAAACAGAAATTATGTAAATGAACAAAGATCCTCTGAAAGAAGCGCTTGATAATAACATGCTAGCCATTGATAGTACCTGAATAAAACAATTGCACCACACTCTAGGCCAGTGAGAGTCATTCCTTTTTTTAATAATACTCAGTACTTGGCTAAGAATTTACTTCCAGGTATAATAATAGTGGTTTAAGTCAGACGGTTGGGGTTACTTTGTTAGTCCAGTGGTTTAGAGTGCTTAAAATCGTTTTCAGTAAAAGGAAAGTTAAAAATTTTGAGGTTGGTACATAAAAGGTTGTTTATGTTGCTGGTAATTCATATGAAACCCTAGTGGAAGTGTATCGCTTATGAACTGGGTGTTTGTATTCTCTTTCCTCTGAGTGTTTTGTTTAAGTAAAGACAGCTTGATTAAGAAAAAGAATAAAGTAAAAAGTTTTTCATTTTTTTTGGTTGTGGTATTGCCTGTGTGTATTGAGTAAATATCTATATCACGTTTTGTTTGCTCTATATGACGATATCACAAACATATATCTGACTCCGTCAGGAGAGATTACTTCCTGGGAACCAGTTAGCCTAGTGGATCAAACTCTGCCAAACATTTACGAAGATTGTAAAATGCGAATAAGGATACACAATCTGTTTCCCCAGCCCGAGGCAAGAGTTGATTTTGAACTTATTTAAAGCTAGTGAAATGTATTAGCATTATCTTTTCCAAATCTCTTCATCACAGTGATCATACGTACAAGTATAATTCAGCATTTTGTTTAAATTTTTACTGCTTCTTATCTGGGAAATGATTGTCGAGTCTGTATGACGTCTGTCAAACCCACCCAAATCGTCAATTGACACATAATTATTAAGATCACTCGCTCATTGCACGCAAATAGTTTCGTATTGTATTTCATATTTGCACAAAGTTCTGTAACCTTGCGTTTTCAATCATATTTGCTTTGCATTTTTTATCTGTATCGAATTGAAGTCAGTAGAGGATGGTACGTTTACAAGATCACTTAGTCCTTGTGATTGGATAAAGCTTCATTTAGTCTGTATTTATCAAATGAGAATGTTATTTTGAATTCAACTATATACGTTTCTTAGGTATTTATAAAGAGAAAAGTATTATGTAATCTTGAAAATGTTATTGAGGCAATGTTGCATTGTAAAGAGCGTTACGAAAGTGGCTGGCGGAAGACTAAAGGTTATTGGGGAGTTATTCTTGAGCAATGCGGGGAGGGTAATACTAAATCAAATAGGAAACAATTGTACATGTCTTGGAAACGAAACGTAAATAATTTTCGAGAAAAGTTCTTTGAAAGAGTGAAATATTATATTGAGAAAAAGGTATGATCTTTCTGTTCGTTTACATAATTCATTTGACCGGCAATTTGTGATAACATCAAGTATTTAACTTCACCAGTTCTTTTGCATGCATGTCTCCTAGACTTGTAGTACGTCAACATTGGCACATATTTTACATAATTCGTGTTTTGCAATACCGCCTTAGCGCATTCTAGTCTTCTGACATCAAATCTGAAGTAAAGTTATTCAATAGAATAGATTAAAAATATTTTGTGATTCTAGAGATTGAAAGATTAATCTCCGTTGACTCTGTATACTATAATCAGACATGAGACATATTGCGCAGTGGTCATTTTTTGAAAATTTGTTTTCTGTACTTTGTGCCATCCCATTTCTTTATACCGCTGCAATGAACGAAGCATTCTGTACAACATTGTCAAAAATTGCGGCATTTGTACGACTGGATTTTGCGCAAATGCCCTGTATACACGATTAAAGGACTGTAATTTTATTCCCGGAGATATATGAGCATGCATTTGTAATTCGAAGCTCTGAGCTTCTAGCTGTTGTACTTGTGCGTCGCAATATTCAGCAATCTGGGTTAGTTTGCAAGATATTTGCTTTCCTAGCACAGTATACCTGACAGTAAAGCACTTGTGATGTACACAAACAATTGGTTGGGTCATCACAAAAGTCTCTTGACATAAGCTACCACCATATTGTGTGATATCATCTGATATAACTTGACGGGTGAAATTACCAAGCATGTTATAGCGTTTTGATTTCGACTTATTGTTAGGCGATTTATTTTCGCCATGATATTTTTTGCCAGCTTTAGTTGCATCACAAAACTGCCAAACTGACAAGGATAAAAACTCAGAGTGTAACTTAATTAGTGCGTGTTTCATCAAGCAAGCTGATCATGGTCGTGAATTCTATTGCTCCAGGCAAATTGCTGTGCGGCTGGCTTATTCACTTTATTCTAATCAGTTTACAAATATAAAACAATAAAACAAGTTTTAATAAAAGTTCAGTATTAAACGTAATGTCATACACATGAAGTTAATCTTTGCTGTTTACAAAATATTCTAAAGAAAATTTAATATTCATAGGATGCTGAAGTACCAATTGAAGATTTATTAGCGCTCTATTACAACTCTGATAATAATCGTAACGAAGAATATGATGGTGGTGATATACCATTAGATGAAATACAACCAGAACCGCTACCACCATTTGAAGACCATAACGAGGACATGCAGCAGAATGGTGTAGATGTATCTCCAAGACAATCTCCCATACCACCCCAAGATTCTCCCCAGTCCCGCTCTGCCTCCCCATCTCAAAGTTCCATTGTCAACCCCCCTGAAAATCAACGGATCACCAGAGGGTGTAAGTAGTTTCCATGTGCATCCTTTCGTTTGGATCATTCTTCTAGATATAACACGTGCTAAATTTGATATCAGGAACAGCAATAATTATCAATTACCGAGGCAAAGATATGCCGTAGCGATCTTACTTTATTCCATAATTCACGTCGACCAACAAATGCTTGATGCATGTATATTGTTACATATTTTAGTAGCGGCAGCCTACCAATATTTTCCCGACTCTGATTCCTCGTCCTCAGATGAAGATTATTCTCCTGCTGAAGACTGGAAGAAGGTACGTCATAATTCTCCTCAGTTTTCGTTTTCCTCAAGTAATCTCAAAAATATGACCGTGTTTTTGAAGCTACGTTATAAACAACACTATTCTAGGAAATTCATATTGGGCCCGAACATCAAGCTGAGGTTCCTGACACGACATGCCCTGATGGCGAAGAAGGTATTGTTTGTTGCTTTGTTGTTCCACATAGACTTTGCGGCATTGCGTTGCATGAAGAATCCTTTTTTGTGCTGTGTGTTGCCTGCTGTGTTTTTGTTCATATGCGAACAATTATTTTTGCGTTTTTAGATGAAAAACATGAAAGTAAATGTTTATGGAGCCCCAAGGGAATAAATGAAATAAAATGTGAGTAAAAGTTTCCATCAATTACTACCGAAACCAACGATTCCCATTAAGACGTGAAGCCCATCGCGAGCTTCTTAACTGTATGCGAAGATAGAGTACAGTATATTTCCGCGTTGGAATAATGTAAAAGTGTGGTCATGCACCTGCGACAATTATGGTTCAGTTTTATGAAATAAATCACGTTTGTCTCTTTAGTACAAAAGTACGTCGACACAGTCTGTGCAACAAGTTGGGAGGGTGGAACATCTTGCGTGATGAGCAAAGGAGATGACGAACAGGTTTGTGTTGTTTATGTCAGTGTGTGCATTTGTGATTAGGAATATCATCATTTTGGAATGTGTCATATATTTCACATTTATCAGACTGATTTTACTGGAGTGAAAATTGCCAGCACCTCCCCACATGCAGGAAGAAGCTGGGGATTTTCTAAAGTTTGTTCCTTTTGTACAGGCACTTTATGTTTTATTGCAATGTAATTATAATTGTGATGAGGCAATTAAGAAATTCACATCTCAGCCACCTCCATCTCAAGGTACTGCAGGTACTTGAAATAATTATCAGCAAACTTTTGTTTTTATACCACATGCATCTATACAGTATGCACCGTTTACGAACCATGTCGTTTGTTTTAATAGAAATGACTTTTTGGTCTGAAGAGGAATGCCGAAATTTTGAATTAGGTAATTTTCATTCATCGTCGTTTGTAAGCGCCTCCGTTTTCGCATTCAAAGAAAAGTTTAATAGCGAGCTCCCCTTTTTCCCCTCAGGATTAAGGCAATTCGGAAAGGATTTCTATTCGATCCAACAATCAAAGGTAATGAGTTTTAAATAAAATACTGAAATGCAGTTTTATAAAATAGAGCGTAAAGGGAAGGAAAATGTATATTAAAAAACGTATCACCTCAAATTTTGTCTAGATTCCTGACAGAACTGTTGGTGACATAGTTCAATTTTATTATTTGTGGAAGAAAACCGAAAGACACGATGCCTTTTCTTGGCAGATTCGAAGTAAAAAGAAATATTCTTTTCATCCGGGAATTACGTAAGTACACGTAGTAATTCGACTGCCCGATGTTAACCGCTTCAATATTGTCTTTTTAACTTAATGATGTATGTGAATAAGTTCAACCCATAGGCAACAAACGTTTGGTCAAATGGCCAGAAACTTGAATAGAAATATTTCATCATTCATGTCTTGATTGTAAATTAAACAATTCAGAAATTCATTTTGGAAAGCCATAGAGAACGTTGTTTGCTGGTAAAAAAAGACATCACATTTATAGCGTAAGTTCGTATTTTCAGCGATTATATGGATAGATTTTTGGACGAAAATGAAAGTGCTGCTTCGAGCCGAGCAGGTAGCCCTGGTCGTGCTCATATCGTACAGTCAAACCCTGCTTCAGACGATTCTTACGCAATACAATCAACCTCGGAAAATACAGTATTAAACAGAGCTCCATCAGCTGATAGCCACTATTCCGGTGCTGTTCCTCTCCTTCGTGTGCCACAATCCTATGTCCCCACACCTGTGATTGTCAGCAATGATAAGGAACCACCAGCGAAAAAAACAAAAATCGGAAATACTGAATCGTTGATAATGATAAATGGTCCTCCTCCTTTGAGACCACGTGATAATACTACCCTGCAGATACCACACATCGCAAGTCATGCAACAAATCATGTCACTATGACAACAGATCACTCAACAAACCACATGACGAATCACGTGATGCACTCCAGTCAGCTAACTACGGGAATGAGTCCACCTGCTCCAACAAGCTTACCTAATACTGGTCTTCCGTTTTCATCAATAAATACTCAACATCATATGAATATGCACAATATTGACGCTGGGAAGACGTACGCACGACTGACTCAGAATAGCTAGCTCGTGCTTCTTAATATTCACTCAATCGATCTTCTCTTTGGCTGGTTCAAAGTGATCATGGCAGGCACCATTAGGGACAATCCCATAAATGAGCTTCTAGCAAAGTTTACTGGTTAGATGTAGTAAATTATTAAGTCCCTGATTTAGAATGACTAAAAAGTAAAACCCGGGAATTTTTATGTTTTCATACATCTGATAAGTGTAAATTAACATGAAACTCTCGAGGTGAGGAACACACGTTTACCCGCTATTTCATCCATTATGATGGCGATTTTATAGCGTTTTGCTGTTTGCAAATGGCATATTTTATTGTTGGAGTTGTATATTAGAGTTATCCAGGTCGTAATATGTGTTTATATATAGCTTATGGCATACAGTATTGTAGTGATAGTTGTTTAGGGAAACATAACCTTTATACTGACTCTTATTCTAATCGAAATGGTTTACCTGTTTATAGAAATAACGCCCCGGGACACTTTTTATATTCTTCAGTTTTTCTATCGCATTATAGACCTTACTGGTTATTCACTTTTTACGGAATAGCCTATGTGTCAAGCACTCACTCGCGTCTAGTATTGGTGCAAATTACTTTATTTTGAAGGCTTAGGAATTCGTTAGGAATTCGTTAAGAAACGCATGGAAAATCCATGTGGGGCAATCGGGTAAAAGAGAACAATTAGTAAGGTCTATTGCTAAAATTCTCTTCCTAAATTAGTTTTGAGAGAAGTGTTTCGACTCGAGCTTGTAAAAAATGAGGTACTGTATTTTTGACTCAAGATTCACCATAGTGATGGAAGAGAATAGATCTGACACTTCAGTTAGGTTATTATTATAATGGTTATCAATGCATCCATGGTGACTGACTGAACCTTGTGTACTGTATTTGTGTGGCAATTTTCCTAGTCAAACACGAAATTATCAAACCAGTTATATTAACAGTACTCGTCACACAAAAAGTAAAAAACAATATTGAATATTTTTATCATGCCTCATGGTAAAGCATGAATTTGCAATATAATTTGATATATCGGCCTTATTTAATGAGATATTAAGATGGATGTTTTGTTGTGAATTTGTAATATATACAACGTAAGTAGTGTAGTGTAGTCATGTGGCTGTTTAATATCTAAACATTATACAGACTATTTATTAAAGAATTTTAGTTATTTGAAAAAGCCAGCAGATATTCCATGTTTTCAACTTCACTCGTGATCTCTTTCTCTTCAGAATTTTTTTTTCGGTGAAACACCAATCTGTAGCAATCATTTCCTCTGTATTCTCAAAATATAAAAACAGTTGCTACTTGCAATTGGAGGTATGCCGATATTCTGGTTTTCTATGTTTATTTACTCTCAGTAAAACGTTAGCTATTGAATGAAATTGAAAGCATGGAATTGTTTGTTTGGCTACCAAAAAGTGGTCTTATAGATGTAACACGTCAAAATACGTGATTGTTTTTAGTATAGAAAATATATTTCCATTGATAGCTTAGGTTACTTTTTGTATTTTTCTTGCCTATTCCCTCTTAATCTTGCATGGAACATTTGCAACGATCTGACGTTTTAGTCGCTTATTCCTTCATTTCTTATGACATACAGCATGATTTTATACAAGAAGTATTTCAGTCCCTCGACGGCAGGATGCAGGAAATTTTGATTGATGACATGCAGTATAATTAATAGATGGGTTGATCCAGAGAAGAAGGATTCTCAAATGTTCTCCAGGTGCTCTTGAGATCATAAAAGTCTATATGGGGAGGGGTTTGCAGTCATGGAATTTATGGACCTCCACCAGCCCAATGTAGTAAACCACAGACATAACCGTTGAACCAACAAAATTTTTATGTTGACCTTTATGACGGCCTATATTTTTTATACGTAGACACAGCGTTAATTAATGAACACAGGTGGGTTATAGCTATATTGTACGGCCAACATTTCGGCTTATAATATCATCTCGATCGATATCATAGTGACATCCGAGATATTAACATGTTGAAACGAATAAACAAATCTAGAAACAAGTCCTTTAGAAATTATCAACTCTGTTATACAAAAAAAACGACGCACTTCGAGACGCCGATTATTCTCGATCTAATTTGTTGTAAAATGTGTACATGGCAGCGTTTTCGAGCGCTTTTATTTCCTTTTTCATGTCAAAACGGTGTCAAACTGACCGACAATTTACAAAAGAGGTTGACGATAATTTAACATATTGGGCATATTTTCCCTTGGATTGTGTGGAGAGGGCATCTAAATGAAAAACTAGAAAAAAACGATTTTGAAAACGCTATTAGAAACCTGCGGATTTCAATAAATTTAGTACTAAAACTACTACAGTTTTTTACAATTTTTTAAGCATACAAATTGCTAAAATTGTGACCTGTAAATACATATATCATATACATCATTGACTGTGTTTATTGATAAGCAAGGTAATTGTATTTAATACTATATAACAAACATTACTGATGAGTAACCTGTGACTAACCTAGGATTAGATTGGATTGCAGCATTTCATGTGTATCATTAATTTGCTAACACACTTTGTATTAGGTTATCTAGAATCTCAGTTCAGTTTTCAAAGAGTTTTTATTCAGATCTTAGCAACAAATTCATTGTATTTGAGAGATCGGAATGCATGAACATGTTGTGATTCACCTTGAAAGCTACAAACACCTCATTTTTGCAATTCTGGCTACCATGACAAGGTCAATGGCAAATGGGAATGCATGAATTACTTTAGAGTGATTTTGGCTACGTGATGCCCAGCATAGACAACGAATATCCAAACCAGAATTACAAACATGTACAAAAGCTAGAAGGAAAGATATAAAGATGAAATTAAAATACATTTTGCAAAGTTATAACGCAGCATAAATAAAATTTGAACAGAATATCATAAAAAAAACATTGCATGATTGGTGGTGATTGGTCTAGTCTCTAGTCATTGAATGTCTCTTAGATTCACTCTAGTCAGTCTAGTGCTCTAGTCTCGTCTAGTTGTGATGCTCACCACATTTAGAAAATTATCAACGTCCCGTTTTCTCATCCTCTCTCGTTGTGGACAATTTCTGAAACTCTCAAAGTTGTAAGTAAACAATTTTCTTGAACAACTATTCGTATATTATTCTCCTAAAATGCGTTTATTTTTTATGTTTCTCACATCACAACGAAATGAGCGCCATTGACCGAGTGAAAGACTCCAGAGGTCTGAGAAGAGTTTGAATTCGCAATGTGTTGCCTAGCAACAAAGATCAAGATGGTGGACAAATGTTATTGATGTACAAATTTCCTTTATCTCTTTCATTTTTTACACAACCAGTGGATTTTGAAAGATGAACCGCTCAGATATTAAAAAGAAAGTCAATGTGTAAGGAACGAAGTGATAATATTTACAACATACATTATTCTCGACATCATTTTCAATCGTTTTTGTCACTACTTACTTTCAATACCCCAAATTCCCAATGATTAATTGGGCCCAATCTATGAATTACTTCCAAAGCTGTGACTCATTTTTCATGAGCATTGTGCACATTAGAATAGTGCAAAATAGTGTGACAACTAGTGCAGGCTTAGAAATGACATTGTATGCATTTGTGCACTATTACAACAAAATTTTGGGGTAATGACCCCGTGGTAGTGGTACTGCCGTGCTGGTACAAATCATTTGTGTTTAGTGTTTAAAAACTGGTATTGTTTGTTTGCATGGTCTTGTTATCAGGAGTATATATTACTCACAAGGTTTATTTACGTTAGAAAACAACAATTTGGCAGCAACATGACTCGTACAAGCAGCCATGGAATAAGTTTTAGCAGTAGAGTTGGTCACAAAGGCATGGGGGGATCTCACAGTAAAATGATGGCAGCTTCTGGCAGCAAGTGGAATGTTAATGAGAAGATGAATCGTAAACCACCTGTTCAGGCAAGATGTAGTGTACTCATCAACTGTCTTTTACCTGATACATCGTAAAATACAGTTTTATACTTCCTTGACATGAAGAGTGTTGTACGTGGGATTTTGTTAAACATTCTTATAGGGCATTTTTGGAGCAGTTTAATATGTATTACAGACTTTACATACCACACCTTTAATCAAACTAATAAATTACTAAATCAACCTAACTTTAGGTAATTGATGACATGGGCAATGATGTCACCCCAAGAAGTCTTTTGACGCTGGATGCAAATGCTGTGAAGTAAGTTGTTATGAAAAATAATTTCAATATGTATTGAAGGTTCTACACGACATTAATTTCAAAGTTCTCTACTGTGTTCTCTGGATATATTTTGTGTAAGCCTCAATTATTATGAATCAGAATATATAGACTTTGTTCTTTCACCCCTCTGTTGTCGGGCCAAATATTTTCGTGACCACTGAAAAGTTGTTGTTTAAATATATCCAAGTATAACATATTGGTAATTGCAATTTCCATTCTCAGACGTGTGAATAGTAACAATGGAATATTTGGTAGTGAATCATTGGCCACTGTAAGTCCTGAAAATTAGTCGTCACTGCATGTTGTATGACATATATCAATATACATGCTCAATTTTCCACCTCAATATAATGCATTGTTTTGTAGCCATCGGACCTGGGTCAGTCAATATATGCTGCTAGTAATGCCAGTTTTCTTGGTGGCTTTTCTGGAAGGTAAGAGCTAGTTATAACAATGTGATTGATTGATAATAAAATCAGATGATTTGGTGGTAGAAGACCTCATATAATCACCTCATAATACACTTTACAGGTCAGTGATGGGAAGTGTGACTGTGTCAGGATGGTCTTCACCTGAATCAATAAGTGAAGATTTAGCAGAACCTGGAACAAGACGTTATGATATGGCAACTGGCTTAGGAGGTATCAACACCTCTGTGTATTCATAAAGATAGTGTCACAAAAAAGACATCCTCCACATTAAAAACTTCTGTACTTAATATCCAGTAACCAGCCCAAGGAGTGTTAGTTGTTTTTAAGGAAGCATACTAACTATATTAAGCTCTCCTGCAAGGGGACTTCATATTAAGTAGAAAAAATTGTTATGTTTTAGATATACAAAGAAAATATGTCCCAGTAAAGGAGGATCTTACTGAATTGGATCTAGACAAAGTGGTAGGTTTCAGTTCACAATATTGAATAACCTACTCATTTTTATTGTATATTATATATCAGTTACATTGCAATTAAGTACACTGGGTATCCTAAACGTCCCAGGTTCATGTGGAATAATTAATGTACCCTCAATATCAATGATTCCTAGCCTCGAATAAACTGCGATTATGAACGTTGTTAATGTGCTTAGATTAATTTAACCCTGGAAGAGACAGATACAATATGGTTGTTGGATATTCCTGGCACTAGTGTGAGTGAGGAAAGTGACATTGCTCAATCTGTAAAAGATGCGAATTCACGTTATTCTGAGGTGAGTACAAGTAAGAATTAACTGTACCTGATGATCTCTGACCATTGTGTTTTTCACTCATCACTGAATTTTTCTTTAGGCATTAAAAACTAGGCCTGGAAATGATAGTTTTGTTGAAAGAGGAATGCAAACCTTCAACAATGAACCAAAAAATAAAGAATTGCAAACTGTACCTATCACACAAAACGTTAGTATTTGTTTGCACATATGCAAGCACCGGATTGCCCGTTGTTCGATGTAATATATGGCGTGACCTCTTATACTGTTATATTCCAGGAGGTAGGCTGTATGGCCACAACATGGGACATGCACGATGTTTTTGCAGTTTCTTCTAGCGAAATCAAAGGTAACGTTTTTACGATGCTTCACAACTCGTCCATAAAATTAGTCTATAAAGTTATTTCTATACATGTGTATAGTACTAGCTTTTAAAAGCTTTTGAAAACACTGATACCGTACAGTAACTTTATTATTGCAACGATTACCACCATCTCACAGAAGATGAAAGAAGCGGTGCGGACCATATCAGTCTTAGTCGACCAACAAGTGCTGAGAGAAATGGCACAGCTGACGTTGATAGTGGAAGTAGTGCATCTCCTGCTATACGCACTGGTAGTGTGTTGTCAGGAAGTCTATATAGTGGTGAGTAAGTTAGTTCATCTTCTGATAAACGCACTGGTAGTGTGTTGTCTGTATAGTGGTGAGTAGTTCATTCTCTGATAACGCCAGAATAATAATATGAAAAGGTTTTAAGATATTTAAACACGATTTATAGGAAGTCAAGTAAGTATAGCAACAAAACTTTCGGAAGATGATTTATCAAGTAAAGATGGGAAGAAAAATGATGAAAATGGTGGTGAAGGAACACTAACGAACGACCCAAATCATCCATTACTACAGGCAAGTCACGTGATATTCATGACTAATAGTTCCTATTAGAAACAACTCCTCCGTCTCCTCGATCAATTATTTGATATTTTATGTTCGCTCTAGACGGATGAATTGCGAAAAGATTTGTTTACGATGGAGCGAGTAATATCGTTAAACACGTTTCAAGCTCGACAAGCAAGATATCGTGGTTTTAATGTTGTTCCAGGTATTACACACATGCGTTTCTTAGCGGGTTCCTATTCGTATCGTTTTCGCGGATACGTGTAACGTGTCGACGGCCCGAAAACGCGACGAATCTGGACACGTGCAGACGTTTTCTTTCTTGACGAGGCGTCGAGGACATGTTTTCCTAGTCAATTTTTTGTTCCATCTTTTCCTCAAAAAGATGTTGATGTAAAAGTCGAAAAAGACCCAGAAAAACTCCCCTCACCAGTCGTCAGTGTAACAGAACTCGGTCCTAATTTGGACAAACTGTGGACGTACTCATGTTCGATCACTAAAGGACGTAATGTCAGCTGTATGGCTTGGAATCCTCAAAATCCGGTGGGTATCTGAGTTTGATATTCGTTCGTTCTGTTCATATGCTTATACACCGGTCTCAAATTTCTAACGATTAATGAAGTTGTCGTGATCAATGGCAATAAAAAAAAAGTTACTAGCGACTGTATGTATCGATACCAAGAAATGGCAATAACCGCTTGCACGATTGAAATAAAACTGTCTTCTTAAAGCTGGGATTTCTTGTAGTAATCTTGTATATCTTTATGTTAAGGACATTCTTGCGGTCGGTTATGGGGAATTTGAGTTTTCCAATCAAAAAGGCGGTGTTGCTTGTTGCTGGTCATTAAAAAATCCAGAGGTAATACAACTATTAGCTATATATATATATATATATATATATATATATATATATATATATAATATATATATATATATATATATATATATATATAATATATATATATTATATATATATATATATATATATATATATATATATATATGTATATGTCCATTTTTATTCTGATCTTAAATCACAGATTTTATTTTGATCTGCATGGGTAATCTGTCTACAACAATTTCATCTCTGCTCCATTTATATAGTCTGCTCCTGTTTCTTTCATCATAAGCAATACCCTGAATAAAACTAATCCTTTCATATATTTTACCAAATAACTTGGTACCGTCATTCATTTCTCCTATGCAGTATCCAGAAAGAGTATTCGATGTGGAGAGTGGCGTGATGACACTTGGATTTTCACAATTACAACCAAACTTACTCGCGGTATAAGTTTTATAATATATAGTTCGTTGTTTTTACTTGATGAATGAACACAAACAGAATTCTCATACTTCCATGAATGATAACACACAATATAAGCCTACTACAGTAGCTACATACTATTACATCGCTATGTTTTAAAGCTATTGACTTGTTCAAATCAACCTCTGTGACTGTGGCGTTACGTTAGCTAACTGCACTGATGTTCTCGGTTCACTTTATGTTTTATATTTCTGATCCTTAGTTCGGTCTTTACGATGGGACGATTGTTATTTACAATGTGCGAAGTCAAGCTGACTCCCCAGTTCTGGACAGTCTGTAAGTGTCAAAGAAAGGGCTGGGTGGGCTTTAAATATACGTGTTTGCCTAAACAACTTATTCACCCGATGTCAACTAGGTTTTAAGGCATGCAGGACGAAATTCTTATAGGGCTGCATGTATAGCTACGTCTAGAGCTTGAGTTCGTACAATACCACATGATTATACTTACGTATGCGTGGTTTTTACCTTTCAATTTTTTTCCATTGGATTTTATCGCATGTATTCGAACATGATCTTACTATAATTCATATTTTACGTTACAAAATGTAGTGAAAGTGAAGGTAAGCATATCGCTCCAGTGTGGCATGTCAAGTGGGTCGTTCGAGATCAGAGTAATGGAGACGATAAGGATGAGATACTTGTTTCTGTGGCCGCTGATGGTAGAGTTACCAATTGGTCTATAAGAAAAGGTTTTGAATGCGCTGGTAAGTCTAAATATATATAAATATATATAAATATTATAAACAGGGCGAAAGAGATAATTCTCTTATACTTCGACATCATCATCCGCTAAAATGTAGCTATTAGTTTAGGTAGTAGTATAGTTTGTTGTGCAATTACGGATAAACATGCGCGGATAAGTATTTTAAAGACTCTAAAATAGCGAGAGTCTAAAAAGCAAGCTTGTATAATTATTGTAAATACTTACGTACATAAAAAATGGTACAATGTTGAGACAAAAGAACGATAGTATATATTTAACAGCGGCAAGTCCGCATGTTCTCAGTACATTCACCCTCAGTCTTATGTTAATCGTCTTGACAGTAAGATCAAGCTGTTCGTTAGAAGCTGACAGCAGATCATTCCTGATAAAATTGAGACTTTGCATCAAATGAAACAGTACAGAGTACGTCTCATACATACATACATGAATGATGGATAAACATGTCAAAAAGCCACATTGTGTTATCAGATTTAAGACCACGCCTTGTGACATAACGCTGACATGCTTTGTCAAAACGTTTATGAACATTTTAATATATGATGAGTATTTTAAATAACAATAATTTATTCTCCCATTTTAAAATTCTACATGATTCCTCAGTATATGTGGTGTCACATGTGACTGGTGGTGCTTCAAGCTATATACAACAATAGCTATACTATATTTCTCAGTATCTTATAGTTTATTAATGCATGCTACTAGCTTATATTGCGTGCGCGCGTGAGCAAGTCTTTAAGGGCTGTTTTCCACTATCGCACGTAAAAGTTTAAAATAATTTAAATGATACTTATGAAATCAACGATTGAATAGATGCACAGGTTTGGATTTTGTTGATGATTTGACGTGTGTTTTCTGGCGTGTACGCACAAACGTGCAAGAAACGCGACAGTGGAAAGCAGCCCTAAGGAGATTACGACTCAAGACTCGACCAGCTTAACAAAGCGCTTGAAAAAAAAATGCTCGCGGAGGCAAAAGATGTGCAAAAGATGTGATCCTACGACAGCGAATTGACATTCTTTTGACGTCTTCGGCTGCAACGTGAGAGTTGAAGAGTTGCAGCTGCAACGCGGATGAAAAGACAATATCAGCCATAGACTTCTTAGCACAATTCAAACGTTTGTATGATTTTTCAGAAGTCTAGGCAGATAATTCTCCGTAGCCTGTTTCAACACTAGCGGAGCAAGAGGTATATAAGAAATCATACTGTTCATGTTCATGTTTAGACGTCTGTAGCTCATGCACGCAGCAGCTGGTTAGCGCTTGTTTGTAATTCCTTAGCTCGTGTGTACATGCAGCCGTCTATTGAATTTAGATTAAAAGATCTTCATTCGTTTTGTTCATTCCTCCATTTCACCTTTGATGAAAACCCATGCATGCCATTGCATGCAGTCTTCACTGACGCTTGCGTATGTTCAACCAAAGTTCACGACAACGTCTTCTGTATCTCACATGTCTCACTCCATAAACGAAAGCGTTAGCAATTGAATTGATTCCATAAAGTTCAAAATTAAAAACCACATACCAAGTTGATGTTTCTATGCAGTTTTTACAAACAAGAAAATATAATGATATGCCAATAATTGCAGGGATGAAATAACAGAATGCCAATATTACAACAACAATTATAAATGTTTTAACTGACTTTAGTGCTGTAACCTGACGAAATAGAGGTTTACGCTTAGAACAACATTCTGCTGACTGATTTTCGTTTGGAATACCATCAAGAATTCTTTGTGTCTGTTTTTGTGCAATTTTCAAAATTTTTATATTCAAACCAAATATAAAAATGATAGATAGATAAATAATAACTATTTCATAAGGCCAGTAGATCTCATCCCTGATTTCACAATAACTTCGTCTTTCTGTCTTTTTAAAAAATACAGCCATTAAGCAGAGTACGCTAAACGACGTGATCCATATACCAACTACAACACTTCTGACTCGTCTCACAGTTATGAGTAGTGGGTATTTTAGAGGTTTTACAATGAATGTATACCTGTCGATAGAAATTGCGAGAAGTGTCCCAACTGACACAAATAACAATGCAAGCAAACTGGAACGACTTAACTTACAAAACAAGTCCTGATCACTCTCAATGTTCATTATGGTCTGAATAAACTCGATGATCCATAGTGGATAAAATGTTAAACAAACGAGAAGATCCGCTAATGCCAAGTTTGCTATCAAATACGACGTCGCTGTCTTTTCTTTACTCGAAAAAAGTGTGTACATTATAACTGTAACATTTCCCAAAACACCAATAGTCATCGCGATGAATTTAAATACAATTGACGGAATAAGAATATACGTTTGAAAAACAGTCTGTGACTGTGTACCGTTCACCATTGTTGACTTGTTGTTGTTCAATCAATTGACTAAACGCGCGTGTCTCGTGTTGAGCGGCCGCCGGCTGTCAAATTCACATGTGGATTTTTAAGGATATGTCAAATGTTCAACTGCTACTCCATTCAACTTCACTTCTACGAATGATTATGTTCTCTGAAAACCTTCGCTTAAAGTTCAACACTTATTTTACTTCAAGTTTACCCATTATTTATACATTGGACATAATAATCGGACGTGTTTGATCCCCTAATGAGAGATAATATTAGTGTGAACGTGTTTAAAAGGCGTACCGTATGTAAATAGCCCACTAGCCACTTTTCTAATCTCACTGAGCATCAATGAAATTAACTTTTCGAACAGTTTTAATCCGCTTGCCAGTAAATGTTGGAACAAAATTTCGTACCCCAATGTAGTTATAGTTACCTCAAGAATATTCAAACATGGCTTAGAATTTGAGAAAACAACATTGCAACAGCATCGTGTTGAATGTCGTGCAAATATCGTGCCTGACATATTGCGATTACATCTGTGAGTCAACATCTTTCAGGACTGCCCATGCGGAGTTTCTCAGAAGTGTCAATATAATGATAGAGTAAAAGAAATGATAAAATGACTAACATGCATCAAGGATAGCAAAAATCGAGCTATAGCCGGGCTAGGATTTATACTGTATAGATGCTTCATTTAGTAGGTTCTGACCCACGCTTATCAAGTGTAGCTATTAAAATAAGATCCAGCGGCCTACAGAAAACTGCAGTCTCAAGTTTTGAGGCCAAATCTCACTTTAACCTCGTATAATACTAGGGTTTACTAATTTCAAAATCTGAACCGTTGCTAGGCGGGATAAGAATTCTAGATATTCAAAATATTTAGGGACATTGTGAGGTATTAACACCACCCATTGGCGTTTACCATGGGGTATAGATTAATCTAATATTGAGATGTGCGTGGTGCGGGTAGATAAACCTTTGTATATTTTGTCGCAGAGGCGAGAAGGGGGCAAGAATAAGAGAGCTTAGCCGGTGGGGGAGCTATAGGATTGCATTATGCATGGCACTCATCTTATTTTTAATCTTTTTTTAGACCTAATGAAACTGAAGCGCATTAACATCCAGAAACAACGAGGACGGAAATCTGCAAGTCATAACAAGAAATCAGATGCACTTATTTCAAGATTCGCCGCTGGATTTTCCTTTGATTTTCATCCAAATGATAGCAACATGTGAGTATACACAAATACTCGATGCAATAATGCTGCAGTGTATTGAGTTAGTTAGCCTCAGAGATGTATATCTGATTATTGCCATGTACTGCATACTAAATGTACTACCACCATCAGTGACTACCACCCGCTTATTAACATATCCAGGGCATACCTCGAAAAGTATATACTATAACTGCTTCTCTAACAAGACCACGGTCAGTTTTTCGATGATTTTTTCTCCCTGCAAATTCTCTTTTCTTGACTTTTTATACTGTCAAGTTATTAGTGCATGTATTATTATTACCATGATCAAATTACTAAATGCTGATTGGTCGAGACTCGAGAGGATTGCTCGTACAATTAGGGATCCAAATTACTTACTCCCCGGCGGCTCGTGGCTAAGTACTTCTATAATCCAAAATTATTTACAAATGCATATATTTTTAATTAAAAACGCATTTTTTTGGCATACAAAAAAGGCATAGTTTACATGTAAGAGTTAATGGACTTTTGCATAATAGACAAACTTTTGATTTAGGCGACAAAAAGGGAACTTCCTAAAAGAGCATATTAAACTTAGCAAAATTGCCAAGTTTGGTTGCAAAATATTGTAAAGTGCAGAAAATATAGCCATGCGTATTTGGCAATTTTGTTTACTTTTTTACTACGACCAGAAGCTTGTAACTAATTTAGTTCAACGCTTCCGGCCGTAGTAAAAAGTAAACAAATTTGCCAAATATATTTTCCCTACTACTTGACATTTTGCAGCCAAACTTGGCAATTATACTTATTTCGGTATGCTCCTTTTAGCTGGGGTGATTTATTTCCTTTATGTCGCCTACATCGTAAGTTTGTCTATTATCCAAAAGTCCATTATCAAAAAAGAGTTAATATCTCAAATAAAGTTGATATATCACTGAGTATTACAAAATAGCATTTTCCGTTAATCATTTTGATCCAATCTAATTGGCGTTACTTACACCATACTGCAGCATTATGTACAACAAATATCTTTCCTAAAATATTTTCGATTGATGGAAAACCCGCCTATTATTTTCCGTATTTTAGCTGAGGCAAGATTACTTATCGAACTTAATGTAAGCGAAAGCTTATTTCAAAAAATCTGCAACGCTAAGTGTTTCCTGTGCCTAAAACTGCCATAGTTTCGCGATGTGTTGAGGTAATAGATGCAAATGGATATAAATAATATACGATACATGATTGATACGTAATGGCCTGATCCCTCATTTAAATAGTCTTTAAATCCGTACTCAGTGCAAATTAAAACCCTGCATGTAATATTATTTTTTCTTCAAGATACATTATTGGTACTGAAGAAGGTCACATTCATAAATGTTCGTGTTCGTACAATGAACAATATTTAGAGTCATATGTTGGTCATACGGTTAGTATCAGCGAAGTTGACAGACTTTCACTACCTCCACTTTCCTTGGAACTATAGAGCTTTTGATTGGGTTAATAATTACCTCAGACTTGAGCTCGCTGCTTGGTCTATGGTAACAGTGGTCAAATCTCAACCTTGGTATATTTATAAGATACTATTTATAAGATACCCACCACAATGTAAATTGGTAACATTTAATCCCTGCGATTACGTTAGGATTATGGTTAAGATTTAGGATTAGGGTTAACACTAATCAACCATATACCTAATCTAAGACGTAATCCTAACCTAACCCCAAGGATTAAATCCTTGTATTGCATGTAAGGCTCACATTTACTGCCTGGTCAGTATACATTAGTTTTAGTGATTTGTTGGATTAAGTGACGTATATAGTTTTTTGAACTGAGCTTTATTTATTGGCCCTTAAAAGGAAAATTGTATACAACTATACGTTTATTTCCAGGGTCCAATATATGAATTGAGATGGTCTCCGTTTCTAGCAGACGTATTTCTGAGTTGTAGTGCAGATTGGAGTGTTAAATTATGGCATCAAGATAGCCCTTCTCCTATTTATACTTTTTCTTCTTCTACGGTGAGTTTTTACTTCCCCTCTGTAAGTGTCTTCGTTATGGATAAAACCATGCAGCTGAAAGTGCAAAAACGCCATCATCGCTTCTTCATGAACAGACATTTTTCAACTCCCATTCAGAATTCTGTGAACAGTATTTGCTGGTCTCCTATTTCATCCACGATTTTTGGTTGTGTTCATGAAGGCGGTATTGAAGTCTGGGATTTACGACAAAGCACGTAAGCATGTGGCTAACTTTACTACGATATGTCTGCCTGTCTGCCTGGTTGGATCGGCAAAACAGGATTTAGCTATACACGTTTTAATTGAAACGAAGTCTACAATCCTGGAAAAAATTAGCAGATTTTTTCAATTACGTCACTTTTCCCCCTTCACCCCCACCCCCCATATACAATCTAAAATTTCCTCATATTTTCTCAATTATTTTACTTTTTCTAGCCTGGATCCTTTAATTGTAAATGCACCTCTACAAGAAGTTAAATTGTCGTCAGTTTCATTCGCCCTAAACTCAAATGTGAGTAACACTCAAGTGGATTTTTACGAGTATTTCTTTTCTCTATGGAGTCTACACAATTTTTTGTGTAGTAAACCCAGTTTCTTCCTTGTCATTTATCTTTATGTATTTTATAGAGCGTACTTGTTGGTGACTCGGATGGTCAAATTAATGTCTTTTTACTGGCGGGTCTTCGAAGCGCATCAGAGGTGACAATCTTATAATGTTGACAAACCTGCTTGTTGAGTCTATTCGTGTGAATAATATATATTTATCTGAATATTTTTTCATATATGCACTAGTGTAGCTATACCACAAATCATACATGCAGCATTTTCGTACTTTGCCATGCATTCACTGTGCATACAAGACACACAGCATTGTCTGTATATTAGTCTGATATCCTCCTTTACTATCACGAAATTCATTTATTAACAATATTTTAATAGAACAATATTCTTTATCCAGGAAAACAATCTTGCTGCAATAATACAACCCAATGTTGCCAAGCAGATCAGACCTCGTCGATAAAGATTTCATCACCCTCTTGGTCCATGCAAGATGTACATACGATTCGCAATCCACTTTTTACACGTTAAATATGCATTATAACTATTGTACAAAGTTTATAGAAATTAAATTAAATTATTAACTCTGTAACATTGCCAATTATCACAATGGCCATTAGGTTTTGGTATAAATTTCGAGGCGGTCAAGATTCAATGTCTCTGAAGTGACAGTCACTGGCGGTGACTATAGCTTTTTGTTGTTGTTTTTCAAATAAGAAATTCGGTTCAGTAAATATGGGCTTGTAATTACCTCGCCTTCGGCGACTAATTATTAAATAGTACCTCGCATAATGGCAGATCGTGCAGGACAATTATATGAAACTACGAGTTAGTTTATCATTTACGTAAAACTATATAACTGCAATGATTTTCGTAGTTGCTGGCTTGATTTCTGCTGGGAATTCCTAGGTGTTTATGAGCTGGGCGGATGGTACAGTTTTTGCAGGTTGTGAGGTTGGCACTTGAGGCTGTTGAGGTTGTGCTGGTTCAGAAATTGGAACTAGAATTATCTTCGATGCGTGGTCCTGTGTTGTCTTCACACCTCCCGATGCAGGGAATACGTTTTGGTCGTTAGAACCTAAAAAATAAACTGTTTATAATAAATTGGATACTTTGATACCTGTCCGCGCGCATGTCATTTTTGTATCCATAAAGCTTCTTGACCATCTGGTCGATATTTTATGCAACGTAAAACTTTTGAAATGCATGTGAATGTGGTAAATATACTAAAAAATCACATAATCGTTTATGGAATTTGATGAATACAGCAGTGTTTATGACGTGAGATTCCTCTCTCAGCGAATGTTTTTATAAGAAATACTCTGAAATACGGTTTAGTCTGTATATTATTAACCAACTATATAGCCCGGTGAGAGTCATAAAGTTAGCTGCAAATATGATTAATATTTAGCTGCAAATATAATATGATTTCCCTTACTCTGCTTTGAGTCTTCTTGAATTTCTTTTTTTGCGTCGGCTGCGTTTAAAAAAACACTTTTTGTTCCATGTTTTAGCCTTCCTGCAGGCTTTTTTTTAAGCCCATTTTCTAAAATTGCTATCACAAATATACAGATTGTTTTATCGATTCTTACATATGAAACATTGCATCAAGGAAATCTAATTTTCATGCGATTTTATTTCTTTCCCACCTCTTGATTCTAATTCCTGGATGTCTCGCATTAAAGCTTCTCCGTTCACTGCAGTAAAAGGCAAAATGTATTCAATATCAGACCGTATTTATGATATTTACGACTCGTTTGCTTAATGCAAAACGCTCAAAAAAGCAAGATCCTGAATGATATGTTTCTAATGTAGATTACCTCGAGTACCTTCCTTCTTGATCTTGTGACATGGTTTGGTACTGTTGTAAAAGAATGTATTATTTCTCGTTTTAAATTGTCGCAGTAATTTACGATAATTTGATCTCTGTCTTGAACTTGGCTTAGTGTTGTTTTTAGTAACGATCTCCCAGATGCAGCCCGAACTTATTCTTCCTAAATTGTGTTATGCAAAATATGAATTTAAACATCTGTAAAGTGTACAATCATCACTGCTGTAAGCAGAGAACTTACTGCGATTAAAGCGGCGCCGTTTTTTCCTAATTGGTTCAGGAGGAAAATATGATGCAACAAGAAAGTGCATTTCGCCTGCCCGTCCTGCGTCACCGATGCCAACCTTTTGACCTTCCGTCTGCAGCATTTGTTGAAATCGTCCTTCGAGATTGGAATGTGTAAATGAAATGTGTAAATTTTTCACCGCAATAATTCTAAATGTATTACAATTGTGTATAAAAGGTGAAATTGATTACAGTAGCTCTTGTCTTGAATAATACAATCATATCGGAAAAAAGATTATTTTCAACGTTGGGTCAAACCACACATTATTCACCCATCGTCATGGCCATGGCGGAGTACCTGGTTTGCCGCAAATAATTTGCATATCTGTTCAAATGTCTACGAAAGCCTGTATTTATGGTTTATCTATGGTTTATTACCTCGACGAGTGGAATTTTCATATTCTTCTCTCAGCCACGCAATGCTTGCCAAGAAGCAGATATTGTCTACACGTTTTGGATCATCCGTCGCGTAGACATTATCACCATATTTAGAATGTATCCATACTCTGTTTTCTAAGGCATATTTCCCCTAAATCAATAGAAATTACCGTTAACATTAGTCCAAATCACATGCCGCAGTATGTCTGAATATGAGAAACTATGAGAAATGTTTCCTATCATGAATTTTGATTTTAAAATGCTACAATGGTTTACCTGGGTTTCACTGAGGTACAGTGCCAAGGCTTGTGCACGATCCGCAAGAACATTATCCCATTCCACAGGAGGGGAACCATAGAACTGTCGAATTGTATTCTGTATGTTCATGCAGTTCTCGGCAAAACTTTCCTTTTTATTCTCTTTTAATAAAACTAAAAATAATACTGATCGGTATTAATGGCAATCACTGACAGTTAAATGTTTACTTACGACAATACGTCTTATCTGTGCCACTAGCTATATACTATAATAGTAATATACATCTTAGAAATATACAACTACACCATGTAATACTGATAATAGTTGCACTGATGAAGGCCCGAATTAACGAACAAAAAGCTTTGCAATATTAAATACTTAGCATTGTTTCGCAAAGAAGTAGCTATATATTGATTAAATAAGAACAAACGCAATTATTAATTAACAACCAGTTGAGGTAAATCATTATCGACTGTGTTAAAAAAGACGTTCGGTGTGTCGGAGAGGAAAGACATTTAACTCTACTAGCTTTAAAAACCAAAATTACTTTTTCCAATATGTTTTAATATAAACAAAAAATGTTCTAAGAACAGCCTCGAGAACAACCATCTTTGCCTGTTTGGTCAACAACTTTGTCTTCCTGTTTTTAAAATGCAGTCTGCTTTTAAATAATAAATGTACCTTATATAGAAATCATATCTCATTTAGACTCACCTGAATTAAAATTCAGAATTTGTAGCGTGAAAATAAGTTTCAAGTGCATATTTTGGAATTGTCCAAATCTGCAGTCTGAATGAAATAAATGTTCAGCAGGTTTTTCATTGTTAGCTGTAAAACGCCGATTGAACTTTGTTCTGGTTGACTGTCTAAATGTCTCTGAGATAACTGAAAATTGTATCCCTCCTTCTAAGGCTTCTAGTTTTAAAGCAACGCTATTTTTTAATTTGCTTTTTGGTATGTCTTCATTGGATAATAAAACAATAATGCCCATGAAAAGTTGAAGGCACCCAAGATGGCAGAAGGTTAGAGAAAAGTGGTTTGCCTTCATGTATATGACGCTAAAAAATATACACAAACATCAGAGACGTATCTATAGAAGATTAGTTTCGGCGATGTATATATAATGCCTGCATGGTTAAAACAAAACCAAACCTTATACCCATGCTAAAATAATATATCATAAAGATCAAAAACGGCGGTAATGATATTGATTCACGGTATCGACATCTTAAAGCCCAGATCATACGAGGACGCAAGTCCCACGCAAGTAATAGCAAGTAAACCTGCATGCATGCGGTGCATGGTGGGCTTGTGTCCTCGTTTGATTCGCGCTTAAGGCTATATATAGCCCTGCAGTTCCATTTTCAGAATATTTAGCGGCATCTACCTATGTTTATATACAGGACAACGTGCATACATGCCTCAGTCATTTATATTTTTCTGAGTAAGACTTTCATGCGAACTTAATACAGATCGTTTGTATATCATTTCTTGGAGGAAAACAAATCAAAAACAACGAGCAGAAAAACCTGCAAGATAAATTTCCACTCAATCAAAAACCGTGCAGAGTTAAACAATTCATAGAACAAAAAATATAAATGAAGAAAACAACATGGTGTGCGAAGCATATATTTTACTCAATTATTTCCATGCTGCTTCAAAAGGTGTTTATAATATAGTTCTCACGCTTGTGATGATGGAGGCAAAGCAGAATTCTGTCTTGTCTCTCCTTGAACCAAATTAAGTGTGGCTGTTGGTATTCCCCACCAATTTGATTTTGTTTTCTGATCTACAAGATTTCCAACATCCAATCGACGAAGCAATTGACCATCTTTCATCTGGAAAAGTGGAGCGTTGTTGACCGCGCTGGCATCAACAAAAGGCATGATATTAATAACTTCGTTTGCATTTATCGCTTTACTTGGATTTTTGAAAGCGTCGTACACTTGTCCAGCAGATTTCTGGATTGCCTCGTTAACAAATTGGTGATTTTTTTTATTTCCTGCGGTCAGAAGATATTTGTCACCATAGGCAATCCATTTATCTCCTCTTTTATTTGTAACACGCAAACCATATTTGCAGTCTTCATCGTGCATGAATTTGCTGAGATAATCTCCGACTTTAGAAGGGGTAACCTGGTAGTGAAGCGCAACTCTTGGAGTCCTATATGAATGACAAAAACAAATTATGTAATATGCTATTCGCTGTTATAAGCTCATGTACGGTGTGTTATGTAATACCGTGAGAATTTTTGATGAGAATTTTATTGTTGAAGTTTGCACATTTTTATCATTATAGTAAAGCTCAAAAGAGGAGTAACTTTATTTTTCTCACGTATGGATTTAGAAAAACCACGGGCTGTTTTTTGAGAGAAATGCCACGAGCTGTTTTTTGAGAAAAAATGTTAGCTTACACCAAGTTTCTTAAAACTCAAACCTGAGGTGACCAGCTGAGAAAATGTCGGTAAGAAAGTGAGATGCAAAGGCATCCATAGCGTAAGCTTCCATTAACTTCAAAAGACTAGTTTGTTGGTTGGTATCCTTGGCTGCTTCTCGTGCTTTCTCTATCGCCAACTCGTGTCCTGTGAGCCAAGCCTGAGCCGCCTGTGGCTGAAAGTGATCAAAGTTCTTCGTTGCTAAACTCAACATGCTGCCCATCCTGAGAGGTAAACCGCCAGCCCATGTTCCACCAGTGGCTCTGTCCCAGTCGGCATCAGTGTGAAGTGTTCCTCCAGAATCCCTCGCTTTATTATCCTCATCTATCATATTAACCAGCTTGTTCACCTCAGCCACAACATCTTTACCTGTTTTAACTGCAAGTGTTTCATAAGCTGCCATGAATCGCTCACGACGATCTTGGATTTCCTCCGGATTACTGGCATCAGCTTTAGGATCAATAATTGGAGCGCTTGGCACGCCATAAAAATCACCAGCCAAAGCCACTATTTTGCTAAATTGAACATTAACATCATTTGGGAGCGTCAGGATGTTGCCTGCTATATCTGGCAGAGTTACGCTGCTTCCAATCAAATCGTGTTCATCCGAGTTGAAATATGATGTTTTTTCCTACAAGTATGGGAAAAGTTCCTTTAAATTATCTCCAAATCCGTACCAATTTAATCTGCACCAAACTTAAAATTGTGCGCAGTGTAAATGGCTACCAACAATGGACATGGCCGCCAATTAAGCCCCGTACAGACGGACAAGTTTTCCTTGCCAAGTTTTATTTGTTCGTGTGTACTATTTACGTGAAAAAATTGACAAGTTTTCCTTGACAAGGAGCCTTGTTCAAAAGCTAGTCATGCCAGCTTTTCAAGTAGGAAAAATTCTCGTGTGTACGGCCGTCAAGGAAAACTTGACAAGGAATTGCGCAGTAGGGAACAGCGCAACAATCTTCGAGCTAATCGAGTGGGTTTTTGAAGTTTCTCAATTTCTGTTTGTTAAAATTTGTCAAATTTTTCGCGATGAAACAAAACTTGTCAAGGAAGACTTGTTCGTCAACACACACCAGCAAGTGAACTGATCAAGAAAACTTGTCAAGGAAGACTTGCCCGTCTGTACGGGGCTTTAAGAGGAATTGATGAAAACAGGAGATGAGAAATATATCCCACTTACAGTACGGAGAAGAAGTGAACGTAAGCAGAATAAAATTGAGGAAATTCGCCGAGGCCCGAGGTAATGCCTGCGTTGTCATCCACGCTTATTTCAACAATGCTAAATCATCGTTGCATATAATAAAAGTTAGTTGCGGAGACCGAGGGAACTATAAATTGCGTTTGAAAGTGATGTGCACATACGTGGGATTGAAATGCATTGTTCTTTTTAATTGACGATGTTTTAGAAAACAATAATTGTATGCCGCTAATTTGAATGGCATGCAGGGTTGGTAGACAGCTGCATATTTGAGGCCAAACAACATCACACTAGTTATTTGTTTTCGTTGTGTTCGCCTTTTCTTTGTTTTCTTGATAGCACAATTTGGCTTCAATTATTTGCATATCTACCAACTCCGGTGGCATGAGGCTGGAAAAGGGTGTGATTTGTTTCAGTTTTCACTAAAATTTATGTACGAAGGAATGATCTGGCGATGATGAATTTCGAACTACGCAAAGAAGCTTTCGTTCAAGGAATGCCGGATGACGATGATTGCAGCTAACATCGATAGCCTGTTTGAAGACGCCTTATTCTTTACTGCATGGTAACTGCTTTATCCATCTTTATAAGAATAAATGATAGTTTATTTATACTGAAGTACTCTGAGACCCTCTACCATGACTTGTCGAGCATGATTGTGTTAGCAAATAGCGTTATTCATTTTTTAACAGGAAGAGGTTGTCAGGTTGAGTTTAGGCGAGCCCCGAACATGAGAATTTAACTTACAACTGCATAATCATTTATTCAAGATAACTTAATTGTGATTGTTGAGAAAGCACACATGATGCAGCTCCGTCACTGATTTAGTATCGGCGCTTCAGGGAAAGAATAACCACTGATCACATATATCGTATATTTTATCAAAGGCTATAACCTATGATATGGATTTCAAAAAAATATTGAACCCTGAGCAAGTCTTTTAATGGAGAAGGTTGTATATATATACGAGAATGTACCATGAAACCCGTGTGGTGTGGATACGAGGTGCAACCTGAACTTGTCGTCGAACTATCTTTATTTTAAATATCAAAATATGTATGTGAAATAGACCAACTTTCCAGTAATATTGGTGCGATTTGTACTAGAGACGGATCATTCGTCGAGACGGATCATCCATTTGTGGCATAAATCAGGCATTACTGATCACTTGTTTGTCTAATGTAATAGTTCTCATCCTATCATTGAACGCGCATTTAGTAAGCGACTGGGGACGAATCTCTAGGGGATTGAGACGAACATGTTTTTGCTTTCACAGACACCTTCTTTTGTTTGCTACTTGCCATTACTTCCTTACCTTGAGATCCTCTTTACTGAAGGTATGATTTTCTTTACTGAAGGTGTGATCCTATATATACGAAACATATGAAATAATTTACTTTACAGTAGTACAAAAATATACATCGATTGAAGTAAAAATTATGTCACTATGAAAATCTGCCTGAAGTGACAATCCTTTCTTGTTGTATATGTTGTATTATTGTATATGATATTTTTTATTTTATTTCACTAATTCTTACTTTTGGTGCGGGTTGAACTGTTTCCATGAACATGATCAAGAGCGTCAACCACAGAATTTGAAACTTACAGACTCCGTTGTACATTTTCAGTTATTTCTTTTTTATCTAAAGGATCGAAATCGTCGTCAAACTCTGCTCAAATAATCTGATTTTTGTAACATTGAGTTACACCAGATCGAGGAACGAAAAAGGAATGTAATTTTATTTCCTGAAGTTATTTAAAAGAAGGATAAAATGTATAAATACTTCAGTGAGACCAGAAGAAAACTGTTTTTTTAATTTTGGACAATAATAGCAGCTTATGAGTAACACTGTTCTCCTAGGTTTAATAAATTTAATAAGAAGATTACGGAGGTAATTCTTACCTTGGAAATTCGTTTTCTTTATTTTTCAACAGCGTTATGAGTGTATCCGAATTTAAAGTGAACAAAGAGAAAGTGTAGACGGGTACATGTTAGCCGTCACAAAATAAGTCGAACGTCTTTGGCATCGCACCCGTAACCTAAACATCTCTGTTTGACAACCGAGATATTTTGTTTCAAACACAGGACAGACCTTGATGATGTTCTTCTCAGGGTCTGTTTACATGGAGCGAGTTATCCCGGCCAGGCGAGGTGAAAACTGCTATGATGAAAAACTACTTCATTCGCCACAAATTATATACACCAGATTCTTCAAAACAAACCACAGGAAGAGACGAACCTAACTGCCCTCAAACTGCGTGACAATGATTCACACACAAGTGATCGATCATTCCACATGATCGATCATTCCACAGCCGGTAATAAAACTAAGAATGTATTGTTGAAGTAGCTACATAGTTTGATTTATTAAGTTATTTCTCTCTCAGCTTTCTCTCTCTATATATACATACATAGTTTCTGCCAAAAAGTTAAATAATTAAAGTTTTATTTCTTATGCTTGCTAGACGAGTGGTAGAGCAGAGTTTTTCCTTTCGGTACCCTGAACCAAGTTGAGTGTTGCTGTTGGGAGTGAAAGCCAATCTGATTTAGTTTGCGGATCCTGAAGATTTCCAACATCCAATCGACGAAGCAATTGGCCATTCTTCAACTGAAACAAAGGAGCGTTGTTGACCGCTGTAGGATCGACAAAAGGCAGCATATCAATCACTTCGTTTGGATTTATCGCTTTCGTGGGCTTTTGAAATGAATCGTAAACCTGCAGTACAGACTTCTTGATTGTCTCTTCAACTAGACGCCTATTATCTTTATTTCTCTCTGCCAGAAAATATTTGTCACCATAGGCAATCCATTTATCTCCTCTTTTATTTGTAACACGCAAACCATATTTACAGTCTTCATCGTGCATGAATTTGCTGAGATAATCTCCAACCATCTCAGCAAAAGCTGTGTCATGTAATGCAACTCTTGGTGTCCTAAAAATAACAGACGATACAACAAATATCAATCAATGAATATAAGTAAATTTTACAGTAATACATTACATATTTTCTCATACGTTTTCTTATATATAGATACATACAGTATTTGCAAAATGGTGCAAATAGCGAAGTGTACTTGTGTGGACAATTTCAAATTAATAATCAGTAGATCATTTCCCGATATGAACTAAATGCTGCATGAGTTTATAAGAAGAATTAATCGCTACTGGAAAGCACTGTGCGTTTGATTAAAACTCAAACCTGAGATGACCAGCTGAGAAGATGTCGGTAAGAAAGTGAGATGCAAAGGCATCCATAGCGTAAGCTTCCATTAACTTCAAAAGACTAGTTTGTTGGTTGGTATCCTTGGCTGCTTCTCGTGCTTTCTCTATCGCCAACTCGTGTCCTGTGAGCCAAGCCTGAGCCGCCTGTGGCTGAAAGTGATCAAAATTCTTCGTTGCCAAACTCAACATGCCTCCCATCTTGAGAGGTAAACCACCAGCCCATGCTCCACCAGTGGCTTTGTCCCAGTCCGCATCAGTGTGAAGTGCACCTCCAGAATCCCTGGCTTTATGATCCTCATCTATCATTTTAACAATCTGACTGACCTGTGTTGCAACTTCTTTGTCTTTCGAAACGGCGAGTGTACCAAAGGCTGCTAAGAATCTTGTTCGACGATTCTGTTTTTCCGTCTGGTCTGTGCTACCAACCAGTTTCGGATCAATGATCGGAGCGTTAGGAACACCAAAAAAATCACCTCCCAAAGCGACTATCTTACTAAAGGTAACTTTTATACCATTTGGGAGCGTCAGCATGTTTGTTGGTGCAAATGGTAAAGTTACACTGTTTCCAATCAAATCATGTTCATCCGAATTGAAATATGAAACATGTTCCTAAAGAAGACCATGTGAGGTAAATCTATATTATTTAGTTGAATTTTTTTGAACAGTTAGAACAAACCACCTGAAAAAGAACGACAACTATACGACAGCTCGAGGAAAACACTTTCTTGGGAATGTAGAAATTTGTATTATCTCTAGTCGACTATCTGCATGGTTACGCACATGTACAATTCAGGGTGAAGAATCCACTTACGAGATCGCATTACTTACAGAGTATTTGGATTAGCAATAAAATAAACTAATAAAAAAAATTTAATTGATTTGCCCACCGTTACAGTGATTATCGATCAATGAAGATAAACAAAATCTTAGTTACTTCTGTAACAGTTATCTGGAAAGCCCATTAGGAGAGAGTGTGAGTGTGTTTTCATTATTGTTCGCGTGCGATGTACAGTGGCGTAGCCAGCCTGACGATTTTGTCCCGCTATGTAAATTTCGAATTATTATAATTATTCATGTCTTTAGAAATCTATTGTTTTCACAGTCAGTGAACACGAAAATATTAGCATAGCGGGACAAATCGACAGGCTGGCTACGCTACTGGCGATGTATAGTCATAGTGTCGCACAAAACACACAATGCATTTTTGTTGAGAAATCAACGGAAAATGTCGTCACTGATGGTCGTGCATTTACAATAAACCTCCAAACATTGCTTACCTTAAGATCTTCTTCACGAAACACATAATCCTATTAAGAAATTTAAAATACGTTTACTAGGTCAATCTAAGAAGCAAACACGAGTAATTGATAGTAAATAAAATTGTAATGGGGAAATTGTGTTAGTGTACACATGGCGACAAACGTTTTATCTTTATTTCAACAATTCTTACTTTTGGCGCTGCGTGAACGATTTCAATGATCATGATCAAGGATATAAGTCGAAGCAATCCAAATTTACTTCCAACGTACATGTTGAATTCCTTTTAATCTATAAAGACAAGAACAAAGGTTTTATTTCCACCGTGTAGGCTATAAAAAGAAATATTCACAAATATATATTTCTTCAAATAGTTAAACATAATTGAGAAATGTTACCTTGAGTTATCTTTTGTGTTACTACACAAGACTGCATATGGCTAAAGAAGCGTTATTCTTGCTGATTGGAAAAAAATGTTGATCTTACGTGCACCTGCTTACTTTGAATGTCAAGGGATCGACAACCGATAACTTGTGAGTTTGTGTCACTGAAAATATCGTTTAATGATGGGGAATTTAATTCAAAAAATCATTAAATCTTAAGGTGGTCCGCTAGAACAAAATTACGATTTATCCTGTTTTGAAAAAATTGAAGACCGTTTTCCACTTCAACCGTATCGTAGCGAAACGCAGCATATCTCATTGTTTTAAAGTCATTAGTTTTGGTCGAATACTCCGAAATACGCTACGTTACGCTACGATTGAATTAAAACGGCCTTCAGGTGGAAACAGCCCTAGGCTAAAGAGATACAATCTTAACGATCTGTCATTCTGTCTCCCTAATCGATCCAGGATACTTTTTCTCTGCGAAATATATAAATAACGCACGAATTAAACAAAAAGTAAAAGAAATATTTTTTAGTGGTGGACCCCTTGAAGTCTGATCAGCCGATGTGTTCCTTCTTCCGAGATATTTCTCGTCAAAATTACCGGTCAAATCTATGTTAGCTTGGTAACATTCATCGTTGTCAATAAACAACGTGTTGATAGTTGGACATAGCGAATTATCAATAAAGGTGATCGGTCTAAATGCCCGTCAAACTAAAAATATGAACAAATAATATAGCTTCAAAGTTTACACAAAAAACTGTTTCAAGATATATTTTGACAGTATATTTAAAATAATACACGAGCGATAATTACAAAAGTTTTTTAAGAAATATCCTTATGACAATAATACATCATTTAACAAACATTCTTTCTCTCATGCAACGCAAAACTCTATATAGTCTATATAGCGACTTCAGGATGAGCATCAGTTTTTGCATAGGATAATATATTTAGGTTACAGCTCTAGCTTATTTTTAGTACTTGTTTGTTCGATATTAGCTCAGTAAAAGGAGTTCTTAGAGTGATCATCCTAAATTTGATGTCCTGAATCTTCACACTGAAGCCAAAATGAATCTTGACCAGACGGAATATCTGTTAAACGAATAAAATCAAGTTAAACCAGTATTGTATTAAACAACGAAGACTAGCTACTCTGCTTTTGCTGCCTGAACAACTGAAAAATATACATGGTAAATTTGTAATGTTTTCTATCTATATATCGTTTCAATATAACCATCCGTTTTAAATAAAATATGCATGTCGAAACACGAAAATCCTTGAAAAAAAAGGAAATATATCCTGGAGAAAAGTAAAGCATTGAGATATCACATGTGTCACAAACCTTGAAAAATTTTCTGGGATATTCTCATGGCAACAAAACACATTCCACTAATTTAAACAGCGAGTCAGGTTTGGAAAGATAATAACTGGATTTGTTTCTAGTTTTTGAAGAGAACAATGTTGTCTTCTTGACATAACAGAAATGTCGCTCAATACATCCACAATCTTCTAGTTTCTGCAAAATATCATCAAGAGCAACTTGAAATAGAAGATTTACGTAATGTTTTGAAATTGCATATTTTTGGACTCCGGGATACTTTATGATGTAGGCCAAGACACTTTGATGTAGAGTATTATATGCATCTTTGTTCATTTCACCAGCCATTGTGATCCAAGGACGGCATGGCTTACTGGAACAACTGTCCGTCTGTGTAGGAATTTCATTCGTGAAATTATCCTGTTTAGAAGTGCTTGTTTCCTCTGGAATTTTGTCATCAAAACTTCCTGAAACTGCTGAAGACACTTCTGATCGAGTTTCGCTATTCGGGTGTGTTGAAAAAGACGTTGACTGTTCGGATGTGTTGGGGGTCGCTGCCATATCCTCGCTACTTTTCGGTATTTGATTCTTTTCAGGACAATCTGACTTTGCACAGCCATCCTGTTCGGCTTCGTCTTGACCAGCACCAGTTTTTCCCATTACAGAAATTTTTCGTTCTCTTTCAAGTTTCGCGATTTCAGAAATAGATCGACCGTTATCTTCATGAAAGTTTAAAAACCAATGTTGCTTAAATGCTTTAGTAACGTAACAAACTTCAACGAAGCCGACTTGATAAACAAGTTTGAATGCTTCAAGGACTTTGATTAGACCATTCGTGGAGAAATGTTGAGAGACAAATAAACGTTCACACTTGATCATTTGATCCACTTTAGAAACTGACATACCAATTTCTTTGCTGTTGTGTACTGTTTCATAAACAGTCTTTAGTGCCTCACAATCTTCCCCGGTGTAGCCAAACATTTTTGAACAAAGAGTAATGCATTCTTCTATTGTCTCTGGCATAGTTAAGCCGTTTGATTTAAAATGCTGGGCGACACTTTCTTCAAGACTTTGTTCAGCTCTAGGAGTTGCGATTTTCTCTGCCGACAACAAACGCACACGAACTTTGCATGGGTTAATACTAAAGAGAATTCTCTTTAAATCTCCGGTACGTTGGTAAGTTGAAATATTTTCAACATAACTTTCATACATCGTCTTATACTGCTGACTTGGTGCCGCAACATCACCAACTACAACGTGATCAATGGCGCGAAGATGATCGACATAAGACGTGGTCATGGTACATGTAAATGACGATGTTGGTTTTAGATTCACCTTATACACTGGCGAGCTGGACTCGATGCCCTGAAAACCAAATAAGTGATCTTCAATACCACAAAGTACGTCTAAAACCATGTCATTGGATCGTTTACGATTAATGTTGCCTGGTATTGTAATTATTTCGTCTTCTTCTGGATCAGGAAGATCTTTATGCGAAATCACCGCACTTTGACTTGTGCTCACTGCCTTGTCTTCAAAAGGTTCTTCTACCATGTCATTAGTAGCGTTATTCTCGCATCTCTTTCTCTTTGATGAATCCTGTTCGTTTACATTCAAATTTTCATCTTCACTTTCATGAACGTCATCGTCAGCTCTTCCTTCGAACGCGTTTTCTTCGTTATTTTGATTCGTCTCAGATGGATGATCATGACTGGAAGTGTTCGCAATATGTAAACAACTGGGGTCATCTCTTTTCCTCGTTTCAACCTCTTCCTTTGGTCTTTCGTTCGATTTTTCTAAAACTGGTTTCTTTGCCTTCGACTTTTTTTGCTTCTCCAAGACAAGAAATATATCTGGAACTTCCATATTCACTGCTATTCTCTTGCATGCCAACAAGGAGAGAATACAACATACTTCTCCTCCACGAATTGAACTCTCTGAAAACACGAGTGGTAGAGACTCCTGAACACCATCATCATCCCGTGACTTACTAGCGTCGGCAATCTTGTCGTAAAATGCAAAAACTTCCTGGAACAGCGACGATGGAAATTGGTGGTCAATTATGCATTGACTGTGCTTCGATAACATCTGACCAAAGGCACACGATGCTAGGTCATGACCACTATTTGCATAACGAAGACTTTTTCGTACAACAATACGCCCATTCTTTAGCAATGAAATGGCTATTATCAATTCTTCCTCGGTGAACTGACTCAAAAACCTAAAGGCCACGCTTGACTGGTAGTTATCGGTGTTTGCAAGCAGTGCTGAAACTATTGCATCCCGGATAACTCGTTGTCGAACATCACAAACGGAGATTTCACGTGGCTCTAAAGACAGACAGTCTTCATCGCATTTCTCCAATTTTTCTATTCCAGGAGTGCTGTGGACACTTCTTTGTTGGTTAAACTGCTGAATGGTGGAAGGAAGATCAAAATGGTTACTAATCAGGTTCTCCATACTGTATTTCTTCTTCAGTAACTCAACCAGTTCATTGAACATCGCCTCGTCACAATTCTTTTTAGTATTACAGTACGGCTGGAATTCTTTTCCTTGCAAACAATCTGCAACACAGATATCAAGGTTCGTTTTTGTTTGCGCGTTTCTTATCATCACACGATACTTCCGACTAATGGACAACGCTGTTTTCGTTTTGGCAGATTCATAATTGTCTTTGTACAAGACATCTCTTGTCCATAGCCAGTCACTATAACCTGTGTCAACAGATTTTTTCCCAATAATACGTAAAGCTAAACAGCATATGAACAACAATTTATGTTGTTGTCGAGTGAAGGTGTTTCTCTTTGCAAGTTTTTGTTTCAAAGCTTCTTCATCTCTCTTGTCATGGACAAGTTTATTCCAATGACCGTGGCTCTTGGGCTTTCGTTTAGGCTTGTTTGGATCCACCTTCCTTTTCTTTCTTCGTTTCTTTCTTTTCTTCTTTTCTTCATCGCCAACAAACGTTGACGGGTTCAAGGGATCGTTGGACTGTGGTGTTGTCATATTTAATTGAGCTGATGAACACGCATCTTTTTGAATTTCGTCTGTTTTCCTCTGAACGTTCAACTTCCTCTTTTTCTTGGAACCACCTTCCTCCTGGACAGGCCTCTCGCTCTTTCGTTTCTTTCTGGAAGCATTAGCAATTTTATTACTCAGAAAATCATCATAATTATCGAAAGACGATTGCCAATCCAGGATATCCTCGAGATCACTATCCATATCCGCCACATCCCTCCCAACGAGGGACCTTTTCCATTTATTTAGAAGATGACTGTACAAGTGAGAGTCAAATCCGCCTGCACCAAGACCATCGCCACGTGGTTTCCCACAGGTTTGTACTTCTTTTTCATCAACTACTAATGCTTCAAAATTTGAGGAGGATCGAGATTTTACATCATGTGATATCTTCCGCCTATTCAAAGGAGTGAACAGACAAATAATGCTGACTTTGTCCCAATACTGCTCGACGTCAGCCATTTCTGAGAAAGAAAATTTCTCTTCAGGAAATTCTTCTCCATCAGGGTGTTTCACTTCATGATAACCAGGTACGGATTCTCGAGTGTCCTTCATTGAAGTAGAGTTGTGGAGATAACATGCTATATCTCTTTCATGAAGAAAGATCTGCTTGTTCGTCGGAGTAATGAGACCCAGGAAAGTGAGATATTCAAAAGTCCCAAACAGAAAGTAATTCTTTCTTTCTTCAAACAATATTTGCCTTGCTAGTGGAGGTAAATCTTTCAATAACATGTTTTTTGTTGCAGGATCATTGAAATACTTCTGGAGAACATGATTGTGAAATGGAATATCAACCAGTTGAAAATACAAAGACACAGGGAGAAGTAATAGGATAGCAGATGGCGTAAACCATCCTTTTCCAATCATCTTTACAGCATATTCTGGTTGAAGATGCTCAGCCCATTCATATTTTCGTCGCATTTCTTCAAGATTGACATTAGGATTGCTTAGCTCATAAATCACATAAAACAGGAACATGTGCAAGAGTTCAACTCTTCGCATCTTTGGCTGGAAAGCACCGATTGAATTTATCTTTTTATCCACAAGAGCACCACTTCTTTTAGCGCCCTGAATAATAATTTTATCTTTAAACCTTTGCACACATGAAGCAACTTCTTCACTATCCTTCTGAATGCCAACATCACAGAAGAATTCTACTTGATGTTCTTCTTCTTCTAGTTTTATATTCATTTCAAATTTCCTTAGGAGACATTCTTCTGCCAGTTTATCTAGAAGATTTGCCACTGTTCTGCGATCCATACAGATTGTTAGGCCCAGTTTTTTTTCTTCCCTTCTAATGTATCTGATAAAAATTTGTTTGCCTTCCAAAACTTTGAAATCTTTCACCAGGTTAAGAATCCATGCTTTTCTTCTAACAAACCTCTCGGTTTCTGCAAGTTTTTGAGAACGAGTTTTTTTTAATGATTTCTTTGTACCATTGACACTATTAGTTGTTGAACAAGGCTTGTTAGCATCCTCTAAATTTTCTTTCAATTCTCCTTCGGAATTTTGCAAAATTGGATTACCAGGTTGAGTAGTTGAATCACCAGAGTCCTTGCATTCTTGTGAAATAATTTCAGGTTTACTTATTTGGTCTGTTGTGGTTGAGGAGGTCTGAACAGGTAGTGATTGTGTAATACCAATGTTAGATGGTGTTGCAATCTGAGACAATTGCTTTACTTTTGGATCAGACAATGGATCTTGAGGTAGTGCTGCTTTTCTTGCAATATATACATTTCTTTTAGCATTTCCTTCCTCTATAAACTTACAAAACACAACTTGGAGGCACTCCAAGTTTTCCAAGTTTTGCCTCATGCCAAAAAATGGATAACTCAATGTTTGACAACATTCAGTCAAACTTGCCCCATCTGTTCCTTTTGATTCTATAAAATTATAGATAGCATGTAAAACTGGCATCTCTGCAGGGATTTGTATGGATAAATCTTCCTTCTCTGGTTGCAACCATTCCTCATCTTCCAACTCATTACCATCCTCATCATTCAAGTTATAAAATGGATGAATAAATTGGATTACTTTGCTTTCCTTATCTTCTAATGAATCTTGTGTGTCCTGTAAGCCTCCTGAGCTATCTGGATTAACATCAGAACTTTTATCCAGACTTGATGATATTGCATTAGAATCATTCATCTTGACATAGCAAACATGGCCAGACTTACATAGCTTATCAACTACCTTCTCTACACTTTGCATGTCTTCTTCAAGCTGTGAATGTAGATCTCCAAGCAGCAGGCATTGATCTGGTGCTTCACCGAGTGCCTTGGTTATTTTGAATTGCAGAGAATTATGGCCATGTTCAGTGTGATATTTTGTTAAATAAAGTATGGCACTGGGACTTCTTCGATTTCCAATAACTGATTGCTTTGTTATCAACTGTAACCGAAGTAAGGTTTTCACTTGAGCAAATAAGCTACGACTATCTACCATTGTTTGCAAACCAAGGTTAGACTGTAACCGTCCGAGTTTACGAGCTCGACCAATGATTTCCAACAAGCAGTAGCTTGTTTCAGGTATGCTTATACTTGCATCAAATTCTGGGCCCAATAACACCTTATTTCTCAATAATTGAGATGCAACAAGGACAAGCCTGTTACCATATGTGGCCAACGCAGTTGACAGATTTATTTTGGAGATATTAATCAATGTTCTCGTTTTATATGTGGAACATGACCCTCTGATTCCATCATCGTTAATACAACAATAAGAATAAACTTCAGAGTCCTCATTAAAATCCAGTAATTCTGCACGCGGGCTTTCAAGAAGATAAGCTTTAATACCACGACATGATGAAACACAGCGCCAAAGAAATTCTTTATAACTTTCATCTATAGTAGAAAAAAGCAGTGCCGAGTCCAGTCTCTTCCATAATGTACCAATAGTAATACCATCTAAACCTTCTAAGGCTATCTCTTCTAGACAAACAGTAACCCCGTTCATACTGCAAGTCGTAATTTTATTTCACACTGTTTTCATCGGAAATTGTGTATTTTTATTGGCCATTTTTTTACTCCAGTAAATTCTTGCTGCACGTTATAAAACTTTATACACGGCCATATTGGATGACGTATGTATCATGATATACCAATACTTCATGTTTGAACCAGTGAGCTGACCATGAGACCAAGGGAGGGAACCAGGGGTGGGGAACTAGGGGTGGGGAACTAGGGGTGGGGAACTAGGGGTGGGGAAATGATTATTTTTGCGGTATCCGGTATGTGATAAATTTAAAGTATTGTAAACAAGAATATATTATAGGCATAGGTCTGAGTGAAAAGGTCTAGGAAAAGCATGTCAAAAGATATTGGCAATACATACCGGTTACATTTGATTCCTTTTTAGGCTCGCCGAACAGCCCACCATAGCACGCGGCAAGAATTTTCTATTTTTTCTGACAGGTAACTTTTATTTTCTGAATTTTTCCCAATGGGTATTTTTCAAGTAGATCTATTAAAATTTCCCTTCTATAGACTTTTTATTTACTTAAAAATTTCGAAATTCCGCCGTGTTGCGCTGAATCGCGTCCGGTGTTGAACTTTTGGTTTCATTTCAAATGAAAACACATCTGCAGACACGTGTGTGGAGGTTGATCATATCAACGTTTAGTAGTTTGGCGACAGGTATTCGCATGCACTTAGTTCTGTTTTATTATAATCAGTTTCACTGCTTATAGCAAAGTCAATAGGAAGATAATGTACAATGAGTAAACTGTGTTAAATTTGTTTGCCCCCACGACCCTCCCCCGCCTTAATTGCTGATACCAAGAAGAACGTATTAGAAAGATGATAGGGACGCTTGTTCCGCAAAGCCGGAAGTATGTCAATGCAAAATATAAAGAAACAAAGTTGATGGGAATCTTTCACTTTATATTACACTTTAGTTTTTCTGTCAAAGAGATTAAAAGATTTGGAATTTCGAAGATATAAAGATGTTGTCTTGACAGGCTATAAATTCCTTGCTCTGAATGCTCTCTTGTGGTAAGTATTTATTATTAATTTGAGGCTTATTTGTCAGGGATGTATTACTTCCGTATTTTCTTTACATAAGTTAGGTATTTGGGCTGTTGTAGTTGCAATGAACGAAATCGCTGCGAGATCTTAATGTACATAAACCTACATAAATCTAGGAATACGTTCCTGTCTTTAATACATTTATTACATCTCCAAATATTTTCGTAGATATGTTTTAACGAAATAATATCGAAAATGGTTTATGTTGTATTTATCTGTTGTAGCCAAGAGTCACCATTTAATTTCTAAAATTTTTCTCAAACTTTGCCTATCAGGTATCATTCCCCTATCAATTACATTCTTATAATTGTGTATTGTGATAATCTTGCAATTTTTATTAAATAATGCTACAAAAACGTGTAGGGAAAGTTAAACGAAGTAGACTACGACCTAGCGGAATCTCATTTAGTCTGTTCAATTGTTTTGAGAAGATATGCTTGCAGATTCATATTTTTTAGATACAACAGAAACCTCTTGATCTTTGACTTTACTTGACTTATTTTTTCATTATAATACAAGCACTTCTCTACGATACAAGAGGAAGTGCCTCCCTATTTTACTCCTTCTTCAATTAAGACCCTTTAAACCTCTAGAATATTCCTGCATCGAGTGAAGTGCCAAAAATCATAATATATATAAATGATGTATAGAGAGAACATTGCACAAGTTTACAGAATATGAAATTTTATAGAAACCATTGACATAAAATGAATATGAAATATAAGAAACAGAGATGATATATTCTCTCCAATATAGGAAATAAATTCCATATCTCCTATGTATAGCAACTGTGTATTTATATGTATTCTGTTATTTTATAAATGAATAATTTTGTAGTATATGTTTTACAAGATGTTCTATGATAATTAGCCCATCATACATCATGATATTTTTATGATTAAAAATATTGTGTTCTTATGTGTTTTATGATGATTGATAAAAGCTTGCTATCACTCTTTGCATACAGCACTTCTTCCACATCAATTCCTAGCTCCCTCACCAAGATTCATGTAAAAAACTAATTAAATTACTAAAGCTGACTGCCCTATGAATTCTTAATTAACAGGCGCTAGGTTATCATGCAGTCCATAGAGTGTTCATTTCATTGCTTCTTAAATTTATTACGTACTAGAACTGAACAGCAACATCTTCTGTAACCAGTGGAACAAGATTTGTTTGTATGATGGATGGTTTGTGTACAAATGAGTTGCAACAAAAAATTACATCATTACGTCGAGCTCCTCCACCAAAACCTCCTGTTGCTGATAAAGATGTAAAACAGAATGATGCGGAATTATTCAGACTAAAATTAAAGCCAACTGTGAGACCAGTAGAGAATAACACAAATGGTGATACAAATAAAGTAAACAATGAATGTGGAGATAGTGTTGCCAACAATAATGATAAAACCAAAACAAGATCTTCATCTATTAAACAATTGTCACAAGCATTTGAAAATGGTTCTCCAGGCAAACCTGTAATACCTGCAGTCAAACCAACTGTGGCTAGCAAAAAACCACCTGTACTTGGTGCAAAACCAACTGTCTCATCTAAACCCCAAGTCAGCCCTAACAAGCATGCAAGACAAAGTGTTCTTATCAAACCAGAGTAAGTCAAATATTAATCATATTAAGGGTATCACTTGTGGATTATATATTTATATGTCCAGACTAGCGCTGGCTGTCTCAATTTATTTCCAAAATATATAATATATATTATAGAACACACACCCCAACGGCCTGACTATTATACCCCGTAGAAAATCAAATGAATGAACCATGCAACATAGTATATTAAGGCACCAAGAATTATATATTGATGCCCTGATAGCTTTCAGTTTCTTTTTAATTTAAGCAAGGGTTGATCATACCTCCTAATTTTACCTCCCTATATACAAGAATATACTGTATTGAGCCATGTTACAGTGCTTAAGATGGGGAATGGTGTGGACCAGTATATTGTGTTAGGTACTGTCCAGTAACTAAAGTTTTCTTTCATTGATATGTAATGGTAGCCCCAGGATAGTTGATGGTAATAAAGAAACAAAGATACCAGACATAGCACCTTTGCCTCCACTATCATCACTGGGTGACCCACCTCAGAAACCTCCAAAATTTGGCCAGTTAAAACCTTCGCTTAACAAATACCTTGGTTTGTATTTTATATACTATACTTGTTACAATGTTACACTTTTGATTTTGTGAATAATGATCATCGTTAAGGCAATAAAGGTTGTTTTGAAAGTTATAATTATTCAACATATATTTTACAAGCGAAGACCAAGCAGCGTATTACTTATAATGCTAACAAGATGATTCACATCAATTTGTTCTCATAAAAGACTTATTGTTATCATGATATTTTGGAGTTTGAAGTATAGCCTGATCAAGTGCCTTTATTTATAGGAACTAGTTATCCTGCAAGACCTTTCCCTGTCGTTTCTGAGAAATGTTCTGAAGAAAAACGTACCAGTGTTGTAATTGAAAAAACGCCACCTCCCGGTAACTTTTTATCAAATTTTTCAACAAGCAATGGTTGATTTACCATATTCATTTTCCTAAATGACAAGAGTATTGGGATGTGCAATATATAATAAATCATTATCATTGCTTTTAATTAGTTCAAGATGCTCCACCCATCCCAAAGAAACCCACGAGGCCAGGTTTGTTCAGATGATACAGTGACTTGTATTTTCAAGATTCAATTGTGTTGTGTTTATTAATTTATTAGGGGTTTCTTATCAATCATGCGAAGCCAGACAAATATTGGTTTGTTATACTGAGCATGCTTGCATTGAAATATTCGGTTGTTTTTAATTTTTTTTATCTAGATTCATTAAACAAAGAAAATAAAGATGCAGATAAAGTTGATGAAATGTAAATTATACTTACTAAAGGGAGAAGGGGGGGGGGCTTGATGATGAATAGACCAGCAAAAGTAACACTGATTATTATTCGAAATATAATGATGTTTCTCATATGAAAGTTCACTTCTACCAAAGTTCATAAACCTCACTTTCTCACACGGTTAGAATCCCTACTAGTATATATAACCTTCGTTGGTTTTTATAGTGAATGTGAAGATTTCTATGATGATACTGCATTCCCGGTAAGCTGAACAAAACTCTGCGTTAGTTCACAAAATTGCTCGTTACTTGTACATTTTGTACGTTACTTGAGCATTGATTAAGCCGCGGTAGAAGGATAGTAGCCTAGAAATTGCAAAAATTAATGCCCTCTATATTTAAATAAATCAATAGGTTTTAATAGAAGTAAGTGAATAGCTCTAAATTTTGGTCTTATTTCTTAATTCTGTATTTTGTAGAGTGGTCCTCCTGACGAAATCTATGATGACACTGTGCCTGTGGTAAGTTAGAACACCAATAATACTATGACTGTTCAAGTCCCATCAGAGATGCCAGGATTTGGTTTCTACTCTGTTGTACGCTGGAATATAAAATCCAAACACCATATGCATGCATATGAACATCACTAAAGACTTCTTCCTGCTACTCGGAGTATTGGTTTTAGCAATTTAATACGAATCCTGAATGTTCTTATAGAATTCGCCTGAACCTCAAGATGATTTCTACGACGATACTGGTTTTACGGTATGAACCCTGCTTGCTTCGTTTGTCTACATTCATAAAGTATCACACCACAGCACATTTGAAGAGTAACCTCCTGATGTTTGTCTCTTAACTGTTCCACGTTTTTAATCTATCATCAGCACATTCAGTATATTCATTACAAGTTTACTATCGGATTTTTACTATCGTTTTTTAAGGATATAAACCAAGCATCAGATGAAACATTTGGTGAAGATATTTATGAACCAATACAAGAACAAGAAAAACAGCAAAAAATGTGAGAAATTTAAAACTTGTTTTTAACTGTCAGACGACCGGAAAAATTACGAATGAACTAATGCAATTCCATCATGGTTTTTGTAAATTATATATTTCCAAACTTTCTATGCTGAAACTTTCTATTTACTCGTGACTGCACTACCGTATCTTGATATTTTATGAATATTAAGACTATAACAACAATCAAACGTGTTTGAGAATATTGTGTATAAAACCTGAATCGCATTACCAGAGCACCGCCTTCCCTACCTGCAAAGGATGGTAAGGAAGAGAAAAAGAAAAAAGAAAAAGAAAGAAAGAAAAAGGAGAAAGAAGAGAAGGAAGAAAAGGAACGAGAAGAGAAAGAAAGAAAGAAAAAGGAAAAAGAAAAAGAAAAAAAAATACATGATATGAAAAAAAGATTTAGTGTAAGTGTAAACACTGCTTGATATAAATTAGTTTGGTGTTAAAATATGCTAAATAATTTAACAGATTATTTCCAAATTATCTCCAGAGTTATGAGAGGACGTTGCATACTCCAACATCATGAACATAATATATACAGCATTTAAAAGATGGTGTAGTTGAAATAAGTCACCAACCGTGAATATTTTGGTTTAGGTAAAGGGAACTGAGAAATCTCTAGGTACATGTCGTGCAGCTGAGGATATACCTGGGAACAAAATGGATATTGCAGCATCGATTGGTGAAGAATTTGACATTATTAGAAAAGGGAAACCTATTCCTGATAACAAATGGCTTGTAAAGAACAAACAAGGATTATGTAAGTTTAATCCACTCTCTGAAGTATAAAAGGAAACTTTCATGTTTATATCTTCATCGGCTTTTCGCGAAGATTTGGAGAGTGTCTTCAATAATTTAATATAGAATAGTTTGATTCGCCCATTCTTCTAATCACTGTGCCAATTAAATTGCCAAATTAATTTTTTAACTTTACTTTTAGATGGTTTCATTGATATAAACAAAATAGAGGTTGGTTTCAAATCATTTATTGGATTTCATAATACAGTGATAAATGCGTGATCATTTGGGCGTATTTGTTAACATTCGCCTAACCCTGGACAATCTTACCCCAATATCAAATAGTGTCGAAGATCTTTAAAAGAGTTCCAATTTAGCACAATATATTAATCTTTGAAGAGATCTGAGAAAGTAAATAGGCTAATTGATAGGAATTGAATGTGAGCGGGTGGAAGATTGAAGAAGGCCTGAAAAAATAGGAGTTGAATGTCCAATATAAGTTCGTAGATATAATGTTAATAAATGATGTTTTCATTCAACCAGAGAGAAGCAGATGAAGATGCAGAAGATCTGTATGAAGAAGTTCCTGCTTCGAAAATTCACTCGTCACACTCATCTAATGGGAATAATATTTCCACCCCTCCTGTATCGTCTCCGCCGCCCCCTCCGTCACAAAGTGCGCCCCGACCTCCTACAGGTATAGTGACCTACTGAAATAGTTTTAATGCTTTATAAAATGGATGAATATATGAAAAATAATAATTGGTAATAAAAATTGGTAGATTTAAGCTTATTTCACGCGGCCAGTAATAATGCTTTAAAATGTTTAGGCAACCAAGACATTTACGATGATGTAGCAGCAGGTACGTGACAATTTTCCTGTCGACTTTCGTGTCTTGTAACACTTGGCATTTACTGAAATAACATGTGTATCTTATTTATCTTCGTATTAGAACAACCTGACGAGGAATTATACGAATTTCTTCCTGAATAATTACGTAATGAAGACAGGATTTTGAAATTAATTTAGAAGCGAGTATTTTGTATCATAGGAAGTAAAAGTTTTTGCTTATATCTATTTCAAAGCAACCTGTGCTTTTTCTACCATATTTCAACTTCAATCAAATTCTAGTATTATCTGATATGCAGGGGGGAGCTGAAGTCTCAATTCATGCATAAATTGACTTGGAAGTGAAGATGACGGGCTCCAACCATCACCGCCGGCGTATAGAGGTCTAGGGAAAAATTGATACCGCTTTTATACCCGTTTTATACCTGCCTAACTCAATCCTCAGTTATATAATATAGTACAATAATGTATGTGTTAGATATACATATTTTTATCTTAATTAGGTTTTTACTATCAAATATTTTGTAACAATAAAAATTGTACCATGCAAATATATCTTTTCATGCAGAGGGCGAAAGTTAAATATGAAAGTTGAATATGTCCTTCACAAAATATGTAGTGTTAAACACCAGGATAGAGCAAAAACCAAGCGAAACCAAGCAATTAAATTGTCGCGTGTGTGATACTTGTTTAACTTTTGGATATTTAGTGCGTTTGTGGGCAATTATTTTTCAGTAGATGGAGTATAGTCATAGAAGAAGACAGTGTAGAAGACACCTTCCAAGTTTTTTCCCTTCATTCATCGTCCGCGCGAAGTTTGGAAATGAGTTTGCTTGCGATGATGGCAGATCATGGCGTCAACAGCGAGTTTTTTTGTCTATTTACAGTAAGACTTACTCTTCATCCAGGTCACCTTTTTTATTAATAATTAAAAAAAACACTTGAAGAAAGATCTATAAAATGGTGAAAATGGTATGTTGCCTAGAATATGTAGTTAGTGAAACCGAAAATTTTGTTTACACTCTTGTATAGTTGAGTTGTTAAACAAACGTCGCGTCTTCGTTGTTTGATTCATCGAAAAAAAAAACGGATTCATTGTGTGCAGACAAATATAAAACTCCCCGTACAAGTAGAACAGGTCGTTTTGTAGGTGATTGATGTCATTAATCTCAGGGCTACTTGTAAAACTGGATGCTAGTTTTTGATTTTCTGAAAAAATGAAAGTCTCATTTTTCTTTGCCGATGTAAACAGAAATTTATATCCCTCAATGAGCGATGATTCAAAGACCGATACGGTATAACGTTCCACAGATTGCAGAAGGGACAGTCATTGTTAAAGATGACTTTAATTCAAGCAAAAATCAGATGAAAATAACTGTCGAAATTCTATCGAAAGAAAATGAAAAACAAGCATCGCTAACACGTCCGTTGGACGACGCTGTTCAAAAAGGTAATTTTGTTTTGCGATGTTTAAAGTCCTTGCTTCATAATAGAAGCCGTATAGGGGCGACTTTCATGCTCAACTTGGTAGTTGCTATGCACAAAATCATTTCGAAGTTTGAGTGGGTGGGTGTTTTTTTCAGAGACCAAATGCCACGTCTTAGGTGGCATTTTTTTTTGCATTTATGAATCAAACAGTTATGCTATAATTTTGTATCCATAAATTTACTATATCTCAATGAGTTTAACCCTAATGGTTTCCCTTAAATTGTCTTATCCTATTTACAACAGTTGCAGCTAGATTCATTGTGCATTGATTATGTGACAATGTCATCCTGGTATGCATGATAGGCCTGTTGAGTCTATTTGTCTAAGGTCAGAGGGACTCTAAAGTTTGCTGGCAGGCAATATGTTTCTGACAAACTAATTTATATTTCATATTACTAAGTAAATTTACTCTGCAACACCTTTTGGAGTTACTTCTACTCTAACTGGGCTCTAAATTTCCATGATGACCATCAAAATTTTGCAAGCACTGCCAATTCTGAAACCATCAATAACTACATCACTAATAAGTCTCTGGCCTGGAAGCCTTGCTCTCAGCAGTCAAGGACAGAGGGCAATCGACTCATAATTCTTTGTACCAAAGCCTCCATAGGCTGAAATAAATAATTTGATTGAGGACTCTATTTTGTGTAATTAATAAATTAGTAAATGCAGTGCTCACTTCATCCAGTAGAGCGAACAATTAAATTATTCTTACTATTAAACAAAAGGGTCAATTCCTATATCACCAGGATGGCCGGGTAGCTATATAGATTGATAAGCATTAAGCTATGTCATGTACCTTTTATGGACTTTACTATAGTGATGTAATATATTTTACTAATTAGTCAACCTTTAAAGTAGCTAGAGCTCCATAGTATGGAGATGAATTAGGAGCTACTTTTTTTTGGGCTGACACAATCTGACTGTGTGTGTTAATTTGGGTATATACCTGGGGAACATCCATTTAGGATTAGATAATCCTTTCCTCTTACTGTTTGGTGAACTTTCCTCTCCTTCCATTCCCCTTTTTACTAAATTGTATTTGCATGTTGAGTGCTTGTCTTCTATATAAGTGCTCTTCTGTTACGTATTTATGTCCTTCTATCAGCACTTGATTAAACCATGAGTGATTTCAACAGATCTCACGGTGACCACTTCTGGTTCAAATGTGGTAAATGGTCGTTACATATTTCTTGTTGATGAAAAAAATGAGGGAATATCTTCAGAAAAAATCCAGGAGAAAGAAGACAAAAAATCTGGACATACTGAGGGTCCAACGATCTTTCAAACGAAATGTGATCATGAAGGTAGTATGGGTAAACCTTTCATGCATTCAGTGCATCTAGGACGAGGGTAACGTTCCGTTTCTTACTACGCTGTATAGTACGAGTGCTGATAGTGAGTGATACTGAGGCGAGAACTATAGGTGGGTAAACTATACTCTCGATAAGCGTTTATTAATAGCTGTTTCTTCTTTTTCAAGTTTCTTCTGACGAGGAGTCTGAATCATCTATTGATGTAGTAGGACACGAAGTCGTATTAAAAACATCCAGTGAAAAAACAACTTCGGATGATCCAGATTATTTACAATTATTGGAAGCACATCAACAAAGATTAGAAGATGCAGCCAGTGGTATGTTTATTTCATTGTTTTTGCTGCGTAAAAAAGTTTTTAAAGCCGCCGCGTTTTTTCTAAATACTCACTCACACATTACAGCACAATCTACAGTTTAAATGTGCATATTAGCATCGGTAATATTTTTTAGTGCCGTGTATTGCGTGAAGATACTGAATTATTATCGATATTGCGCGATCGGTGAATATGTACATCCCTATTCTCCGGCTTTGGAAATAAACTGCATATTTTGTATTCTGGTTTGTTAGCATATAAATTAACAACATATTTTTTTAGTTAAGTGCGAACATTATTTCCGTTACAAATATTTTGTCATATTCAGTACTTATACATTGTCATTGGATGTAAAATCATCAGAATAATAGCGATGAGAAGAACCATATCGTTCTGTAAGATATTTTCCAAAATGCCAGAACATATTATTCAAAACAGATGTTTCGAAGTGCGTTATATAGTGTGAAACAACTAGCTTTATTTCGTGAGCGTTTTATAGTTTGGTGTTAATGATGAAAAAGAGAACTAGTAATGACCTCCTACTAAGGAAAGGCATTGAAGTATAACGGGAGTCTTAGTGCCGCGTGGGCGATATTAGCTAGTTGCTGCCGAGACTGAAAACCTCTTGCAGTTGCGATGGTGAACAGTACATAGTTGTATATCTATTGCCGATAGAAAACACATCAATTTTCCGAAAAGTACGCTGTTTTTCAATTATTTCAAGTGATTATTCAGTTAAGAGATTTTTAACAACATTTCAAGACGTAAGAGTATATAATGTTGCAAAACCTTTCAATTTTATCACGAGTGTGTCATGATTTTATGGAAAGACCACCGTGTAACCGTGTTCAAGGTAGGTAAACTATATTATTATTCGCTTTATTTACAAACGTATACAGATGAATTAATACATTAACTCAAATGATCTTTTATCGTAGTCTTCATTCCTAATAATTCCGTGTAAATCTTAATTTAACAAGAGACTGAGTATTGATCAAAGTCGCCGACGTTTGGATATCTCTATTTGGACAAGTTCGTTTACTTGCCAAATAGATACGGCAAGTGGCTGTTAATTCATACGAAAAGTAAACAATAACCATACAGTGTTGTTTTGATGATTAGCTACATTAGGTTTACAATTCGACGACTCTGGAGTCGTTTTCTTAAGCGCGGTGTTTTCTGCCACATTTCAACATCGTGTTATTCGTGACACTGCTTTACATAAAAACAAATGATATTATTAATTGCTAAATATCTACACGAAATAACTGTGAATTCATCACCATCTATTTTATACAGTAAATACCTTAAGTTATTTATCTGTTATGTTTGAATATCCCTAAAACTATCAAAAATATCAACTCGGGCAAAGTTGCCAAAGATTTGCAAGAGAATCCTCGTTGAACTTCATGTCTAGAGAGCATCAGTGAACATTTTCTTTGAGACACTGAACGTGATCAATATACGAGTTCACTTTCGTCAACCCTTTATAGATCATTCTATATCTGTAGAAGACTGTAGCTATATATCATAGATTAAAGTGAAATCATGGGAATAGTACGTCTGCAATGATACTTTTGATCATTCTTTGACCAAACCCATGCTGAGAAAAATGAATGACGTGCCATGTTTGGTTCTTAAGTTGCCATGGTGGAAAAATCTCGTTGCCCTTGTCTACGGCGTCTAAATCTCTGAACTACTGTATAATACACAGCATTACGACCCTACCATAACCTCAACTTTTATTTAGCTCTTATATACAACTTTAATACAGCGTGTGACTGTTGAAATTGGTGTGATTCGTTGTACGTAAGCAAGGATTACTTATGTATGCATGAGAGAAGGTATACGCAGTAGATTAGATTAGGTATTTGCCAAATAAAATGAGCCCAGTTATGAAACATATAGTGGCTAGTGAGGAATTTCTCGATGGACTTCAATATTATCAATACTCTATGGCTTGTGTTTTTTAATTGTGATTGCGAAAGTGTTCACAAGACATTAAATTAACTTTATGAGCCGACACAATGTATCTCTTAAACATATCGAAAGCCATATTAAATTCGATTCAGTTGTGAATACCGATGACGATGTTTAGATCATAAAGAAGAAATTATTATACAAATTATTACAAATTTGAATTAAATATACGTGAAACATTGAAGCGACTCGACACTCGAGTGTTCGGGTTTTCGTTATGCAAACTAATTTCTTCACTATTTTGGCAACAGCCAACAAAGATCAATATACGAAGAATATCTTGTGAAACTTCAAGTGAAATGCAATATTTTTGACCTGCGTATTTCCTTACAAGTAATAATTTACCTTAAAACCAGTTCAGTTGGCGGCTCAGTGATTCACGCTCACACTAACGATGTCACTGAATGCCGGATATTCTCAGTTGTATTGTATGTATATATCAAAATATATAGCTACATGTCTATATTTATTCTAAATACGATACTGTCTAGGATTGCTGTAGCCTGTACAAAATAGATCAGTTAAAATTAATGACCAAACTAATCCTTGGGCTCAGCTACTTCTAAAAAAAAGTTGTATAAAACGTCAACTTTTGCCGTTGAATAAATATTGTCATTATAATATTACATGGGTTTTATGTTATCAAACAAACATTAATTTGTGGTCATGTTTCGGTTTATGATTTGCGTAGAAATGGTCGTATACGCACAGAAACTGTAAATTCAAAGTTTTTTATCCTTCCTTTTGTGCAAACAGTTAATTCACACTATTCGTGACACGAGTCATGCACTTCACGAGTTTTTCCTTCCTTTTCACATACATAATATCTTAAATTAAAATGTCGATGCACTCGGAAACCTTACTGGCAATAATTATTGCATATGCATGCACGTTAAGTACTGAGGTATCATGCATGCAAACCTATGACTCCCATACGTTTATACTGAAACACAATATATAATATAATATGAAATAATATGTCTATAATATATTTCTAGCTCTTTCTAGCTTTCACTATATATTAGTTTTTTACATATATTCGCATTGTATTTCACTCCGGAATATTCTGAAATTGGAATATTCTGTCGAATATAGGTGTTTAAATAATAGATTATATTGAATATATTCTTCATTTTCCATGTCAAATTTCTTCATATTGAAAGCTTGAAACGAAGCAAGTTATAATCGGCATGTATAATAATAAATGTAAAATATACAAAATCAATCAAACAAGGAACGTTTGTGGTCGGTAATATTATTTTCCCCCAAACAATCGTGTATTGCATTTATTGTGGTTTAGAGCGGCTTGTTACACTGTTTGGTTGCTTTGGAGACACACGCCTTTTTAAATTTTGCAGTCAAATAGATTGAAGTAACTATATATGCTTTGCTAAAACACCGACCCTGACTGAAAGAAATAAAAACCCTTCGTATTTTTTGATCAGTTCAATACAGTCGGAAACGTTTTTTAATGACCAATGCATCATGCATGCGTATATATTCCATGGGCTTTGGTTTAGTTCATTGGTGAGGGATTGTTAAGGAAAGTTTTAAAAAGTTTTCTTATCATCCCATTATCGTCACCATCTTCATTTAATTTGTTTCTGAGTAGTGAGTATTTTTCAAAGTATAGTTTAAACTATATTACAAGTATGAAAAAATCTAGTTTTAAGCTACAGGGACGTGAAGAATCGTTTTAATAACGTATGGATACAACTCATAGGTGCTACTTGCTAGTTTGACATATACGATTTAAAATGCATGTTGATATTTTGTCTAACCCACTGTACGCAAAACATTCATTACCAAGGCCGATAACGTTGAGGTTCTGTTAACAGCAGGTCTTTTGGATAATATCATAGACCTTCTTGTATCTTAACTGTTGCTCAGGATTGCTGGTATTGGTAACATTGAAGTGAAATGTGAAGTTTTCTTTTCAAACATTTGTAACAAAAGTATGACTGTCTATGATAGCTTTTCGAAGTAAGATTGTTTTCTAAATTCAGTTTTTAATTTAACAGTCACAGTGAATAAATTACGTAGGTGTTCAAATATTAATGAGCGTCGTTTGCAATTTCTGCATGCCCTGCAGTCAAGTTCGTGCCCCCCGCATACAGGTAGCTGCGTCAAGTTTCAGTGTTGTTCGTTGTAAGGCAAGTTGAATCGTTGCTTGGTGAGAAAGTTGCGAAGAATAAGCTCCAAGGCGACCACTGTAGCCAAGGATACAAGAAATTTAGCGTGCTGTAGAATACATCAGGGTAGGCAACCATATGAATATACACATTATTTCATATCTTCGCTTCAGCATTCATTTGCAATCCAGTCATTTCGTGAATCGAAGGTTCTGCCGTATTTATAAATATGGCAGACTATCGACAAACGAAAGACAGTGATCGTAAGATCGCTTTTGCTACCATTCAAACAGTGTTGATTCTTCACTGTTGTAAAATATAGTTGGTAGAACATGGTACACCATACAACTTCAATCCAAGAAACAAAGTATTAGGTTTACTCAACAACTGAACTAACATGAACATCGGCTTGGAATAAACGCCAAAGACGCGCCATTTTAAGACTGGTCATCTCGAGCAAAGCGTTTCTGTATACTAAATAGTCTTCTTTCAACGAGCGTAATAATATTCCAACTAGATATATGTCAACTCTCTTCGGAACCTTTTTATTCATGAAGAAAATGATTTTAATTTAGATAGCAAGTTGTATTCAGAGAAAGCAGAAAGCGTGTTCGAAGTTCTTACGTGTTATAAATTCACAAGCGTAATATTTTAATCATCGCTGGACGCTACTTTTTTCGAACGTAATGCGCTTTCGTCGGCACTGATTAGGTTCCCTGGCAGTTGAATTCAGTGTATGAATTTAACTTTTCTCTAGATCAGCGTAGAATGGCTACCCAAAGTTTTGTAAGCCAAGGTAATTTTGCCGATACTGAAATGGCTGTACATAGTGGTGCTTCCATAGCAGATCAGTTTACTCGTGGCTTACAAGTTACGACTGCAGGGCATGCAAAGTCTTCAAGCGGAGTTCAACAAAAGACTATTCAACAACAGTCTATTCAACAATCAATACTTCATACTATCACCCCCGATAACTTTACTTCAAATAATTCGATAAAGAATGAAGGTATTCTAATTTGTTCCTCTTGAAAGAAACTTATCAGCCTCCACGCGTTGCGTTAGGCTTTCTCTTTCGACATTGCTGTGGGAAGCTGTCTGCACTCGTGCGTTCTCTACACAATCATGCAAAATAAACTATGACAAACGACAACACTGCACTTAGGGAGATCCTTAACACTCCTTGTTCTTTAACACAAGACACTGCTTATTTTCTTCACTTAGGATTTGCCAATTCAGATGTACATTTTGTAGAAGGTGATCAACCAACAATGTATGCGAACGGACCGGGGTAAGTAGAACTAAGTAATAGAATGATAGACGTTATTCTGTACACGTGAACGTAAACAATCAGAAAAGTATAGTTTCCCAGTCTCGCTCATTCGCTTCCCGCGTATCTGGCTGTACACAAAGAAGATAATGTCACATGATCAAAAACACCTGCAAATACAAGAGATATTGGCGCGCATATTGTTAACAAAGAAAACCTATCGTTTTTAAAGGGAAAAAGTTTCAACCTTTTATTCGATATTTATTTAAAACTAGTTTATTTTCGGAGGCGTTTTGTAACGATGAAAAAGCTAGGAGTATTTTATATTTGTTACGTGATGAATCAACATGTGTCTATAGCTATAGTATAGTACTTCAGATCTAAAAGTAAAAGTTCTTTTTATTCAAGTCATCTATATTAATGCTGTTTCCTTATAGCATCGAATGTTCAAGTGTAAATAAATTATCGAACTGCATGCGATAGCTACGGCACGAAGCTTTGGGGATAAAAACACTTGATCATGATGAGATAAATATAGAGTTGCGTTCAACTGAAATATTGTATACGCTTCTCCATACAAAGTTCTAAAATTCTTTGAAAACACCCATATATCAGATATTTTGATAAAAAAATGATTAAAAGTATTCGTAATATATGGGGGGTTTTGTTCATCATTTTGCCAGAGTTTTTATTCACAGATGTCTTAAATTGTTTATGTCGACGATCCCAATAACTTTCATACTAGCTATAAAAATAATTAGTTGCTTAGGTAACTGCATTTTTTTAAAAGACATTTATTTTCTTTTTTACCATGACAATAGTCATCATGTATGCATTCTTGCGTGAAAAGGCGCTATTTGCATTTTCCTCTATATTCAATGAATGCACCAAATTTAACATAAAAAGCCGTTACTGCTGCGTTCCCCGATGCCAATCCGCGCAATAACGTGAGTTTATTTACGATTCATTTGTAATATTTTATTGAAAATTACTCATACTATAGACACATTACTTTATTTGTAAAAAAGTTATATTCGCTTATATTTCAAGCACTAGTATCATAGTTTGAAAGTGACTTTTGCAGGTGTTTAATTATTGATACTTATCATTTTTATATAATCGATATTTTATTCTCACCGCATATAAGAAACTTGTAGTTTTAATAATTTAAGTATTTATATTTCCTATTGTAGATGCATGTTTTCTAAGCGAGATGTCCTAATTTCTTCTCATTTCATTATAAAATTATTTTGAATGCACATAATAATCCATTGAATCGCCTTATTATCTATTGTTTTTAATGCGATCGGCAGATGTGATGAGCGATGTTTGACGATGGGTTTAGGGACGTGTATTCCATATTTCCAATTCTAGAATCGTCCATTGATAGCGTTGTAACGGTGGCTGATTCCGTCCTGAGACGGTACTCTAATTTCGTAGGCGGCCCAGCAATTTAATCTATTCCTGTTCCCTAACGCTTTCATGTGGGAACAGTATGAATAAAGTAAGCTGAAGCGTTGAGTATGGACTGCACATAGTTTATAGTAAAGCCGCGTTAATGTATGCTTGCTGCAAATTGTTTGAATTCTTGTCTAAGGTGTAATTATAGTTTATTGTGTATAATCATTTATTATTTTCTTCTTTTCATTATTCTATTCTCCAGTAAAGGTATTTTTATGCCTGAATGAATAGTCGGCATTTCGCGCTTTTTCCATTACTGATCATGGCGATACTAGGCTAGTGTGCATATAGCTACATCCCATCACGTTTTAATATACTCAGTATTTTTAATTTGTTGTTAAAAATATACCTCAAAAGTAGTCCCCAAAAGTAAATAAACAAAAAATGCATTATTGCCCAAATGGAGAGTGATGAATTGAATACACGAATCCCCATATATGATTTCCCGTTAATTTTATATGCATTCAAATAAAGCTTTCTGGCCTCGTTATTGAGCTATGTAATGCACAGAGACATAGTTAGAAAGCCTAATTTGACAACAAATGTTTATTTTGTTACCTCGCATCTTTATAGGTGATAAACTCTTTCAATACACGTTAGTTCTGTTTCCAACACGCAACGATGCTTATTGATTATTTAGTTCTTTTGCGTATGGCGATGCCACAATATTTGGGCAGCAAGGTGCTCCTGCAGGATATTTAGATGGAAGTCAACATCCTCCCACTTATACCACTCCTGCTACTAATTCTCCGACGATGGTGCCTGGAACACAGGGTCAGGTTATAACTTACCAACACACAAGTGGTCTTGCTGGACAAATCAATCCTAGACCTCCTATTACACATACAACAAGAGCATCTCCTGCGACGGTAGGCAACCAAAACTTTTCTGTACACATTTTTTATACTGAAACACGGGCTGTTTCCAATATGCATTCAATAACGCGAAAGACTCAATAAAGTACTGTTTATTTCTTTTTTCTTATTTAAAAAAAGGCATTCGTGTCCGCCTTGTAGTAACTAAAGGGGAATTGTTAATTGTTGGATACTCCATTGAAACGTAGAGAAATGCATGTTGACATTCAACAACGTTGAGCATTGGACTCCGTAGTCCTGGAAACAATACTTCTCAATGTTTAGGCATAGAAACTGCATCAGAACTTCAAAAGAGCCATTGGAGAGTTACAAATAAACATGCTCCATTTATAGTCAAGCCATTAAATATGTCACTAGGTGTTTCAACAACAATACTTTAACTTGAAGTAACAACGAAAGTAGAAAATAGAATATATTTAAATGTTTCGCTTTGATTTATCGTGTTAGGTTGCGTGGTTGCTTGAGAATTATGAAACATCCGAAGGAGTGAGTCTACCGCGAAGTACTTTATATAATCATTATTTGCAACATTGCCAAGCAAACAAACTGGATGCTGTGAACGCAGCGAGTTTTGGAAAGTTGATACGTTCAGTGTTTGTTGGATTAAAAACAAGAAGACTGGGAACTAGGTACATAAAGATCTTATTGATTAAGAATTACATTAACTTTGCTAAATTTTAAAATTTCAGTTATATGTTGAACAACAACCAACACCTCGCTATATATAGCATTATTATTATGTATAAAAAAGGAGGAGATTTATTAATTATATTTTAGCTGTCAGTGCACTTTGGAAGTGCAGGACTGTAGCTTGCAATTTTACTATACAATTCAATGTTTATTCATTATTTCAACATTATTTCAACAGAGGAAATTCCAAATATCATTATTACGGTATTCGTATCCAGCCGAATTCTCCTCTGAACGCTTTGGTTGACCATGAAATCCAAGGAGCAATGCGACAATCGCCCTCTGCTCACAAGAGGTACGTTATGAAACAATGTAAAACATTCTGTCAACAAACCAGTCGCTAACGTCCCCGGGAATTATTGAGCTTGCAAATTATTGAGCTTGCAAATTATTGAGCTTGCAAATTATTGAGCTTGCAAATTATTGAGTTTGCGTGAGGTTAAAGGTGACTAACTGTGAAACTTTACCCTCTCATTGCCTTTTTACATTTTGAAGCAGTTCGAGAGTCGTCTTTACAAATCAGTGTTCATGCATAGTAGGTCAGTAAGGACCGAAGTTTGAATTTGTTTTCACTTAGTAGATTGAAGTTAACGACGAAAATTGAGAATGAATCATTCGGAGAGGAGCAGAGTCGGGCAGGTGAAGATTCACAACAAACCAAGAATCAACAAGAACAACATCAACAATATCTTGGCGATATTTCACAAGGTCTTCGAGAATTCAAACCAGTTCAGGCGACTGAACCTTTGCCAGGTATGCATGCGTAAAACATTGTTAACTCTGTTTATGAATTACCTGCACCAGAATACATCACAAATCTAATTTTAAACTATTTTGTTGTAGATGGAATCAGCAGTTCTGATATTGTGGTCTTCTCGCAACTGTATCGAGAACATTGTGAGGTAATAAATAGAATTGATTGTCGTACTATGTAATTGATAGACGTCTCTAATGGTTTGTGGCTGGTGATGTTTTTAGCTTATATTTTTCTTTTTTTAATTAACCTTTTTTAGGCAATTTTAGACGTCGTTGTTAATTTACAGTTTGCGTTAGTTGAAAGTTTATGGCATACTTTCTGGAGAGCGCCGTCCTCTGAAGAGGAGTCTAAACAAGATTCTCAGACGCCGATGTAAGTGAGATGAAATATTTTCCAGCTTATATATTTGCTTTAGTGTCGTGTTTTGTGGCTTTTACCAGCATGATGTGCAATCATTAAATATTCGACCGTTCTTTGAGGGCGTTGTTTAGATTTCCTTCGACACTAATGGAATAATCTTTAGAAAAATTTCAAGTATATAGACTGCATGACCCGATTTTAACGATAACATCGTTATAAAAATTACACACTTTGGTCATCTACAAGCTCTGTATTTCGCCACGTGTTGTTTTTTTATTGCTTTCAAAGTTTAGAGACTTTTTTGACTTCAAAATATTTTGAATCACGAGTTGAGTTTTACCTATAAACATACTGCATGGTATTTTTTTTTTCCTTCTAGCAATGAGGGTTCTCTTGAAGAGCGACTTCCAAAGATAAAACTAACATTGCTGTGCAGCTATCAACCCATATTGGATTTTGTTAAAGATGCTGATCATGTTCTTTATCAGACATTGGTCGAAACGTTGATTCCTGAGGTTTTAAGACCAATTCCAGGTACATATTTATCAAACGAAGAGAATTGCATAACGTGGTGAAGAATTTCCCTTTTTATTGGATTTCCCAACATTGTTCGTAGACGGAAAATTTTGTGGCCTACCCTTAGGCACAGAATACCTAACAGAAGTGGAACTCTATACTATTTTTTCGTAAGTGTGATTCGTCATGATTCGTCACTTAGCAAGTGCATTTTTTTGAGGCTGTAACCCCCCTGCTAATACTAAATATGCGTTGATTTTAGACATTGGCAGGGAGGTGACTACCTCAAAAAAATGCACTTGCTAAGTGACGAATCATGACGAATCACACTTACGAAAAAAGTACAGGAGTTCCACTTCTGTTAGGTATTCTGTGCCTTAGGCGTGTTTAAGAACCACGATGAACGCACGACAAGTGTTCAACATCAATTTTTCCATTATCCCCGATTTTAGTTGCGAATCTTTATTGAGAACATTTCTTGCAAAGATACTTGAGCAATATACAGCAATTATATTTATATACGCATCTTGAGTTTCTATATAAAATATGAACAATTTGTTCGATTAAGGTTCTTTGACATCTGCCATCCGAAACTATGCCAAGTGTCTTGAATCCTGGTTGATGGGCAGCCTCACTGATATTCCACAGAAAATGGTGGATCTTAAGGTACACATAGGATTATGTTTAGCTATATTAGTCAACAAAGAGTTGTTGTATATCAAGGAGTGTCGTTGATCGTCCGTAGAAATGCGTAAAGCAGTTTCTATCTGTCCCTAGATATCCACATGCAGTGCATTTTCACAGACGTTGCGTCGTTATACATCATTAAATCATCTTGCCCAAGCCGCTCGAGCTGTGTTGCAGAATCCACAACAGATCAACCAAATGTTGGCAGATCTAAATCGAGTGGACTTTGCTAACGTACAGGTAGGATGGACATTTCAATGGTAAACTCCCCCCCCCCAGCCAGAAAAGAAGGCTACAGTGATGAAGAAAACGACAAGTCAATATAGTATAGTTAATAAACTTTGTGTTCCTCAGGAACAAGCGTCTTGGGTGTGTCAATGTGATGATGAAGTTGTGAACCAGTTAGAAGCAGATTTTAAAGCAACGTTGGCGCAACAGGTGAGTACAAGTAATCTGCAATGTGGCAATTATTGGTGGGTTTTATACATCTAGTGATGACCTAAGTGATGACATCTTGGATTTTAGTACTGAATAATTATATCACCATCATATTTACCATCACGTCATGTACCATCATAATATATAATAAGTATGCTGGTGATATATCATATCACTTCATATTTATTACCTACCATCATATTACCGTTACATTATAATGATATCACCATGATGTCTCCATGTTTTATTATTAACTACAAGTCTTACTTTGTTGTAGAATTCTCTTGAGAAATGGGCGGATTGGTTGCAAGGCGTTGTCAATAAAGTTCTTGCTTCCACCGAGGGTACACCAGCTTATCCTAAAGCTGCTCGACAATTTTTGTTAAAATGGTCGTTTTATAGGTATTATTCGATGCATATTATTGTTTATATCAATGACATTATTTCACGATTAATTGTTATAAAACAAGGAATACAACAACGTTTTAAGAGTAGTTAATAGATTTTTCACGGCGAAAGTCCTTTCGCTGTGTGGTTAGTCAAAAAAAGCGTATATTGGTTACCCACTAAACAACCTCTTATAATATAAATTTATTTTTGTGTTTTCAGCTCTATGGTAATCCGTGACCTAACATTACGTAGTGCAGCTAGTTTTGGTTCGTTTCATTTAATTCGTCTTCTCTATGATGAGTACATGTTCTATTTAATTGAGCACAAAGTAGCTGATGCAACAGGAAAGTCTCCTATTGCTGTTATGGGCGAGGTAAGCATGAAAATGTGTTTCTCCCGGTACTTCATAAGATTGCACTTGTTGAGTCCTACGCAACTTTTGAATCAATCTTTTTGAGTTAGTTAATCTAAAAAGTCTGTTCGAGGTCTTTCTGCAATTAACAAATGTGATTTTGTTGCAGTTTGTTGGTCTTGGTGCAAACTTTGCTGCGTCATTGGCCCCCCTTGATGCTCTCAGACAAAGTATGTATTCTCTTCATCGCGAAAGTAAGACGTCTTGGCCCAGACAAAAAATTTTACCCACGCCCCCAGTTAACAGATAGATTTTATGTGAATAAATGAATAGAGCCAAATATCTGAATATCTAGCCTCCCTCCTCCCAATGAAGCTTCTAGCTGCGTCCCTCCACTTCAGAGCCCTGTGGCTCTGTAATAAACGTAGAAGGCGAGAAAATAACCCGGTCGATTACAGTAGATTCACAGTAAAATTTTCGGTTTGTAATATTTTTTAATTCTTTCAGATGGTCTGGGTGACAGTGGATCGGAGGTGACATCAGAGGATGATTCTGGTGACAGTGTGAAGCAACAACCATCCACAGACATCTCTACATCAGATGAGCCTGATGTCAAGAAACAACGAACAAATTAAGAAATGAATATATAGATTATATGTTTCTTTTTTTATTTGTTAATATTTGAGATGTTCTCGTGATTTTAAGGTCAACTAAAGTTGAATTTATTTCATAAGACATAGCTCACTTGCAGTTATCCGTGCAGAAACAAAACCAAACAAATTGCAAACAATTTGAATGCTGTGATTACGGTGGAACTTATTTCTCGTGTTGTTTTTGGTAATATGTCGGATATTTTGTAAATATACTTGTAGGTCACGTAAATATCATTTTAACGAACAAGATTTGTGTAAATTATTGGAAAAATATGAACTGCATGCGGATTCTTGTATCAGAAATATATCTGTTTAGACGTTCATTGCTCAAAAAGAAGTTGTAAATATTACGAAACATTTGTTGTACAACTTAACTTCACAAATTGTATTAAGATAAGAAAGGTTTTAAATTGTATTGAGATAAATTGTAAACTTGTTGTATTCGTGTTGTGTTTCCCACCTCACTGAAGCATCTTTTTCCAACCCGTTTCACTCAAGCCAGAGTTGATTGATGCTCCATTCCTACTAAACAAAAGCGAATATTCCAGAAATTAATAATCTTTACTTAGTCCTCTGGTGACGGATTCTAATTGGGCATTTAAACATGATTTATGCGTTTGGAGTACCATTAGAAACTTCAAAATTCCTGAGGAACTAAAATCTTTTGTACTTTGAAAACAGTGTGTTCTCTTGGGAAATTCTAAATAGTCCGCATGTTGGGCTATTAAAAAGTGTCTAGAAAATTACTCTCGTTAAGACTAAAAGTTTCTTATGTCAAAGACCTCAATGATGTATTAAATCTGTCATTTTTTAAAAAATTGTTGTTATGGTTATTGCTCTCTACTCTCTCTCTCGGGTGAGTCGAGTGGTTGTAAACAAGGGGAGATTAAGTTAGGGTGTAATTATTCATGGTTACAGTGAGAACCACATAAAAATTAAAAATTCTATTCATTATTGTTATAATAATTTCACGACTGTGCAAATTAATCTGTATTCTCACAATGGTTCATATATTGATAGAAATGAATTAAGAAGTTTATTGCTTAACTTTGAAATACAGTGATGCTATCATAAATGTGAATTAACTGTGAGTATGCACAGCTCAGGAATGAACTCGTAAAGTAGGAACAAACGTTAGGCTGAGAATACAGAGTATCGAATAGAATATGAAGTCAGTTTGGATACCCACCTTCATCGGAATAAAAATCTACTTTGTTAGTTTGTTATTCAACCGAGTCCGAAGGTGTGAATTGTCAGTTCTTTGAAATATTCATCTCAATCAAGAACCTCATTTTGAAGGAGCCTCTCAAAATCAGATGGTCGTTGATAGCGTGTGCAAGTCAAAAGATGGATCTAAAAACTGGTACTGATTTTATGAACGAATTATTAACCCGAGTTATCATAAACACAGCGAAATGCTGAAGTCCCTGACTCTCTGCAGTCTTATAAAATGAAATACTTAGTAGTTCGGAGAGAAAGGATTTTAATGTTTTTTCTTCATTCCATGCTGTATTTATGTCTCACTCACTTTGTTCATTTATGTGTGTAGTCAAAAAATTAATAAAAGGAATTAAAATACAGCTGTTGGTCAACTAATCTTGGGCACCAAACGATCAAGCGATCACTTGTTAGGAAATTGCCTTTGGAGCAAAATTCTCTTCTGTAATGAGTCATCCGGCGTTCCATATACTGTTTTAGGTAGTATTCTTGCGAAGCCAAATTTCCAAGTTTCCAGGTCAGTATTTTCATTAACCATGCAAAATTTGAGCGTTTAGTTTTTTAGGCAACAACCAGTTAATTGAATTAGCACTATAAATCATTTTAATCTTCATCACACTTGATAGTTTATGATACAGCCAATTCAGTCAAAGCTGTTATTGACAATTGTCATGAATGATAGGGACATTGCATGATTTCCCGGCTATGTTTAGATCAATTTAACAAATCCGGTAGCCTAAAAATATATATATAATTCATCACCGAAGGCATCTGTTGTAAGCCTTTTAGGTATTATAATTAAAACTGCTAAAAATTGCATTGTCTTTAGTACTGCATGCATAATATATAGACTTTGAACACCTTAATTGCATGGCTGTTCACAACATTGATTCGCCCTGTATTCATCTACTCTTTCTAGAACAAAATCATACTGCATATCTTTACGTAAGCAAGTTTCCAATCTCATTACGTACGGTCACGAGAAGTTGAAATCCGATTGCCAAACACCTGTAATTTTATAACGCGTTACTGGATCGATGAAAAGACGACAAACTGTAAGAAAGACTGCTGCAATGAAGCAATTGTTTAGTAATAGCAAAATGTTTCGTCGCATTTTTAAAGAAGTAATTTGAAGTTTTTTTATTATGCTTTTTTTAAAATTGGATAAGGCGAGTTTGGCAGCCGTTATGCACAAATGAATCTACGTCAGATTGAGATAATTTGCGGTTCAAAGACTGGAAATCACTTTGCATGCTTGATATAAAAGAAGTTTTTGACTTTGCTCGAGGCAACGCCTACGATACTTAAAGTTAAGTAGGTTATCATTCTCATTCTGACTTTACCCCGCCTCTTTTTACACTCAGTGAGTGCCCGAGCCTCTCATGCCAGAAGTAAATTAAGGCTAATATAAAGAGTCTCTTGAGAAAAACTATACGACGTGTCTCTCTATTTCACTACTGACAGATTAATAAAGATAAATAAAGTTTATACAAATAATACAATGCCACAAACAACAACCACATTGAAAACGATCTTCTGCAGCGATAGCAGTGTATCACAAGCCATTTCTGTTAAATTTCGTTTACTAATTATGCAGATATCCCCAACATTCTTATCTAATTGTTAATTTCCCGTGATCGACGTTAATAAAGGCACAAATGTTGATTGCCCTAGGTACGATATGAGGAGCAAAATAAGTGTTTCATTATTAGTAGGTTTTAACTAGAACCCAAAAGCAAAGAAGCCCAAACCGAACGCGCCACAATCCAAATTGAGATTTAAAAGGTAATTTTCTCATTTAATTAAAGGTGATTAAGTGAATGTTAGTCTTGGCACTGACTGATTAATCACGATTATTGAGGGTGCAAAGGGTTAATAGTTTTATGTCCCTTAGAAGAGCTAATAAATTATAAAATACATTTAACTGATCTTCAAAAGTTTTATTTAGAAGTCAGTTAGAAAAAACCAGGAGGGAACTTTGAACACAACCTTGAAAGAATGAATTCTCTTAAAGTAAAACTTATAAACGTATTTTCCAAACTTAAACGAAAAACGTTTCACCCAGCAAGATAGAAATAATTTGGAAAACTTCCAAACTCATCACAAACCTAAAAAATCACAATTTAAGCTTGTTTTTGATCTTTTGACAATTCATAATCCAACACATATGTAGGGGACTAATCCTTTCAGACGGAAAAAATGTATTTACAAACAAATTTGAACTGAAAACAGGAAATGGGAGAGTATCTGTTAACCTAGGATCCAACGTGTTTTATCTTCTACAATCTTCGAGTTCTTCGTTATCAGAAAGGTACACAGTTGTATAGTGAGGCGTTATAATAAGTTCTTTATTTTAAGTTGTTGTATATGTATTGTTTTAAAATATTTAAGAAACTTTTAATGATACAGCTTATAAAGGAAGTGAGTGAATAGTCATTAAACTGCGGAAATGATTCGACCACAAGTCTTAATTGGCATCAGATTACATAAAGCACGCAACTAAGATATATTTCACAAGCATTCACCGCACTGGCATCTGAACAAATTTTCCTGCGTTTTATTTTTTTCTTTCCTTTTAGCAGACTCGTGTTAACACGCGTAGATAATAATACCAGCAAGTAAACACAAGGTGAGTTCAATACAATTATTTCGGTAACCATATACAACTTTGATAGATGTTCTTCTTCCTCAATGCATGGTTAGGTTAAAAGCACGGTTAATGATGTTTAATGTTAGCACGGCAATCATCAGTTATAAATTGCAGTTAATTTACAAAGTAAAGTCAATTGATCTTTCGATAGAATAAAAGCAACAATATACAACGTTAATAGTATGCGTTACATCAAACAAGGTTTTTGTCTTTATTCAAGTACAAATTTGCGTCGAACATGTCTCGAGTGTCAAGTCGTTTCAGTATTAACTGAATTTTGTAGAAATGCATGTTGGCAGCGGATGGAACATTCAGCTTCATTTATTAAGAAATCAAATTTTAATCTGCAAATGTTAAACACTGCTGTACCTTTTGTACGTGAACCTGGGACTAAACTATATGTACAAATGCAGCAGAGATAATAACAACAAAGTTGGAGACATTACTTGTTGTCGTACTAACGGCAACGCATGCTTCTTTCCTCGACATAACACAGGTTTTATTCAAAACCCAAGATATGCGAGATGCTAATTGCCAATGCGTAATGCTTGCATGAACTATAGAAATTTCACCGGCAATATCTCAAGTCAGTGTGGCCCGAGTTTGGTGACTGATCAATCCACCGTTACAGCGCTGGTTCGATACATTCATTCAGTCGAGTAATAATAATTCTTGTACAGGCTCAAGAGGATTATGAAAACTCGAGTTCCTTCCAGGCTGAGTCTCTATTGAAAAGTGTAAAACAAGTAGTTTACAAGTACTTGGTGAAAAGATTCAATTTGGCAAAATTTCAGCATCTTATTTGGTCACACTTTAGGCGAATTACACGTTTCTTAATAATGGCAATATTTCCCATTAACTAATCATTCACAACCTTGGTTTTTCGTAGCAAAGTCCATATTCTTGCTTGATTGAATGTTAGCTATAGATTGACCGGCTGTGAACCGAAAGAAAGGTAATAACACCGTTAGCTATATATATATCTAGTTTCAAGAGAAATTAGAGAATGTAATTTTAAAATGCTTGTTCGTTCAATTAACTAAATTTTTTATCACTAACTTCCCTTTTGTGTGCGAAGAAAAACTGCTTAGGAAAGTTGAAAAAATGCTTCAGCTACCCAGAAGGCCCTCGTGTCTCAGTAATGCGTATATGCAAATATATATTTCATTTCATATATGTTGATTTTTATTTATTTCACGATAAACTGTTTATCATTCAACGTGGTTATATATATCGAATATAATTATCTACGTTTTTCTGAGGTAATTAAGATTAAAGATGGAAATACATTCATTTCCTGGAGATCATTTTAAAACATGAGACAAACTTCTACGAGTGTTTATTCATCCTTGAGTCAATATTTAAGGAAATAAAAAAAAAATTTCTAAATGATGAATTTTGTTATACATTCGCAATATAACTGGCAACACTGTTCAACATTATCCCCCTTGATCTTCAAAAATTGAAACAGTTGAAGTTTCTGAAAATACATCATTTAAGTATCTGTTTAAAATTACTAACAGTTTCGACAATTCACACGTGCTCGTA